AGCCTGGTAGAGCACATGTTAGGAAAAACACCCAGGAATCTTGACTGTGAAGCTGCATATTTAGTGTCAAGACAGATAAAGCCCAGACAATCAAACTCATGCTTAGACTAATGAGCAAGTGTGTCGACAAGTGCTCCTAATTACTTTGATTAGCAGACTGTTATCTCAGAGACCTGACAGGAATACTCAAACTTATGGGGAAAAAATTTAAATAAAAAAGGTTTTACGCATTTTTAGTACTAGTCTGATTGTAGCAAGGTGGGGAGATCAGTGTGCTGAGAGGATTTATTTGGGTTCTCTGGAGCTCTCACCTCAAAGACAACTCAAATACAGCTGTGAGGAATCAACACAGACTCAGACCAAGAGGAAAGCTTAACATGAATACAACAAGCAGCATAATGTGGGTGGTTCAATGCAGAAATTATGGCAATTTGTTTAATGGGGCAAAAAAGCAAGCACAATATTATCAATAACTATATATATAAGCTTAGTTTTAATGAATTTGAGTAGCCTTGACTTGCTGCTAATTTTAATAATAAAGGTAATGAGTGTCTTACTTATGTAATGTTCTGATATCTCTTCACAGGGTGAAGCAGGACCTCCTGGACCAGCCGGGCCTCCGGTAAGTAGATCCTTAAAAAACAAAAGCACTAATGTGGACTTTGATGTCTGTGACTTAATGCACCTTCCTGTGTCTTCCGTAGGGCAGAGGGAGAGCAGGAGCACCAGTGAGTACACACAGCTCTGAACTATAATTTGCAAACATATCAAATAATTTGATGTTGAAGTCATACTTTATATGAGCTTGTGCCCCAAAACAAAACTATGTTTTATTTTAAGGGTTTACCTGGAACTAATGGCCTACCAGGCGGTCTTGGACCACAGGGGCCTACTGTGAGTATTTTTCAACAAAATGTAATTTACAATCTTTTGTTTTATTTGTCATGTTGCATTTGTATGTAAAGGCCAAGGCAGTTATTACTCACCAGTCAGTTTAGTTGTGTATTTTGTCGTAGTTCAAATGTCCAATGGATCTTCACATTTGTTCCGACAGGGTCCCGAGGGGCTTCCTGGACTTCCCGGCCCACCTGGTCCTGATGGCCCTCCTGTAATTATAGTTTCTTTTACTCCCATTTTATCATATATATTTTCACTGATTTACACTATTTTGTCAAACATGCTTTTATTGCCATCTAGTGGTTGCATGGTTTCATTCATTTTATGAATGGTTCAATGAGATGATTGTTAGCTAGGAAAAGCTCTGAGACTTATACTTTCTGTTATGCAACTTCAGGGTCTCCCAGGCACACTTCAAGATCTCAATGGTGACCTTCTCGTAAGTTTCTGGCACTTATACACTATAGTAAGACAGAACAAATAAAACAATGTATTTATAATTGTTGTTTTCAGTGTCCAGCTATCTGCCCCCCTGGTCCCCCCGGCCCACCTGGAATGCCAGGATTTAAGGTGAATACAATATATATTTCTTGACAAATGTCATTAATATACTCACTCTTGTAGAATGCTGATCTTTGGTGTTTGTGTCTGCCCACAGGGTCACACTGGACACAAAGGAGATAAAGGAGAGGTTGGGAAGGACGGAGAGAAGGTGAGTGAAGGAGGTCATGTGACTATCATGTGGTACAGTCTTTGTCTGTGATTCTCACCTGAGTCCTAATTCACCTGTGCAGGGAGACGCTGGTCCTCCAGGGCCCCCTGGTATTCCAGGCACTGTGGGTCTGCAGGTGATCACACACACTCTATAATAATAATAATAATAATAATAATAATAATAATAATAATAATAATAATAATAATAATATATTATTATTATTATTATTATTATTATTATTATATATTATTATTATTATTATTATTATTATTATTACACATCTTAATTTCTTTATATAAAATATTCATTCTGAAATGTCATCCTGAAGGGCCCACGGGGTCTGAGGGGGCTGCAGGGGCCCATGGGTCCAGTGGGAGACAGAGTAAGTACTATTGTAGCCTAATGTTATATAAAACAAAAGACTTAAGACTGACCTTTTCCTTGACCCTAGGGGTTGCCTGGCTTCAGAGGCAAACCTGGTGCTGCTGGCCTCATTGGAAAAACAGTGAGTTCCTCTCTGTTTGTAGCACAACTGTAATGTTATTATATTATTTATATTATAATGTTATTGTGCATAAGCTCTTCAGTTAAGATATTGGTTGGTCCTATAAATGAATAGCTGTACATGTTTCATCTGATGCTTCCAGGGCGACGCTGGAGAGAAAGGGCCACAAGGGTTCAGAGGACCAAAGGGCGAGATGGTGAGTAATCAGTCTTAGCACTAATATACAGTACATGTCTGTGTATAGTATGTCTATGTTATGCAGAAGAATAACAAAATATGACACTTTCAGGGTAAAATTGGTCCTAAAGGAGCACCTGGAGGGCCTGGGCCTAAAGGGGAGCCTGTGAGTATAAGCCTGACATACAAATAGCACAATGTCCAGCTGACCTTTGTAACAGTCCTGTCTCGTGTCGTCAGGGTATTCCAGGGAGAGACGGCAAAGATGGCACACCAGGACTGGATGGAGAGAAGGCAAGACACACAGTTTCCTCTGAGATTAAATGAAAAATGCCTTTTCTATAAAGCAGGTCCTTAAGTTAGTGTCTGTTGTGTTTTCAGGGCGATGCTGGGCGCCATGGTGTAGTCGGAGAGAAAGGACCAAATGGACTTCCTGTAAGAAATGATATTTTTAGCTTGTGATCAATTTAATTATCATTATAATGCATTAGATCAATCAGCATTTCAATTACAGTAGACACTGACCATTTTATATTTATCTTTTACAGGGGCTCCAGGGAAAAGCTGGTGCAAAGGGATCTAAAGGAGAAGTTGTAAGTATAGATGCTAATGAAAACATGTAAAAATGACACATGGTTTAAGAAATTTTAAAGTTGTGTTTAAAAGTGTTAATTGTTGTTTCCTCTTTTGTTTATGATAAAAGGGAGACCCAGGGAAGACTGGTGAGACGGGACCCTCTGGAGAGCCAGGTATTCCTGTATGTATCTTGTAGAATTTGGGGGAGATTTCAGTGTTATTAACACTACATATTCTGGGGTGTTTTTACTAAACTGTCTCTTCCTTCAGGGTGAGATTGGTATCCCAGGAGAGCGGGGAATAGCAGGGCCTCGAGGAGTAGCTGTAAGTAAATGAAAGGTTTACAGCTTACTTGTTAGTGTTACATGTTCTGGTATATAAAATAATATATGGACACAATTAGATGTTAGTGTCTACATATTTGTGCATATTTCATCAGAAAAGGTGGAGCTCAGTATCCCCTATACTACTTACTACACCACATTTACAAAGCAATAATTATTTTGCAAGACCATTCCACAATGAACCCTATTACACAAAAAAGTTCTTCACATGAATTTTTGCTTGTTGTTTTGAAAACAAAAACATATTAAAGTCATTTTAAATGCATGTATATTGCTGCTGTGTATGAAGAATCATCGTCAGCCCTAATTACTACTTTCTTTGAAATAAATTATGAAAATATTCAGCATAGTACACATGAGACCATGTCTTAATGCATTGCATATTGCACTTCAAAATAATATTACTTTTTGTGTCCAACAGGGAGGAATTGGGCCTATTGGCAATGATGGGCCTCAGGGAATCAAGGGCTTCCAGGTCAGTTCCTACAAATTAATTTTAAGTAATTATTATAGTGATCATTACAGCCTATAATGGGTTTTACTGACTACTGGTAGTTTGTCTGCTGCAGGGGATGAAAGGAGCTCTAGGGGATCCTGGTCTGCCCGGGCCAACAGGAATCCGAGGAGAGTTTGGTGAAAGAGTAAGTTTGGGGGCTAACTAACTTTTAGACGTAGTACCTTCAATTAATTAGTTAGTTAGTTAGTTAGTTGTCATAATTTTTACACCTATTCTGAATAGCTGTTATGACTTTGTAATAACTACACTTTAATAAGCCTTAATAAAGCAAGCACAAAGACTTCATTAATAGTATATTAAGACTTATTCAGGCTTAAATACAACTTACAGAGCTTAGGGGTTATTGTCATTAAGCCTGAATCGTTCTTAATAAACAATTTGTTCATTATGAATGAAGTCATTGTTCATGCTTTAATAAGACTATTAAAAAGTGTGATTATTAATAAAACTCAGTCTTCCTTCTAGTGGTTTAAGTGCAGTCAGAGGGGCTCAGACACAGACAGCCTTTTGTTCAGTCTGTGAAGGACAAAGCCGGTCTTTATAACTGCCATGATTTCCTTCACTTCAGGTTTGACTCCCCACTGCTCTCCCATATCATACTTACAGTGACTCTCACTCTATTTTTAGGGTCCAGTTGGTGCTTCTGGGGCTAAAGGAGATATGGTAAATAAGAATGTCCTCTCCATAAGACTTTTAAAATGTATTAAATGTATTACATCAGGGTTTTTTTTGAATGTATAAAAAAAATTTCTTTTGATTTTAGGGTGTGGCGGGAAGTGATGGTTTGCCAGGAGAAAATGGAGAACCTGTAAGTGCCTATTGTTATTATGTCTAAGCATAAACAAAATATTTTATCTGTGATTTACATTATGTTTTGCATTCTAGGGTCCATTTGGTCCAGTGGGTCAAAAGGGAGAGGTGAGTCAAATTGACTGGAGATTTGTATTGGAAATTTATATTGACCACTTTTGTTCTGAAATTATGCAGTACCTTTTGTCATAATTAGATGGAATTTTGGGGTTGTGGCTGAAACTGAACTTTGACTTGTATTTATTACATTCATTTTAGTGTACAGAAGAATTTGGAATCTTAAAAAGTTTTTTTTTTTTTTTAAACCTGTAGCCAGGGAAACACGGTGAACTGGGGCCAAAGGGTGTGACAGGACCACAGGGTGAGCTTGGTGCTAGAGGACCCCCTGGAAAACAAGGTCTAATGGGCTTACAGGGAGAACAAGGGATGCCCGGAATTGCAGGAAAGACTGGCGTACCGGTAAATCCATTGAAATCTCTTATACCTTAGCACTCTGTTCAATGACAGAGAGGACTATGTGTGAATGCAGATGACTTACATTTTGTTCATCTGTTTTTAGGGTAAACTGGTGAGCGAGCAGCACATCAGAGAGCTGTGTGGATCTATGATTGATGGTGAATCTTGAAAAAAGTGGATATTTGTTCAGGTAATTATTTGAAATGTGACCAACCTTTTGATTTTGTCTATCATCAGATCAGATTGCACAGCTGGCAGCTAACCTCAGACGACCTCTGGCTCCAGGACTGGTCGGTCGACCTGGCCCAGCAGGGCTCCCTGGCAAGCCTGGTGTAGTTGGCTCCATAGGTCACCCAGGCGCCCGAGGACCCCCTGGGTATAGAGGGCTTCCAGGAGAACTGGGAGACCCTGGTCCAAGAGGTAAGAAGAACAGACTCATATCTGTAGCAAGCATACATATGACAGATTAACAGCTTTTGTTTAAACAGGTGACATTGGTGAGCAGGGTGACAAAGGGCCCATCGGCAAAGCTATTGAGGGTCCTGTTGGAGACCAAGGATACCAAGGTATGGTTCTTCTACAGCAGCGACAGGTCCTGGGAACAAAACAGAGTTTAAAAATGTCCTTTGGTGTACCCACAGGTCTTCCAGGAGTGCCTGGTATTGTGAAGGATGGGCGTGATGGGTCCCCGGGAGACCCTGGTGAGCCTGGAGAGCCGGGCAGAGTAGGAAGGACTGGACACCAGGGACCCCCTGGAATCTGTGACACATCAGCCTGCCAAGGGGCAGCCCCTAATGGGAAATCTACAAACCCCAAAAACCATTAAACTTAGACCACCGGAGTCCAACCACCTGAACAGAGGTGATGTGAGAAGAAGTTAAGGATGTCTATGACAAAATCTTTTAATTGAATTCATGTATCACACTATGAAAAGAAAAACCTCTAATGTGATACACTGGGAGGAAAATACAAACATCCAGGGAGCAACTTGAATACCAGAACAATTAAAGACAGGCACCAAGCAACATCAGTAAAAGAAGTGGAATAAAGTGCAAGACTACAACTGAAGTGCTCCCAATGTCTGATGACAGGACTTGACAGGAAATGAAAAGGAGAGATTTTTGTGTAAAAACTGTACATGTTTCTATGCTTCTTGTACCTAACATAGTCTTAAAAACATTCAATACAGCTCTGAACTGAATGTGCGTGTATAATGGCCCTTAAATGTAAATTACCTCAATGACCAGAACACATCTTGAGTGAAAATATAGTTTCACATTCCACATTCTGGATACAGCATTGTGCATAAGAGCCGTAGAATGAAACGGTGACCCAGGTTCCCAGAAACTGCGTACATAAAGAATTTTGATAGTTGTTTTTTACAAGTTTGATTTTTGTGTAGTGAATTCCATGTATCTGGCTTTAAAAAACGACCAAACCATTTATGAATCAATACATAAATCTAAGCTTTGTTTTTTCAGTTTTCAGTTCAGTTTTAGTCCCTCCATGACCACGTCCACTATGTACTGACAGTGCTGTAACTATTAAATTTACATGACTTTAAATACTATTTATTATTGTGGGTGACTGTTGTATGTACAGTAAGATTATACAGCGACATGTTGTAAGAAAAGACAAATAAAGCCACTTTTCAGTAAAAACTATTCCTTTCTACATATGAACAGTAGAGGACAATAAGTTATCTCATATAGTGATCAAAATATTTAATACTACTACAATATTAAACCTATGGGAAAATAGAAACCATTAAACTTTAAACTGCATAAAACACCTGAACAATGTAATAGGCATTATGTGTTTAACAAACAGAATTATAAGAAATTTCATCAATAGGGACAATTTTCGAACTCTTTAAAAGTTGAGAAACACTGCCATTATGAAATACGGGAGACAGTGCATAGATAAAGCAGCAGGGACTATGGTTCAACTGACATGGGAATGTTCTGTGTATTCCGGAGAATAAGGTCGTTCACTGAGGAGGGGTCAAGCTTCAGTCCATCTTTATCTGTGTAAGTCTTCTCAAACTCCTGTGTACAAGTGTAAGCACAGTAAGCATATAAAATATTTCCTATCTATCCTATGTGTATCTGTGCAGACAAACCTTTTTTAGCGTGTCTCCATACATCTGGTTGATATATCGGAGGTAGGCTGCAGTCCACTGCAGAGTTGTTACTTTGTCAGTGTCTGCGTGACAAAAAGGCACGAGCACGTTCAGCTCATCACAGCACAAACGAATCCTCCTTCTGAAAAGCAGTATGTGTTATTTGGAGATGCACCAATTCTGATTTTTCAGTTCTGATACCAAAACTATGGCTTTAAGTATGCCATTTGGGCTGGGAATCACTGAGTCATCACCATAATTATTAAACTGCATTACATAAACAATTTTATGAATTTTATGCACTATAACAGACATGTCAAAGTCAGGCCTGGGGACCAAATTTGGCCCACGATATAATATAATATTTGGCCTGCAAGATCATATCAAATATGTAATAGAGCTGGCCCGTTGGCTACAGATAAGCTGTAGAGGCATTATTTATTTAAAATGTTGTTATTGTTTTATATTATGCTTATCCTGGATTCAATGCTTATGCAAAACTATTATTAAACATTTATTTTAATAAGAAAATTACATATCTCAAAAGAAAAGAAAACAAGCAGATGTTGTTGAAATTTTTTAATAAATATTTAGTTTGGCCCACAACTTAGTCCCAGTTTTTAATTTTGGCCTTCTGTGAATTTGAGTTTGACACCCCTGCATGAACATCCGCTTACCCAGGGACTACAGGTAGAAATTAGCACTGGTGCTAAAGCCTGGTCCAATGCATCTCTCCTTCTAAGGAGCATTTATTTATTTATTTATTTAATGAGACAGGGACAGTCCAAAATTTACATTAACCATTGACTGATTGTATTTAATAGACAGCTATCAACTGTTCTTCCTGGAGACCTACGTAGCATGTTTTGGGTTGATGGGGAAACCGGAGTGCCCAGAGGAAACCTATCCAGACACAGGGAGAAACATGCAAACTCCACACAGAAAGGTCCGGGCAACCCGGGGATCAAACCTGGAACTTTCTTGGTGTGCTTGCCACTCAGTCGCCATGCCACTATAGTGTACTGTCCCTGTCTCATTAAATAAATAAACTTAATATATATATTTTCTAATAAGCACTGTCAAAATGTTCTGTAAAACACAAAAAATAAAACTTATTAAAAATAAACACTACAAAACTTTCTGGGCAAGCAACATTAAATTTTAGTAAATTCTAGTCGAATGCTGAAGCATTATCCTGGAACCGATTCCCAATCCAGTACATTTTTCAGGATCATTACCCAATACCAGCATTGGAGCATAAAGGAAATTACTAATGATGTAGTATAGTATTAATGTATGCTATAGTAATAAGCTTTGTAATAAGCTCACCTGCGCTCTCTCTCCTTGCTGTTGTGCCGCTCTCTGCGCAGGCTCAGAGGAAGAACTCGATGCCCTCTTTTCCTGACACTGCTCCCAGTCTCTCCGGGTGAATTAGATATGTCTTTCGTAGGCCTTGATTTAACTCGCTGTACATTTTTAGGTGATGGAGAGGTCTGTTTATCTACAAAGAAGATCTAACTGCATAAGAAAATCTCAACATCAAATCCTGTGAGTTAAATCATTCGTACATACTGTTTGATGAGGAGTTATTTTTTGCCATGTGACTTTTTTCTTGTACCCTTTCTGAGCAAAGATTCAGAGGAAGTCCCTTAGGAATGGTCAAGCTCTGGTGAGAGTTTGGTTCAAAGTGAGAAATAACCTTCAAAGTAATGCTTCTTTATGCTGTCATGTTTTACTTATATAATAAAAATTAAGTAAAGAATAAATACAATTACTTACTGGTGCAGACATGTTGGTAACAGACTTGTGCATTTCTATAAATGGGCTGGATAGTTCATTTCCTGTGTCACATCTAATCCACCTCTGAAGATGGCAGTGAGTACTTGCATCCTGTGTCTCTGAAGGCTGCTGAACTACCATCAGAAAACTGAAAAATAATAAAATTTCAGTTTAAAGATTCATTTATCAGGAAGTGGGTACACTACCTGCTTGTCTCCTTGATTATATTCCTTTCATATGGCTCAGATCTGGCCTTTGACTCGGCCTGGCAACATCACCTGCTTGCTTACAAGTTTTATGCCATACTGTGTATTATTCCTGGCAAAGCTGTTATTGCTTTGCCAAAAACACCTCCATGAAGAATAGCTGGTGGCGTTCCCGCCTCAAGACAAAGTCCATAGTGCAGACATAGTTGCATAGTGCACCTATATGGAAAAAAAAATCCAAATATGACATGACATATTACTTACTTGCTAAGAACAGAGGACTGAAGATCTTGATGTCTCAAAGTTCCTGGGATAGAGTTGAATCGTTTCTCTAAACAGACTCTGGTGGTGGAGGGGCCTTTCCTATGAGATGGGAGAGAGCCAGTGCCTGATGTTGTATCCTCTCCTCTGATTTTGGCCAACACAAAACCAGGTACTTCTCCATAAGGGGGCGTCTTTTCCCCAGGTAAAATAACCTCACGTCCATCAGATATAATGGACAAGTCAATTGCTTGAATGGTTGGGAGTGGTGACATTACTGTATCTTTGTCCATGCTTGTGTTCTGGTCTGCTGACATGTCTGACACTTCTGCCTGTGTCTCCATATGTGTTTGAATAATATGTTGAAGATGGGTGTATTCGCCTTCAGACATCTCTGTTAGATTCAGCTCAGGACCCAGCATCTGTACTTGGTCATGAGACAAAAAATCACTTTGGTTCAATACCATGTGATCATAGCCGTGCGCTTTGCCAGGAGACGAGTGCTGGAGGCTGCTTTTACAGTCGGACATCTTTCACTGGTTCTCTGAAACCTGAAAAGATACAGTTTGTGTTAAAATATAGCTGCCAATTAATTATTTAAACTATAGCAAAACGAACAAATGCAGAAACTACGATCACGCCGGAAAAAGTCTCTAAAGTTGTAACTTGTTAGCTAACTTGTACTTGTGTCATTAGCCAATATTTGACTGATCTAACTTACAAGTTAAAGGTGCTACTTAATGCAGTCTCGTATAGATCATTAACAAACGCAAACATTCATCAATAATTATCATTTTGTAACATTAGTATTAATAGTTTAGAGTTATGAGTGACTGGACAAACCTTCAGATTTACGAGTCTTCTATCGCTCATGCAACAAACCGACCGACGTCATTTCACGTAAACAACGGTATGATAGCGGGCTTTGTGATGAACTTTTTATTACCTTTGTCATATTCTTTAGGTTTAATGTTACTCAATGGAGTGATTCAATGGAGTTTTTAATACAGTGGATTGATATGCGTTATTTTGCAGTGGACAGTGTTATACTGACTTTCACCACATGATGGAAGCACACGCTAGCTTGTGTGCGTTCTTGAATCTTGACCCCCAAAACACATGGAAATTATCTTGTAAATAGAAAAAGAAGCCAATGTAAATGTGAAACCTCATAGCTTTGTGTGTAATAGTGAGATAGCCTACTATTAGTCACAAAACGTTTTCTGTCTTTTTGGAGGAGGTCTTGTTGGAAGGTACGCGTGCGCCACTGTGCCTGGAGCGGTGAGAGAGTGCGCACTCTAGACTTTTGGACCATTCTGTCTTTGGCGTCAGATGCGAGGAGCAACATGAGTTGTAGCATCGCCTCAAACTAAAACTTAATTCATTCACATTTTAAGAAACGAATCCTGTGAGATGAACAGAGAAGGGGAAAAGAGAAGCACACCTCGGAGCCACAAACCACTAAAGACGCAGCAACTTGGCATTCACAAAAAGAAGAATGAAAAAGCGCAGAAGGCCGGTGTGAGCGAGTCTGTGAAGGAGGTCAGCCCTATGGCTCCTCAGGGAAAGCGACAGGGGACAGTGTCCCCCACGAGCTCCTCCGCTGAAAGCCCGGGTGTCCCCGGAGCGCACAGAAAACTTTCAGACGCAAGCAACACTTCAGAGGAGCTGAGTAAAGACTCTGGCTGTCTGTCTGCAAAACTGTCCTCCTCTGACAGCGACACAGAGTTAAGCTGGATCGACGGCAGAGCTTATGAGAGCCCAGACAGCGAGGGGAAAGAGGAGAAGGAGACTGGAGTGGAGGCTCCAAAGCCGGGTTTGTTTAGCTCCGCTGGGGCATACATGGAGCTAATCATGGGGGAGACCACCGAGGACCTGGCCAGGGAGGTGGAGGATCTCAGATCAGAGAATGAATATCTCAAAGTAAGTTAACTGAGTTTCACATAACTTAGTTTGTCAAATATGATCATGGTGACTTGCATCTGACTTACATCTGAACAATTTCTATGCTGTGTGTGCTTGACCAGAAAATACAAATATAAACAAAAATAAGCCTTTATGAATTTTTTGTTTAATTAGTTGAGTGTATTTTGTTGGAACATGTTCTTTAATCTGGCCTACCTGATAGATATGTTCAAAAGGTCTGTCTTAGATGAAGTAAATCCTTTTCATTGTCTCCATTTAAGGTTTTGGTTTTGTTTGGTGGCTTGGTGGTGCAGTGGTTGGCACTTTCACCTTACAACAAGAAGGTCCCATGTTCTACATTCTTCCATTAACTTACAAAACATACACATTAGCCCCTAATTCACTTTTGTCAAAGAAGAAGTGCTGACAGCAGGTTGCCCTATGCTTGGGGGTGGGTTATATGGAGAGGACTAAGCCCATTTGTGTTTTTCATTTCAGGATGAACTGGAGGAGCTACGATGTGAGATGTTGGAAATCAGAGACTTGTTTCAGGAAGAAGAGGTCTACCAAATACAGCAGTTGCGACTTCAGCTAGATCAGGCCAACAAAACATGCCGCATCCTGCAGTACCGCCTCCGAAAGGCAGAGCGGCGCAGTATTCGAGTAGCACAGACGGGGCAAGTGGACGGAGAACTGGTCCGATCTCTGGAACACGACATTAAGGTAAGTCAAGGATAATCAATTAATTATTGAAAAGAGTTGTCAATATGACAACGTTAAGAATTTCAACATTACCTGGTGAGCATGTTTTGAAGGTTTATTTTTGACAATTCAAAATATAATATAATATATTGATTAGAAATGTCAGTTGCTATAGCAATTAGCTTTTATAACTCTGAACCCCTTGGTTAACCATGTCTGACCTAGGTGTAAACCATGTGATCGTGCACTGGAAGAAAACTTTTATAAAGCAGAAAGTTTTATTTCAAAAGCAGTGGAACAAAAAATATATCTTTGTGTCCATTCTTTTGACATTAGAAAAAATCATATTATTAATACAAAAAATATATATATATCGTGGCATTCTTCGTGAAAACCTCATCGCCTGCCAGGAAACTGTTCTGAAACACTTTGAATCACTCCCATTCCAGCTGCCAAGAGTATTGTCATTAAGTTATGTCTCATTTAGTACTCTTTACAATGATTGCCCTGTGCTTTCAAATGTAGCTGTATAACACATGGCTTTTTGCTGTGTGGTAAAGTACTGCCTGCTGTGGACCTCAAGCCGCAAGAAATTCATTAGCTCTAAATGTCTCCTTCATGTGCACTGTTTATATTTGTGCCATGCTAAAGTGTAATTATGTGGTTAGATGTTGTGCATGAGTAGGAGATCTGAAAGCGTGGTAATCTTGCTCAGAACCATGTCAGGTCAGTCCACATGCTTCTGTGGTCACAACTTAACTACTTTCCTGCGAATTCCCATAACTATTGCCAAAGTTTTGCCCTCTTCTACTTTCTCCTGGATGTGTCACTGCATGTTTATCTTGAAACTCTTTGTACCATAGAAAAGTGATTCATATTTAGTGTGGCTCATAACCACTGTTCTGCTGTTTTCATTTCCAGGTTGCGAAAAGTGTTTCACTCCGACTCTATAATGAGTTGGAAGCAGTGCAGAAGAAGAATTTGCAGCTGGAATGGGAGAACGAGGTGCTCGGTCAGAAAACACAGGAGCTGGAGGTGGCCAAGCAAGTGCTGCAGGCCGAGGCTGAGAAGGCCAGGGAGGTAAGACCCACTGGCTTATCTGAACTAAGACCTGGGGTAATTAGCTTAACCAGGCATGAAATGCACCAACACAAGGAACAACTGGTTTTACAGTAAAGTAATCAAGAATACACAAACATGTTTTTAAATTGACTATATAAATAACTATTACTATCATAGTAGTTAGTATCTTCATCTTAAAAGTAAACTGAGTTAGCACCAAGCTCTACATTGATGTAGAGTGTGTAGACTTGTTGTCAACACAGCCCATAACTCTGCATCCCTGTGAGGATCTCACAGCTGCACCCACAGTCCAGTTGTCTGGAGCCTGATGTCATGTGACACTTGAGACTGGGCAGGGAGCGATACGAGGTGGGCAGCTGCTGTTGGGGCTGGGTCCGGTATGTGGATGTCTTAGTCTGCAGGCACAGCTGAGGGGTAAAGCAAAGGGGTTAAACCAATGGCTGTGGGCCAAGAGATTACAAAAATAGACTTTTGAATTTTCCATTTCTGCTTTTTTTAAGCCAGGCTAAATCAGGATCAGTGTATTATAGCATTCATTGGGCCCTGGCACACTGACCTACAAATATCATTAAAACACTTTTGGGTTTCTCAGAGGGTGTGTGCCGACCAGGTCTGTTCCTTCCTTTCATTAAAGACCAACAACCAAGGATTCAGTTTTCTGGCAACACAGTACAATCTACACATAAGACATTTAGTCCTAATGCCAACAGGGAAATCCACTTACATTACCTAATCCAGGAGCAGAAATCATTAGTGTGTTTAATAAGCAAGTTGGATATATGCATCACCAATGAATGTACTGTATTTTTTGCAGTTTAGTTACAATTGCTGCTCTGTTATTAATACTGAAGTATCCTGTTGTGTGTGTCTGAGTGCAAGACAATAACAGAGACAGAAGCTTACATTCCTTTCATTCTCAGACTCAAAAGCACTGTCATTGTCACTCAAACTGTGACAAACATAACTTTTATTAGGGTTACATTTTACATTGAATGTTTCTTTATTTTATTTCATTTGTGAATCTGAAGACATATACTCTTTGTTTTTTCTTAGAGCTCTGTGAAAAAGAAGAGTGTCAGATCCTCTAGTGGTAAAGCTGAGAAGAGGCTGTCTCAGATCGAGGTATAACATTTGCAGAGCACCTTTCTGTTACAAGTAATGATATTTATTGAGTTATTTGTTTTAAAGGATGACAGCGCTGATCTCAGGTGCCAACTCCACTTTGCAAAGGAGGAATTATCTCTCATGTGCAAGAAGCTCACCAAGTTGGTATCAGACAGCGAAGGCATGCAGGATGAACTGACCAAGTACCGTGCAGTTTATGGTGACATTCACAATGCTCAGCTGCCTGAAGGCCAGCAGAACTCTGCTCGTGCCCGAGAGGCAGAGGTCAAAAACCACTTAAAACTGGTGGAGGAGGAAGCTACACTTTTAAGTCGTCGAATTGTTGAGCTGGAAGTGGAGAATCGTGGTTTGAGAGCTGAAATGAGTGATCTAAGAGAGAAGACTGGTGCAGGCATGGAGGACGAAGAGACTGATAATACTGCAATAGAACAGGACAGAGAGGGACAGACACAAACTTCAAGGGAGCAAGCAATTGATGAAATTTCTAAGGTACAAGGTGCTGCAGAGATGGCTTTGATTTCAGAAGTCTCTGCTTGTGACATCACTAGAGAGGGTCCCGTGGGTGGCGAATGGGACCCGTCCGACAACCACGAAAGCAGCAGTGACCAAAAACAAGGCAACTGCTTCAATCTGATGTCCCAGAAAGACTATGAAACCATGCTAGCACTCCGAGATCACTCTTGCATTCTGAGCTCAGCTATTCAACTGTTGATGATGCCCCCGAAAAATGGGCATTGCTCGTCTCCCTCATGCACATACACTCCACCAATAGAAAATGATCTGAAGAAAACAAACTGCTTTTTCCCAGGGCCTTTAAATGAGGCGCTGGAGCTGTTTCAGACCATGCTCCTGGCTTTCATCAGGAGGGTGGAGGCTCTACTGATGGGGGGAGATTTAGACCAACGCACATCCCACACTGAAGCCCATGTTTGGCTGCCATGCGCGTTCACTTTCCCATCTGGAGACAGTACAGGCGACTTTCAGAAGTCATCAAGTAAACAAGAGTGTGTGGAGGACCTGCGCACTGCGGAGGTGAAAGAGAGAGCCAGACAAAGTAAACAGACTGCTTTAATACACACAGATTATATGCACCGCTGCAGGGATCCAAAAATGCAACAGTGTCTACAGATCCTGTGGCTGCTGCATCAATGGTGCCAAGGAGAAAATGAGGTAGAACTCAAATAATATATAATAACAATAATATTTAAAGGCTGAGAATCTAATGGGCATTCTGGTAGCTTTGGGGGAGATGCAGAACTGATTTACTCACTTTCACTCTTTTTACCAATTTTTACATTTTATAAACTCAAAAAACAATTTAGAAAATAATTGTTTATTAAAACTTTATTTTTTAGGACAATTGCTTGAAACTATTTCTCTGTAGAAATCAATGGAACTTATGGTATGTGCTTTTAAATTATTCTGGCAGTGCAATACCCAAAGTACAAAATGCTGTTTATAATTGTTAAGTTTTATTTTAGCAATCAACAAAACCCAAATAAAATATACCATATCTGATAAACAGAAACAAACATTACAAAATATATTATAGATATTTATTGAATTCACCATATGTGTTCATTCCTAATATATTTTCCATTTGCTTAACATGTAACCAAAATGTCTGTTAGATTCTCATTGTAATAGACATTTTGTAGAGCTTAATGTTTAACTTGATCTTTCTTCAATTTAGAGCACAAGCCTAACCATGTCAGAGCTCAGTGGACTGTTGCGGGACGTGGCTGCACAGCTTCAGGATGAGCCGATCAGATTTGACAGAGAGTCCAGAGCCACGCGGGGCAAGGCAGCTGAGGTAAGCACGCTGTTTACACTAAAGGCATGTGTCCCCCCCCCCGCTGCTGTCACCCGGGCAACAGAGCGCGAGCCAAGGAGGTCCTACTGATGATCGGCAGCCCAGGCCTCATGAAAGCACTCGCCACAGTATTTAGGCTAATCCACTGAAGAGGCTCCAGCCAAGCAGACAGGCATATTTTTATCTATAGCACCAAATAGCAAACTGACTTTCTGCATAATCATTTGCGTATTATACTCAAAAAATACATAAACATTATCAATCATTGTTATGGTTTTCAAAAAAAAAATTAAAAATCAATATTCAAATATGAATGATACTGAAATGAGTATCAAAGGTCATACTCATTTGAACAAATATTGAAACTGAAAAAAAAAAAAAAAAAAATCACATAAATAGGACAAAGCTGGACTTTCTTCAATAGTTTTTGTGGCGTTGATCTACGTATATCAGAACTAGTATAAGACCACATGGATGAAATTACTAAAATACTTTGTGTTAAAATTATATTCTCAAAAATATATAATGTAATAACAAGTGTTGAGCTTTATCCTTACTCTTGAAACTTTTAGTATCGTGATAGAACTAATCTGTGTTCTCAGTAATAAATTAAGACTTTCATAATTAGATTACTGATAACTATTAATTAGATTTCGTGTTTTGGTTCTCAAGTTGATTATCCAATCAGAAATCAAAAGAAATTCCTCAGTTGCCAGATCCTATGACTAAAATCAGTCACTATATGAAGGCTATGTGGCATCCCTGGCTCAGTTGTGATTGTATTGCTGTTTTGAAACTAATTTGTATGCACGTTACAGTGAGAAATTCTGCTTCGTCTTCTACTTCTACTAATCTTTGTATCTATGTTTGTATCTATGATTCTAGAAATGCATTTGTGGTTTTCTGTGGTATCAGCTGCATACACATTTTCCTATATAGATTTATGTTCAAAAAGTATTTTATTCACCATCAAAGTAATTTCAATATGTTTTTGTCCCTCAGTGTCCTGCTAGCAGTGTTTTCGACAGTGTACTCCCTCTATCTCCCAGGTTTGTGCTCACTTGCGTCTTTATGCTTTGTTTTCTGAATCTTCACACTGACTCATGTTTCACTTACTGTTTTTACAGAGCACATGTCTCTAAAGGAACCAGGCGCTATCTTTATCAGTGTAACAGAAAAATTAAAAACTGGTGCTACACAAACCAGGAGGCTGCCCAGCTGGACCGAGAAGACCCTGTTAAAACATGGGACCACCTAATAATGCCGCTTAGTTTCCCTGGTCTAGACTTCGATCAGATGTCTATGGAGAGAAGCAACACCGCCCCGGAGAAAACAGCTGTTCGAATCTACTACAGCCCTCCATCGCGACGCAGAGTAGCTATGGCTCAACACAAACAAAGCTGTATGGTAGACAGGGAATCAGTTACCACTACCTCCCCATGGTTCACGCCACCCACGTCCTTTTCTGCGCTTGGTCTGGACTCAAATTTAAGTGATGATATGAAAGAAATTACTGCAAGTTTGAGGGGCGCACAAGAGAGATGGGTGAACACAGCTAGTTCAGGTACACAAACTCAGACAAAGCCGCAGATGGTAAGTGTGGCTATGCAAACCGAAGTCTCCCATGGCCTTGTGTCCCTTAGGAGCCCAAATCGTGTCCTGAGCGCCTCCCTTTCCTCCATTCCTCCTCCCCTCTCCTCTTCTGTGAATGGGGTTATAGGGCGAGCAGAGCGGCCCAGAGGTACGACTACATCCCCCAAGCTTCGCAGACACTCTTCATCAATACCTTCATCTATGTCGCCATCTTCATCATCATCAAGCAGGGATAGAGCAATGTGGAACCTAGCACAACAAAATCACAATGGACTGACATGGACGAGGCAAGCTAGTCAGAGAGTAGCAGTGAGTAACAGCGAGCAGGCAGAACGCAGCATCAAACCTCCAACTAAACCAGCAACTGCCAACAAATGCGGGCTTGTAACCGAGTTTTTACGAAGGGTGAGTGGAAGAGCCGACAAGCCCACGCAGAGTACCGGGCAGAAAACCAAAAGCAGCAGTCCCCTCAAGAACTTGGAGCGGGTCCCGACAAGGCCGTCTGGAACTCCACTGCAGAGGAGTGACAGTGTGACCAGGATCGTAAACCAGCGCTTCATGAAACAGAGAGAGGACAGAGCCAATGGACAGAGCCAAAGCCAGGGAGTGCGCCTGAACCCTGTCCCAGGAGAGGTGAGGATTTTAGGCAGAAGGGGTAAAGCCATCGAGCTGAAAAAGACAAAAGTGGGTTGTTTTCAGATTTTAGAGTGTGGTGACAAGAGCCTTTTTCAATGATGTAACTTATTCAAAAGAAAACACACAAATGATGAACCTAATCATGTAGTACAACTTTAAGGTCCATCAAAATCTTCATATTAACTTTAAGGTCAGATCTGTCAGAGCATGACTCTCATACTAAGAATGTTTTTTTTCAAGTGTGTTTGAGCAATAAAACCCTTGATGAAATAAATGCCAGATACTTGTAATGCCTACTGTGGAACATTTCAGGCAAAGCAACATCATCTCCATCAAGACAAGCAGCTCTACCAGCTACACAGTTCATTTTTAAATATTAAGAATAGGAAACTACATATTTAACCAAAGATGGAGTAAGAAATAATAATGACAACAATGAAAAATGACCATACATTTTAGATAGTAGAATTAATAGGTCAATATTGAAAACAGCAATAAGATCAAGATAATATATATTTATCAAAAATTTAGATTGTATCTTAATTGTAGGAGAACATTTACTTAGTTAGGTCTTGTTTTAAATGGAAAATGTCAATGTTTTCTGTGTAATGTAGTGTAATAACTTCATAATTTTCCTTCTCTATTCTTTTTCAGGAATCCAATTATGAGTGTGGCTCTGGTGGTTCTTTGTCTTTTTGTTTTTCACGTCCTGCACGCTCCACACCTCGGCCAACTTCACACCAGGGCAAAGTGCAGCCGCGCAGATCCACCCCTCCTCACTCCAGCTGTGCATGAGTCCTGCTCAGTGTACAAATGTATAAGATATTCTTGGGATTCGAAATCCTGCTTGTGGGTGCCATTTTGAGCACTTTTTACCATTCAAAATAGTATTTTGTTTTGAATAGTTAATTGGCATGGCAACAGTGCTCTTTTTCATCACTCTGAATTCCATGGACAGAAGAGATCCAATTGTACGAATATGTAATTATGTTAAAGGACTCATATCACATGATTTTTCAATCTGTTTCCTCATCACAAACATACTTGGAGTTGTGTTTTGTTTCATTCACAGACATTTAACACACAAACCATGCATATTTAGGCTTTAGAGTTCTTCTCTCAAACTAAAAACACCTCAATACACCTTCACTAGAATCATTTGGATGATTTCTGCTGTGGTATTGCCAATCTCTAAACAAAAGTATAAACATAACTGTTAACTTGAAAACTACAACACATGACATCACAAGGTGGAACAGAGCATTTTGAGCTTTGGAGATCCGGACAGCCTTATAATAAAGGGTTACTCAAATGTGTGAATGAAACAAAACACAACTCCAGGTCTGTTTTTGAGGGAGAAACAACATTCTAACATGACTAAAAGCTCACAAGACTCATGTTTGTGTAGTACAGGACCTCTAAGATGAGTTGTATGATGGTACTTTTAACTAAGTTACCTGATAATATTCATTTGGTGCAATCTATAGAAATAATAATGTGACAGTATATACTGAAATATTTGGAAATGTTTTATATTGATCTATGTAGCATTTTGTATACCATATCATTTAATGAATAAAAATAATCAACTGACTGAAATCTTTTTATTAGAAAAAGAATCAAAAATGTCATAAGGTTAACACAGTGTTTAGTAAATCTATAGGGTGCAATAAATATATAGGGACTTGTTAATATTAGTCCCTAGTCAACTGTTTCTGTATCTGTTGTGTCACACACGCTTAAAAAGGGAAAGGTAAACACTATAAGAAGTTAATAGGATAAGAGCTTGTCACCTGCAGGAAGTATGTCCTCTGTCATTCATGGTGCATGTAATCTTTGATTTTTCTGTTAAACAAGCATCAGATGAGAATTTCTTATATGATCTGTCTGGAATTTGGTGGGTTTTTTGTTTTTTTATTGTATACATTTAGTTCTTCCAGCACATAGAAATCCATAGGAAATGAGCAGTTGAAATAACTTGGTCTCTTCTGGCAGCTGTGATCAAGGGCACAGTCAGAGTCAGACCGTGTCACGTTTCCTTTTGTCACGTGTTCACCCTCATTTAAACATGCAACAAACACAACAATGTAGGTTACATCCCAGAGGAGTCCAACCAGGTTCAACAGATAAAAGCACGTATCAGATAGGTCACTGCTGTAAACCGTGAAAAGAAACAAACTAATTTGTTTTGATCACTTAATGCAAATATTTTAGATACACTATTCCCAGTCTCTGTAATAACTCCATTATAGGCTGCTATTCCACTTGTCTAATAAATAGGCTAGGATAACAAAAACAACAAATGTGTTTTGAAAATGTAGTAAACATGAGTACATGAGAGTACAATATAAACTGATGTGCTCTAATAACAAAAACAATATTGCAATTTTAAAAGAATCCATCTTAAATAACATAACGCTGCACTTTAGATCCTCTCCTCAAGAGGGCGCAACAGTAACACGCATTTGATTGTACCTTCTTGGATGCAGTTGTTGACGCAAAACAATAATGGTGGACAGTGTATCAAATCAGTGCCACTTCTCCACGTTTAGCATGATTTCTGGTTTCTTATCTGTTTTGTGTGCAGATATAGTGATAAAATATTAAGATGGAAGGTCTTTTTTGTAGATTTGAGACGTATAATTTTGAATCGGATACAAAATTTCAAGAAGGTTTGCGCTCTGTTCGAAACGCACACACCAAGAGCTCAGAGGAGAGTGGACTATTGGACATGAAGCTCTTCTATTACAATAGGTGAGTAGACAGTAAAAGCGCTCTAGTTGCTTTATTTAGGTCCATTTTATATATATCTGGCAAGGGAAACTTTGCAAACTCGGCAAAACAATGTGGTAAATTAAATTGATTGAAAATCATTGTACGGTTTTTGATGGTCAGATTTCTTTTCTACATGTAAATACAATAAAATCAAATCATCCACTTATCGGATTATTCCAGTTATCAGATTTTTACTGGTCACATAAATGTACTTAGTAATGTGTTCAGTCATCAGTGCCTTCACAATTTCTCATGAGGATTTACAACTTTAACCTTACCGTGAACATAAACCATAGTTATTACTTAAAGGAGCACTTTTGGTGGAGGATTTGCCACCTGTTTTTCTCCATGGAGATATTATTGCTTTGTCTGGAATGTTCCACGGTATGGCATTAAACAGGGCCACAATACAGCTTACTCACGTAGTGCGTATTTTGCACGGTATTTCTGTTAGGAACATAAACAGCTGTAATTGAATACATTGAAGTAGATAGTATAATGTCATACTGGAACATTTTAGACAAGCAATAACATTTCCATGGAGACCAGCAGGTGGCAGACCCTGCACCAGAAACGTGTTAGTTACATATATTGACGTCTCTCGTTTATACTGTTTAAATGATATTTCAATTTTTTTTTTCTATGGCAGGTTTGTGGAGCCCATTGACCGGAACACATACAAACAGTGGAGGTCTTTAAAAGGGACACCAGACTCTAGCTGTATCATCCAGCCCACAGAGGGGTCCACAGAAACAGAGGCGGCCATTTTGACCTTTGCAGAGGTCATGAAGCTGGTTCAGGAGGGAAAAGAGGTCCCAGGAGTGAAAAAACTGAACATTCAGCCTACCAATCAGAACCCAGCCCCATCTCAACTGACAAGGAGACTGAAGCCTTGGGAGTTGACTTGATACTGAAGATTTTAAAAGTAATACATGTATGTCTATGGACCAAAGATAAAGTTATGTATATATTGTTTAATAAATATATTTTAAAAACATATCTTGCTCCCTCTTTTTGACATTTCTCAAGATCATTGTCTTAACTCAAGCTTTTTACCAAGAAAACTATCTTGCTTTTATTCAGTTATGTACAGGTTGCTAAAATAAATACCTCGGAAGACATATATTGTATATTTTGTGAGTGGATGCACCTTTCTACAGATCTGACTTGAAACAGGGCCTTGTAGTGTTACTTGCTTGCCTCTGTGGAGATAATTAATGCATGTGTTGTTAAAGAGGTTATGCAAATGACATAAAAATGTGTCAGCGATGAGTAATGACATTTTCTACTGTAAAAGCTCAAAACACATACAAAATGTGAAATAGCTATTAATAATTTAATAACAAATACAAAAGTCTACAACTGCTTAATATTTAGCTTGTTCCTGACATCTAAATAAAGAAAATCAAGTTCAAAGTCCTAGAAAACAAGTTAACTGTTAGCTAAACAAGAAGGACAGTGCAGACTACGCGCACATTTATCACTGATACAGACTTTAGGATCAGACACAGTTTAACAGGGAAGGCAATCAGCACCAGATTTTAAGGCAGAGGTTTTTAAGGGTTTTCAGAGGCATACATGCAAAAACAGTAACATAGTAACATACATAATAAACAATATGAGGTACAGATTATGAAACTTACAGTACAGTAGAAATGTTATGATTTGCTTTTAAACAAAACACAAATCAAAAAGTGTCACAGATCTTAAAATGTATAAGTTATAGCACCAGTTTAAAATTTCCTGCAAGTAGTACAAAAACTATTGGAGCAGTCAAAATGTGGTAACAAACAAGAGGCCTTTGTAGAGAAGCTTGGAGGACACATGAGATCTACACACTGGCTTCTCACAGCCTTGGTCATTCACCTTCATACAGTTTTACAGGAAAGCTAAAACCTGTTCAAATCAACAGATACTGCATCTTTCTCTCATGCCATATTTCATTTAGCACCAGTGGCATTCATGATTATTAATAGGTTGCATTGGCTTAATTGTTTGGATGCGTATTTCCTGCATCACAGAGTTCATGCAATACACATACCAAACAGTGCATGAGTTTCAACAGGCACATTTTTGTATAACTGTGTCATCAAAATGAAATACACACAAACTCTCTAATATTTAATAAAAAAAATCTAATCTCTAATTAAAAATGTATAAGTATAACGACTATCAATGGCATCACATTTTTTAAAAAACATTTTAAAAACCCTAAGATGTCTTTGTTGACACGTGGCAGACAAAAACTACCAAACTGAAAAAAGTGGTGACAATTTTTAAAAGTTCTAAAAATGATCTTGATTAAAAGAGTTCATTAAAATAAATCTGAGTGAGGTAGATTAACTGAGCACCTTTAAATGCAAAGACGTTTACAAAATGTATCTAATTGCTGGTTATATTTCCGTCCCAATCAAGTTCAGTGAACAACTTTGAGGCACCTGGACATTCTTTGATGCTGGTTTAGTTCCCAGTCTCACATTCACACTCAAAATAGTCCTTTAGAGGAGAGAAAAGATGGCGGATCACAGGGACACTCCAAGAGCGACCTAAAACCTTTTGTCTCTGTCCGCGGCCCATGTTGTTCACATCGGTATAATGTTTTGGAAAACCGAAGATCCTGGAAAACAGAAAATGTTAATGAACCTCCAATGATGACTGGTAAAAAAAAAAAATATATAATATATATATATATATATATATATATATATATATATATATATATATATATATATATATATATATATATATATATATATATATATATATGAGAGAGAGAGTGTACATACATATACATACGTATACAGACTCAGCATATGCCAAAAGATACTTTATCACAAAGACATAGATATTAAATTAAATGGAAAAAATATGACAAATTCAATGACACCTTTTATACATAAACATTCTCTGCCAAAAAGTATTAAATTTAAAATGAAATGTGTTTAAATAGAAATTATTGTTTGACTAGTGTACTAATGGAATAACCTCTTACTTGTCAACTACTAAAATAATTGTTAGTTGTAGCCCTACTGTTCATGTTCATCGTATATAACTGGTATGTAATCTGATGCTTACTGTTCAAGTTCTGTGCACCACAAGCTATCTTCTTTGCCGTTCATTAAAACAGGGTGAGGTCCACTCTTTCCCTGTCTCAAGGAGTTCGACTTTGTTGTTATAGTCCGCACTTTGTCAAACTGCAACAAAACATGACTTTTTTTTTTAAATAATGAAGAAAGTAACAGTACATTAGTACTTAGTATTTAATCACAAACCCACCTTGGCAAGACGTCCAACTTCTAAACAGTCCTGCAAAGTCGATTTGTCATCCAGAGACGTTGCCAGTGGTCTGTGAAATGTGGGCAAACCAAGAATTATTAGTTAATACACATCAAAAGCTGTCATTGTATATACCCCAGATCTACAGTATCATCTTTACCTGTTCATTCCAGGGAGATTTCCCCAAAAGTATCGTGCTCTGTGCGCAGGGCTGACTTTTACTGCATCAATTAGAATGGGATTGCACTGATATAAGAAAAAAAAATTATATTGAATTAAAAATTTTAAATAAGAATTTGGGACTAAGTTTAAATCAGGACTATAACAGAACCAAACTGTATTGTACTGTACATTAGCACAAAAATGGGCTGAAACCAGGACCAGACCAATATAATACCTCAAGGAACCTGCAGATATCCGCCTTGTCATTGCCACTCATGAAGACCACGTTTTCAAACAACCAGAAGAATGGCCGGTCCTCGTCTTCTCTTGGCTTCAACAGAGTGAGTATCCGGTAGAACTCAAAAAACAGCCTGCCAGTGCCCTCTACAGGAAGAATATATTCATGATTTGCACAAGAATTTGCACAAGAATTTAAATCCAGAGTTAAATCCATGATTTAACTGATCTTTTTGTTGTCACTTGCTTGTCTCCATGGAGATAAATTTAATGTCATACTGTGAAACACCCCAAGCAAAACAACATCAGCACATGGAGGCCCTATCCCAATAAGATGCGAGTTTATGTGAAGTGTGCAGGGTGTTCCAATTTTTAAGAATGTTCTGATACACATTCTGTGGCTTCTTGCACTTGCTTACAAGCATGGAGCGATGCCGACTTCAAGCAACTACCCCCCCCAATGCATTTTACTGGAATGTTTCCCCACAGCCCAGTGAATGGATACAATGGAAAAGAATGGCTTAACAGTTAATATTAAGTAAATATTGGTTGAGTGGTCAGATCCACTGACCCAGAGGTTGGCAGTGTGATTCCAGCTCCCACAAATGAATGCTGTCTTTATGTCCTTGGGCAAGATACTTAACCCACCTTGCCCCTAGTGTCTGCGTACACTGGTGTATGAGTGTCTGTGTGAATGGGTGAGTGGTTCCATGTTGTATAGTGCTTTGAGTGCTGTGAAGGTGAAAAAACTCTATATAAAAATGTGACCATTGACCATTTATACCATATATTTCCAATAAATACATTGATAAAAATTGCCGAGGTAACACCAGTGTAAAAACACAGATCTTAATTGTTTATGGCCAATTCAGCAAATGATTAACAGGGCTAGGCTGTGGCTTTCAAATTAATTGAACTGCAGTTTAACAGCATTGCTAACAGCTGTTTTACTCAGTTTGGATATTTACTCTTCAATGGCAATAGTATGTCAGTTATCTGAAGTGTGGACTGTCTCAATCCTCATTCACACACATGCAACTTCAATGCACACTTCACTAAATTGTGCAGTACATACATACTGTGGATATTGGGACAGGACTGGAGACAAGCAAACAGCAGAAAGCAGTTGTATAATGCACATTTAAATCATGCCAAAAATTTTGAAGACATTACCAAATAATCCTTTTCGCAGTGGATTGACTATGGACAGGTCATTGCATGGACTCCCTCCAATCAAAAGGTCAAAGGGGCCCCATTCTGCCAGCTACGAGATGAAATAACAGGCTATTTAATAAGATGATTATAAAAAGGCATTTATTAATAGTTTTTCCATACTTACATGCTTTCTTGTGATAGAGCGCACATCATTGACATACTCAATCTTTCCCTCATGTTTGATCATTCCCACAGCTATGGAGTCATCACAAATTTCTGAAGCAATATAGCGCTCAATCTTGAAGCCCAAGTCTTTCAGCACAAGGTATCCTGCCATAAAATATTATGTGTTACACGCTGAAGTATACAGTTACATTTACACACCGAAATATATGCCCATGTAAACAAACCTGTTGCAATGCCATCAAACAGAGAGAGCACTCTGATTGGTCTCCGCTGAGCCGCGGGAATAGCTGGATAAAGTCTATGAGGTTCCTATTACAAAAAAAAAAAAATAGAATGTGTTATAAATTAAACCCTTTCCCTGATATTTAACAATTTTTTGTTACTTACAAACTCAAAAGCACTGTTATTGGCAAAGAAGTCCTGCACCCTGATGCTCCAGTCGGGCCTGAGTTTGAGGTATCCTTTACACTCTGAGGGCTGGCACATGTAGCAGCACCACGGATCCACCTCTTTGAGCTGGTCGAATGTCCCAGGACCAACTAGAATCTCAATGCAGTCTTTGCAAAAACATCTGTGACAGAAGTAGGACACTTTTAAACAAGGCTATGCAATCTGATTTTAATCAAGAGTGAGATTGTCTCATCCTGATTGTCAATGATGAGAGCTTTTTAATTGAGAGATCTACAGCCAATCTTTTGTCAGTAAAAGTATGTGATTTGGAGCAATGTTTCAGACTTTAGAGGAATAAATTTCACTATTTTGTGTCAAATAGCCTTGATTAAAATTCTGCATTGTTGGTGTTTAGGAAATAAACATTGAATTTGTCATATCTACCGTATTTTAATATCATCATTTTAAAACATAATTTGACATAATATGCAAATAATTTTCCATACATTAGTGCCTTATATAATATTTTGATAACAGTGCTCACCTGCAGCAGCTGGGGTTTTCACAAAGGATGACCTCGAGGCCAGCACAGCATACAGTGCAGTAGGACTGGTACCCGTCCTCATCGTAACGATAAAGCGTCTCAGTGAAGTTTTCCTGCGTTAACATGTTACAGACAGATGGCAAATGTTAATAGCATCTGATTCAAATGTGTGTTAGTTGTACAAATATTGGACTGAAATGAAGACAATACACATTACAAAAGAGAGAAACAGATTGTGGTTATTACCTTGCATTTAGTACACAAACTTCCTTCAAATAGTGGGTGCTGTACATCAATCTCAGATGTTCCACAAGACAAACAAAAATCTGTAATGAACCACAACTTAATTTTTTGTTCAGAGAATTTTGTTCAAAAATTGTTTTACTTAATTTCTTACAAACTTACCTTCAAGAGTTTTGACTTTATTTCTTGCTTCTTTGAGGCTATCCACCATGGTCTCTATAATAAAACAATTTGATAAATACAATATAACATACAATTTCAACAACCAGGTTAATATAAGCAGAAATATATTAGCAGAAAAACTTACGTCTGCTGAAAGAAACCAGGGCCAGGTGTGCTTTACTTTTCAGGACGTATTTTCTTTTTGCTGGTGGCTGGTAGTCTGAGTCACGAGAATCTTCACTTGTCAGGGACTCTACAAATGAAAGGTCAAAATAAAAGTGAACCTGAATAACACTAATTTGTTCACTTTTTTTTTTTAAAGAGACATACCAGGCGGCATAAACCCGTCCGATCCTGTGGGCAGAAACCCTTCGTGGGCCCAGCGCAGCATCTCCTTTAACTCGCTCTCTTTGTCTGTGCCATCAACACTAAAAGACTTCCCACATCGTTCAGCTGCCAACTGAAGGCCGTAAGTGAGTCAGTACATGAAATCTCAGATATTCTCTAATTAATATGGATATTGTTTTGCTCACCTCTAACACTTGAAAAATTGCCTCCTTGTAAACTGGTAAACAGGCCAATGTGTGTTTGTTGAAGCAGACAGTGAAGGCACTAAATGGCATCAGTCGCTCTGTATAGATCTACAAGGAAAGAACATGACAGTAAAAACATAAACATTTGCTCCAAAAAGGCTAAAAAATATTTTCACAATATGACAAAATAATGTAATGATTTAATTTCTTAATATTGACTGATCACAAAACACATAAAAATGTCATTCATTTCTTTAACAATTTATTCCTCCAAAATCGGAATTCTGCTCCAGTCCACATGGTTTCACTGACAGCCAACAGCCAGTCTGGCTGTTGATCTCTCAGTTAAAAAGAACCAAGTTGATCAATAACTATTTGAAATTATTGGATCTCAAGCTTACAAATGATTGGATCACAATGTACAAATACTATAAAAACAGTTGAATAATCTAAAGCAGTAGTGCAGAGTATTTATGCAAATTATGAAGATTTATAATTACAATTCTCATTAAAACTTATGTTGATAACCATTATTTTAAAATATAAAAAGCCACATCAAACCTCTGAGAACATGCCATCCCCAAACCACTCGACTCGTCTCAGCCCGGGAGGAGAGGACTTTGTTTTCCAGGACTTGACCAGCCCAGGCCACCAGGTAAAGCCCTTCAGTTTCCCCCACACCAGCTCTCCAGTCAGAAAACCTTTGCCATCCTTAAATTAATTTCACAGAAAAACATTAAGACTTTAAATATTATGCAGAAGTGGGTAGATTAGTCAAGTAGTAAATAATAATAACACTTTAAAGTATGTGTCATAACATATTGTGACTTGAAAATTAGATAACAGCATGTAACTAGGTGCTTTTGTTTTGTAACTATACCTGGTAGAGCTGTTTGCGTCTTCCTCTTGGTGCCTTATTAGATGGTGACTCAGTTTGGTCCACCTGAAAAATAAATATACAAATTAAATATAAAATAATATCATTAATCTGACAAAAAGTAAAACATTAGCTTCAATCCCCATTTAGTTGTTTACCACTTCTATGTATAAATATTCTTGTACAGCTTTAAATTGCTACGTTTAAGCCTGTTTATTAGGAAAAATATCAAATAAGTAGCATGACACTACACTTAATGAGTGAAATGATATATTGTAAATAGTTGGATACATTAGCTGGCTCCTGCCCATGAGAATTTTGGTAGTATACTTGTGGTATACCTACCACCTCATCTTGGGAATCCACGCCCTTTTCATCTCCTACCAGCTTGGTCCAAGTGTTGGAACCAGCCTGAAATACTGTACGGGCCTGTGGCTTCTGGCGTAAGGTTTTCTCCAAGCCATAACTTCCCCTATTAACCTCCTGAGAGACAACACAGTCCCATTACACAATATGATAATCAAAAAGGAGCCACACCCTCTTATCCACTTTCATAACACACAGAACCTGCTAGACAAGTGTACAGTGCACTTTGTTAAATGTACATTTGCTTTTCAATCAAATGTCGAGGAAATGAATACTGTACCTCTTTCCACCAATACCATTTCTCTCCATCAGGAGGTTCTTGAAAAGAGATATTTGTATTAATCAACCAATCAAGCTTTATCACACAAACTTTCAATAAATTAAAAATACAACAAAAACAACTACCTATTAATTTTTTCAGGCGAACTTCACATGGCCTCAGTGTAGACAGGTCCACACCATTCAGGTCTAACATTGAAAAAAATAATAATAATTAACACACTGGAGCTCTAATGGTAGTGTAGCATGCATGTTCTATAGAGATAGTCACAATTAAATAATACCCAATGAATCATAGTTCCTCTTGAATGAGTTGTTGCTACTGTTGTCCGAAGTCACATCAGAGTCACTCTCTGTTACAGTGTCAGTCTCAGGCAAAGCAACACCTTCTTTGTTATTCTTTAAGACCTGAAATTAATTAATTAGATCAACAAACAGTACAAGCCAATATGCCATAATAACAATATCAAGGGAAAGCAACACTAAATAACTTTTCAAACACACTCTAAAAATGCACATTAAATTTATGCAAATGCAACATAAAATTTATATAATTTGTACACACATAATGTACGTATGGCTGTCTTGACAAATTTGAGTGTGCTATATGCAGCATTAATTTTAAGTCATCACGACAAGTCATTTGCAGTTGTGTATTACATGACAAAAGTTACTAAGTGTTGCTTTCAAAATTATTGCTTGTCAAACCTTGTCAAAAATGTGATTAGAGTCTAGTGAAGGGTGAGGAAAGGCCAGCAGCGTCAGAATCAGCTTTCTGAAGATGGAGGACGGTTTTAGGTCTTTTAAGACTTTGACCCAGTGCTTCTCCAGTGAGGCTCCTGTGTTATCGTTTTTCTCCTCATCATTTATGTTCTTTACATGTATGTCCACTTCTGTTTTGTCTTCTTGTGTCTTGTTCTCAATCATGTCCTCTTCAGGTGTGTCCTCTTCAATCTTGTCCACAGTTTTGCCTTCTTTAGTTTTGTCCTTAGTCATGTCCTCTTGAGTCTTGCACTCTGTCATGTCTCCTGCACGTAAGTCCTCTCTAGTTTTGTCCTCCCCTGTTTTGTCCTTTGTAGTTTTCTCCTCTTTAGTTTGGTTCTTGTCTGTGTTCTCTTTAGTCTTCTCCTCTGCAATTCTGTCCTCCTTCTCACTCTTGTCCTCTGCAGCACGTTGGTAATGTTGAAACTCATCCCTGAGCTGGTCTCTCTCCTCAGGAGATGAACACACTTCTAACCTCACTCCAATGTCCTCTACCTCTTTGTCAGTAACAGTCAGTCTGCTCTGTGGGTTTAGCAGCTGAACTATAGACCGCAGCATCACAGTACTCAAAGGTAGAGCATCTGCAATGCTATTGGTGAGTGCAATGTAAAGAGATAAGGCCTCTTGCTGTAGTAGTGTGAGAGCATCCAAACAATTAGACTCCTTTAGAAAGTCATGTAAGGCTGGTCCTCCAACTCTCATGCTGGTGCTGGATAAATGTGAGTCTGTGTTTTTAAGAATTTGAATGTCTCTTTCTCTGAGGAACTGAAACTCTGCCTGGGGCTCAAGAAAACAGGAGGTGTATGTTTGTAGCAGCTTACTGGCTTGTCCCAAAATTTTGACAAAATCAGCAAGCAATTCTTCCTTTTGAGACTGCAAATTTTTTTGGAAGCTGTGCAGTGGCTTTATGGCCTCAGTAAGGATCATGTATTTTGCCTTGACTCGGGGATCCTGCAGCTGTGAGCAGATTAATTTGGCTTTTTCATCCTCTACACTGCATACTTCAAAGTAAGATGTCAAGTCTGTCCACATTTCCAGGAAACTGCAGACTAACGGATATAGATTAAGGCAACTCTTACTGATAAAACTGTCAAATGATGAACAGTCCAAGATTTCAGATCCAAAAAGACTGCTGAGTTTGTCATTCTTAGTTTGACAGGAGGTGTGATAATTGTGCATGTCTACAAGCATTTCCAGTGTCTTATTAGAGAGCTGTTTCAGTGCAGCCTCACAGGCTCTATCAGCCATGGTGTACAAACAGCCAAAAGACACCATGTTGGGTCTGAGCTTCCAGAGCTCTGATTGCATCTGCTCTGATGCAGCACCATTACCCTCCATATAAAGGGCTACCAGATTTGCTGAGGGCAAATCAAACCTATTTAAAATCCCCACCACTGTGTCTCTCTTTTGGTCTTCTGTGCTCTCTGACAAAGCCTCAAGGGCATCCAAAAACCGGATGCAATATCTGGGCTCCTCAGAGTCAAAGTAACCTATGAGCAGCACAGAGACCTGGGTGTGCTCCACCGATATTCCTCCAAATATATATAAACAATAAGGAGTGATCTGACAGTGAGAGGTTATATTTATGGGGTAATTTAAACCCAGTTTAGAGCGGGCAAACTCTCTGGGCTCCAGTTTCCCAGAATAATTAAAATAGTGACATATAAATTGAACAGCTGTCCAGGAGCAGGGCAGAGGTGTTGAAATGTGGTTTAATAGGGTTCGGTTCTTGGCAAGTGTTTCTCTCTTTTTGTGTATATTTGTTTCAGAGTGTCTCTTCAAGTCAATGGTGCCTCTCAAAAATGTTTTGAGATTTCTGTGACATATGCGGCAGTAGGTGAACTGCTCACCTAGAGCACTTGCATGTGCCCATTCAAAAGTCTCCTTCCAAGTGTCACTGTAGGGACATATTTTTGAGGGGTCGATGTTACTCTCTGAGTGCAGAGTGCCATTGGTCCTGGATTTATACTGTGCAGCTCCTGAATGATGGTACACTCTGTATCTTTTGACATTGGCCATATAGAAAAGTCTGAACCACTTCATCAATTCAAAGTTGCTTCTAAAATCCCCCGTTACTAGCTCGTTCACAGGAAGAGTCTAAGAACAAATAAAACATACTTTGATAATAAACATGTAACACAGTACAATGACATAGAATACATTGTAAGTTCATATTGTTTGCATACCTTTGTAACTCCACTCTTGGTGAAGGCCTCCTGGAGTAAATTGAAATTATGCTCAAAATCCTCTTCAGTCTGTGGGCTGATCTTCACTTTGGTCATGTCCACAGAGCCTGGCGCAACAATGTCCATGATCTGACATTGGCTTGTCCCTAAAAGCAAATACATACTATAAAAGCCTGCAATGATAATATTTTGTATTTGTATTAATAAAACATAGTAAAACTACCTGAAGACAGCTGTCTGACATCTGAGAAGTCTGTCTTCAGCAGACTGTTTACCCAGGACACCACATAAGCTCTGCTGCTCTTATCATGAGTGGAGTCTGGGTTCACAAGGATTTCCTGTGGCTCTATCATCTTTGGAGTTCAGAAAATACACCTGAAAAGAACGATTACATTTAGTTTCAAACTGACCTTGTGTGGGTGCATCCGTGTAATCACTGTGATTGTTGACATTAGTAGTTCTTTTGGGCTTGTAGAGCTATGGGAATGGGGATCGGTTCAAATAGTCTCTCCTGTTGATGTATCACTGGAGGGCTCATAGTTGTCTGCTATAAGCCCGTGCTTGCTCCTGCTATGTGCACTGGTCTGATTCAACTTTATAACGCGCTTGTAACGATGTCGCTTAGACGTTATAATCCTGATCGGCTCTAGCTGTAGTGGCCGCGCTGCATAAAGCAGCCATGCTGATCCCATCTCTTCCTCAATGTATAGAAAACGTCCCGCAAAGTCTCGCGTGGTTGGTCCATTTTGCCGCGAATGTTCCACTCCTAAAACTATCTCTGCTCTTTACCCTGAACAGACTTTTAAAACACGTGTTACTGTCTGCACGAAACCCCTAACACCAGCTGTTTTACATTTGCTGTGGATCTATTATCTTAAATAGTTAAGGTAATGCCCGTATAATTTAACGTAAGCACGCATGGAGCAAAATCTATAGCCTTTCGCCAGTAAAATGCACGAATGGACTGAAATGATACAGTTGCTAAATCATGACATGTCGGCACCAAACTCAAACATGAAGGAACGTAAGAAGTCAAGTCCTGTTTCTTTTCATTTCCATCTGATTTGCCTTTGTGTTTGCACGCACCGGTCTTTGTGCAGCCCGCAGCTCACGGGATATACAAACAAACCGAGACGAAAGAGAAACTAAAAAGGAGGTAAATGTATCGGAGTGCTCTTAGCAACATGTATTACACACATAACCAGGTCAACGCTTTGTTTTGTACGTCCACGTACAGCTGGTCCTTTATCTTAGCTAGCCTAATACTGAAAATATCGTGGTGGACTTACCTCCTCTCCCCATTAGGTGTCGAGGGATACTACGAGCTCGATCGTAAAGCCCAATTACAATAGGCTGGCCAGTGTGACGTCACACTTGCCCAGTTCCCCGATTGGACGGTTCCTGGGCCTAGGACGGCCCGTCCCGTAAAAGAATAAGCCACGCCACCCACTAAATCAACGATTGCTGGCTTTTCGTGCGAATCCGCCTTTGAATTGTAATAAGAGTTGTGTCTTTGTCGCTTTGTCCGAAAAATGTACGGTTCGGAATTGGAATCTTCAACAGGGCGCATTGTTACCCACAAAGTCACTTCAATCTGTCGACATAAAGTCGCAATAACGCGAAGGCTGTGCGCAAAGCAAACCGCCGAAATTGAACTAATTGAAATATAAGCATTAAAATATAAACTTGAGTGGAATCAATTTAGTGGGCCTATAATGGCATATATGTGATATTATAAGGTGCGTGCTTGCGTATAGCCTACTATACCCAAAACATGTCGTTAAAATCACTTCACGTTTAGGCCGTCGTCTAGAAAAGTTTTACCCTAGAGTGAACTGGTGTGATCAGTTGGCCTAAAAAACTTTTGTCCGTGCAAAGCAGGCTATATTGTTGGCCACTAACAATTACCTATTATTGGCTTTTAAACGAGAACTGTCGTATTTTAGATTTCGCCTTTGTAAACCTTTTGCCGAAATGGCGAACAGATGACGCCATTTTCTGCTGCGATGGTGCGAGCAGAACAATGCGCAAAGCAAAATCATGGTTTGTGTGAAGTCAGCGACGCACAGAAGCCTTCGTGAAATAAACAACAAATGAACGCAATGCACAGCGATAGACTCCCTTTGCCAATGATCACAAACACTCAAGGAGTTTGCGAAATCACAGCTTTATCAAAAGGCACTGATATTCCGTGGGGAACACACCCCAATAGCCAAATTTACAGATAGTCTTTCATACGAGATAGCTATCTCAAGCAAAGTGGGAATCTATTCTTGTGTAAGTTATGCCATGTAATACCACGACATGGAGGCTTTGAGCACGAGCTGAGCACGAGATTGAGCAACTACCGTAGACCTTAAATGGCTATGTGGTGCCTTGAGTTTTGCAATAGGTTAAATAGGCTCCATGAGCAATCCATCAAAAACCTGAGGATTAGTGAGGTGTGGCTCTAAATCAGAGTTGTTTATTCCACAACTGAGTGTTAAAATGCTAATTATTAGGACCATTTATATGGAGAAGCACTTGGACCAGAATTAAGATTTGGAGAAGGATGCCTGCCCTTCATTGTGGGAAATGGGTGAGTTTAACAAGTTGCTTTGGTGATTTAGTGCAAACATGTACTGAACATAAAGCAATTGTTATAAAATGTACTAAATATGGGCCTATAGTAATGGGCATGCATAGAAAAATAGGTGTCAAGATAAACTAGACTACCTCTAAAGACTAGACTACCTCTAAAGATTAGACTACCGCTAAAGACAAAATATTGCCAACATTGAGGACAGTAGTGCTAAGGTGTTATGAAGTGTTCACTGTGCATAAGGTGAGAGGTTATGGTGCAGATTGACTGTAGCCTCCTGCTCAAGGGCTCAAATAGTCTGTCTGCTGGGTGGGATTTTGGTGGGTGGGTCCATGATCACCTCCACTGTGTTTTGGTCATTGAGCTTCAGGTTGTTAGTACTGCACCAGGTCACCAGCCAGTTCACCTCCCTTCTGTAGGCAGACTCATTGCCTTCAGAGAGTTTCACAGGATCACAGCTGGAGGTGCAGCACACAGGGAGAACATCGGGTTCTCAGAATGTGACCTGTTCACACCATCCACAGCTTCTACTCTTATGCATGGAGAAGGCAGACAGCTCTGTCAGTGTAAGCACTTATACTGAAGAGGGAGATCAATCTCTGTGAGCTTTCTCTACCAAAAGTCTGAAAATAACACAGTCATAGCCCATTTTCAACTGTCGCTTTTCAGCACAACTGCGCTCATCTACCCATCTTTCAGGTATAGGCCCCTAGGGCCTAGCACCTCAGTGCAGCTTTTAGGGTCAGCATAGTCAGCATAGTTTGCTTTGGCTAGAGTGGAACCTGGAAACACTCCAAACTGTAGCCTGGATAAGCCAGACATGAGTTCTTGGTGAAGGAATACAGTCTGGAAACCAAACCCCCATGCACCCCTGTGCATTCGCATTCCTTAGTAGTTGCAGAGGTGTGCGCAAATGATTTGTGTTACAATGCATTGAAACAAGACAAGCAAATTTGTTGAAGTCCATTATTCACAATAATACAGTAGTACCCAGGACAATTTAAGTTTGCTGCTTCTGCTCTCGATTTTTATGAATAAATAAATAATAGCATTGGCAAACTATTTACTAACTATGTACTAAGTTAAAAGGCTGTGGATAAAAGTGGTGAATACACATCTAACAGTGTACTGTCAGTATATGAGTGAATGCGAAATCCTGTAGTTTGCATCTTCAAATATCCCCTGGTTTTCTTAACATGCACAAATAACTCAAAATACAATTCAGTTATCGAATAATGAGGAAAGTAACCCTGTTTAAACAAAAAATGTGTCTATTTTAGCTGTTGGATAAACCAATGATCTTATTAAGCAGTAAGGGCCACCTGCTGTTGTGATTTAGAGCTTTACAAAATTAAAGTGAAGTGAATTGAAAATAGTTGGTACACAGAGCATCTAGACCTACCAAACATACTACCCCAGCGGATATGGAGCAGCTGGAATTCTTTATTTTCTTGTGATAATGGGTGTATACCCTTAAAAATACTATGTGCCTTATAAGCAATATTATTCATATTCAGCAATATTATTATTCAATATTGAGATATTTTTCTGCTGTTTTTTATGCATAGTAAAGTCTAGTTAATAATGAAGCAATGAACATGCTTAGTTTATGTAAATGATTAACTCAAAGCCTTTATACTGGCACTTTTCTTTCTTGTACAAATTGGAGGAAAACTATCATCTGTTTTGCAGTCATGGTTAAAAGTAGTTAACTCTAGATTTTAAGTTCAATTTGTTTCATGCTGAAAAAGAGGAACAACATGGTCAGTGAACAAGGAAGTTTAAAAACGGCATAAATAAAGGCAAAGGTCATAGGGGCCTTTTTAGGGGATAAGACTTAAGGGACAGGGACTGACAGGTGCAATCACACATGTGCTACAAAGACGAGGCTAAGAGGACGTCAGTGTGACCATGGGGGGCCACTATGAGCATGTCACAACCAATCAGAGCGAAGCAGGAGAGCGTGGAGTGTTTGCAGCTCTTCATCAGAGTCCATTACTGTTGAGCACACAACGCACAGGTGGCTACGACAGATCCTATGTTTCTTGTAAAATTTTTCAGTAGGATTGACAGATTTGGAGGAAATATTTGAGTTCATTTTGATTTCTTACTGATAGAAGATCATTTAACCCTGTTGTTTGTTATTAGGTGTCATAATTCTTACTGCTGTCTTGTCTATCTGTATAGCCATTGATGAACTCCTTAATTTATGTGCACAGAGTGCACATTTTTAACATATCCACGAGTATTAACATTTGTTGATTGTAGAGATCTAAAATAGAAGAGCATAATACTCTTGTTAGTAGAAGAGTTATTGCAGCCTTTATAATTTGTGATTAATCCTGCCGTCAGAAAACTGGAAAAAACAAACAAAAAAATTGTATTCTCATTGCCCATGTTTCTATCTTGCTGTTACAAGCCTATTACCCTTAATTACCTGCAGTCTGAGCTTTAGTGATATGGCTCATAAGTATTAGTGTGGTAGTTTGAATATATGAAATACCCCACGTATTTCATACATTCTTTCATTGTGTAGAGTTAGCACACTTCCTTTGGGCCCCTTGTAGACTACAGGGAAAAGAGGCGGGACTTGTCAGGGAGGGGTTAGTCAGTGCAACAGAAACCATTATTCTGCTTATGCCTACTATGGTTTATTTAGCTGCAACATCTTTGTAATAGAGGTAATTATAATTAAGGCTATAGTGCAATGTGCCATGAATGAAATCCAGGTTAGTATTTCCTTAATCCAAGCTGCAGAAAATGGTACACATATTAAAAACTAATATGTGACACTGCAGAGCTAATAAAGACATTTTGGGTAAAATGCAATTTGATTTGCGATGTGTTTATTATCATTTTAATACTTGGATTCTACTCAATGTTTTAAACACGTCCTAACTAAGAACTAACAAAGATACTGTCCAGTTTGTACAGGTCTAAATGATAGGGTTAGCGTTTCTTATGTAGAATATATTGTTGTCTGTGGACAAAATGGTGTGTAAAAAAAATTGCAGGCTTTGATATTTGCTAATTGCATTAATTCAAACTGAGATTTTGATTCCAATTAATCTTGCCACAGTAACAATGTCTCCAGCAGGACCCATATAGGTAGCAACCGTTTACACCCTTTCTTGGCACATATGTATTAGAGAGGAGGGCAGTGTAATATTGTGGTGACGAGTGGGGAGAGATTGTCAGAGCAGGGAATCGATCTCACAAAGCTAAGGCCAACACAGAGCCCAGCAGTTTAACTACAACCAAACCTCTGGGCAGTAGTGTAGCACCTTTAGCTTATCCACAGACAAAAGTAAAGGGTGGAGACGCCATGCTTCTCCTGACAGTAATCCAGAGTGGATCCGGGACACGTGGAGCAGAAAAGGGGGTGTGCAATGTGCCCTTCTCTGCTGTCACTAGCCCCTCTCCCACCCACCCCAACTCCCCACCCCCAACCACCCCTCCCGCCATGATTAACCACACTCATCGGCCCCTCTGCTCCGTCCGCCGTTTCCTGTTACTTAGTTACCAGTTGCCACGATTTGCCTGGGCCGCTTGTGTTTCCATGGCGACTGTGCCCATTCTGTCGTCTCTGGCTGCCTCTCGGTGGTGCTGTCCCAGCGGCCTATAGTTACCCCAGGTCCTGACCCACTGCTCTGCTCTGCTCTAGTCCCATATGAGGAGGTCCATGAGGCTTTCAATGCACTGTACCGAGCTGGTAAATATATACTTCAACTTTTGCTGCTGCTGCTCTGTGCTGCGAGTGACTGAGCAGATAAAGATAGGACTGAAATAATAGACTGGAGGTATTCAGCAGTGCGTGAATCACTCTAAAATCTCTTTGCAAATTCCTATAGCATCAACATAAATAGATGCAGTATTTTTCACACTTGGATTGTTCTGATCTTAAAAACTAAATGCATAATTAAAATTACTAAAAGGCCTCTTAACTATAATTAATAATGTCTTATTTTTGTTTATTTGCTTTGATTTTATTTTTGCCAGATAATGCTGATTTTTTATTTTTATTTTTTATTTTTCCAAAGCTTTGGGTAACAGCATTGCTTATTTTAAGTGTGAAACATCCTGGACCCTTGATATTTTCAGCATAATATATCAATGAATCTCACTCATATCCACCCACTACAAGATCACTTGTATAATGCAATAATATCATCTAAAATAAATTACCTGTCAAAACACAAAAATTAGCATATACAAGTAAACTATAGTCATGTATTTTGATGGGACAATATAAAAGATGCAGTTCCCGTCGACACCATGAGGAGGTGGTGTTTAACAGACACTCATTTAACACAAGATCAACAGTTCTTAACAGCCCATCTGAGCATAGGCAACCTCCCTCTGTTTGACTGTGAATGCATCTACTGGGACAAACATGGCCAGCAGTAAAAGGCGCACTGTCCTTCATTTTAAAAACTGTGTTTTTATATAATTTTCTAACTTTACAAGTTAGAAAATTATATAAAAATCTATAACACTGAATGTATTATTTTTTCATGACATCCAGTTTATTTGTAAACTTTCTAAACTATTTCTAAGGTATTTGAGGAGCAGGTGATGCAGTGCCCAAATGCTGATATCAGCACTTTGAGTTAGTCTTTCATTGCCATGCTCTGTAAGCCCTGTTGCAGTCCTAAATAAGGAATCCCTCAAAGGCTGGTGCTAAGTTGCAGCACTTTGGCTTCATTAGGACTGAGGAGATGTTCCCAATTGACAGGTCCCACAGAGGAACCAGAGCATCCATCTTCTGCCCACAGGACCTGTCCAGCTCTCACCACAAAAAACTGCACATAGCAAACATCAATTTTCTTCTTTGCTGTGGCCATATTTTTCTTATGAAGAGAGAAAGCTTTGAGCAGTTTTCTCCTCTGAGGGACAGGGAGCCCTCCAGCTCATCCGCATCCAGGCCAGTCCTGTGAGGAGACAGCCAAATGATGAAACAATCTGTAAGATAAAGCGAAGGGCCTAGGCACTGCACAGTTGAACATAAACATGTGTGCTCTCATCAGCCTGAATGGGCCGAGCAGTGGTCCATGGTTAAGGGTGGGGCTTTTGTCCGTACAGTCTGAGTCAGGATGGAGAGACATGAGGATGGGGCATCCCACTCACCCTCTGCACGGCCAGAAGCACTGCTGCGCTGCTGTCATGGCAACAGCAGCAGTCACCAGCACCAGCCTGGGCCTCATGCACAGGCCAAGAGGAGTCCGACTGCCCACAATGAGAGCACAGTGAATTCAAGCGGGCACAAAGTACTATTAGGGCTCTACCTCTTTCTTTGCATCTGAACTGGACCCAAATGTGACATGGTTCAGCTCAGATATGAGTGTTACAGCCAAACACAAGTATCCAGATGTTGAAATACTATCAGCCAAGATACACTGACATGAAATTAAATTCAATCTGATAAGATTTTTTTTCAATTGGCAAGTTTAATTTGTGAACATTTTGAATTGAAGAAAAACTAAAGGAAAAAAAATAATAATAATTTGCCCCACCCAACTTGTGCTTGTGACAGAAGCCCATGGTGTTCTGATTTGGGTTGTTTCACTGTTAAGATACTATTACTTGAAATATTTTTCTGTTCTTTTTCATAAGTAACATGAATGTGCCATCTTGTTTCTCGAGTTGACAGTGGTTTCCTCTCTAGCATATTCCGGGAAAAACGGCCACCCTGCCCCCTCCTCTCTCCACCTTCTTCAAATCGGACATGTTCTTTCACTACTTGATTTCCAACGCCACTTATGCACTCGGCTTTGGAGAAAACCAAGCTACTTGCAGTGTCCCGTCGTCGTTGATGCCGAGAGAGTGGCGTGTCTGAGCCGCGCAGTGAAAGCCCATTCAAACAGGTGTGAAGAGCCGACCGTTCCAGGTGGCGCATGTGGGTCGGATAAGAGCGCATTGTGCATCATTGTGCATCAGCCCTGATCAATCATCTTCTGATAATATAGTTCAATTTGAGAGAAAATGTCGACTGGGACCAAGAGGAGCGTTTGTTGCGACGCTTTTGTCAATGTTCTTTGTTGTTAAGCGAGGGCTCTGGCTTTACGCACAGGTGGGAGATACCCGCTCGGCGTAGGACAGCCCCCCTCTCTGCTCCTCAGCTGATGATGTGAGGAAGTGACATTTTCACCGCTGCGGTTCGGGACAGCACTGCTCCGCTGCAAACAGGTGTGATCGTGCGCGCGTCAATCTGAGCCGAAGAAAAACAACGGAGCGTCCCGAAACGAGGCGGGACAGCGGGGCCAAAAGAGCAACAGCGAGCCTTTATTAGCCTGAAGTGACTGAGCCGGTCCACACTCAGCCAGAGGAGGAGACGGAGCGCTATGACAACGAAAAAAGCGTGCGTGGAGGCGCCCAAAAGGAGCCGGAGTCCGGTCGTTCTGGAGGCGGAGATGTTCACCGAATTTCAGGACTGGTGTCTCCGGACCTACGGAGACTCGGGTAAAACAAAGACAGTCACCAGGAGAAAATATAACAAGATAATGCAGACATTATTGCAGAATGAAGAGTCAGACGGCGTTTATGTCGAGAACAGCCACATCAACGCAAAATTCAAATTCTGGGTAAAATCTAAAGGGTTTCAGGTCGGAAATAACATCTTAGGGGAGCACAACAAGAAAGGAGCCCCGGGGAAACCCGTGTTATACGTCCCGGTCAAGTCTACGGTAAGTGTGTGTGTTGTGCATGTGTCTGAGAGTCCCGTCTCCGCCTGTAAGTTATCATGATCTCTCCCTGCGCACGGGAGGCAGACAGTCATAAAACTTATCAGGTTTCATCTTTGTCCCAGTGTCGGCTCAATATCGTAATTTTTCCATAAAGCGTCACTTTGTCCATCCCAAGCAGAGCAACCCTACTCTCATCCCGCTGCCATGGCAACGCCGGTGCCTCCTGGCAGTGCAATTGTAAAACGTATCGAGCCATCTCTATGAAAGCCAAGTCGTGTCAGCGCCACATCAACATTTAGATACTGTCCAGTTTAGGGATAGTGTGCGTGCGTTTATGCAAAGGCATGTTCGCAGAGCATTTGTGCCTATTTCGAAGCCCATGTGCAAAATACCACATCATTTAGGCTCTGCTCAGCACATCACCGACGCACGCGCCTCTGTCCCGTCCCATTTGCGGACACTAGACAGTCTGCTCTCAGCGTCAGACAGTACTAAGGCTTAGTGTTATAAATGGAAAACGTATTTAAGAAATCAGTCAAATTATGGTGCGCACGTTGAGTCTTGGTGCGCACCCCACTCCTCATTGTCCTGGGAAGGATGCGGCTCGAGGCGCCCGTTGCTCTGGCAACACCTGTGTCGTCCAGAGCAGGACGGTGCCTCTGTCGCATCTTATTCTGAAGCTTTAGACGCCACAGTTGTATCTAGACCCTCGCAGGCTTAACTGGAGTATCTCGAACATGTGTTAAATGCCTAACGGTATTTTCTGAGCATTTTATGGAGCAGTAGCTGTGCGTAATTGTGACCACGTGAGCGACTGTGGCGGAAACAAAAGGCTCTGCTAGGAACTGATAGCGACATACGCCCACAGTTAGTGCTTAACTCGGCTTCTGTCAAAGCGGCAGTAATAGGAAGTTAGCTCGGTGCACAAGCCCTATAATGACCCGCGCGGATAAACGCGTTCATGATGAACTGTCAGTGTGTGCCCCAGCACAGCTCCGTGCGCGCGCCTGTGCCTGTGCGCGCTCACCCGTGTCTCTGTGTGGTGCACGGCCTGCTGTGGCGGTAAGGAGACAACCACCATTTTAAGTAAGCGCCTTCAGGGAATAATCTCCCCCGCCCGCACTGGGACAGTCTCTGGACCCAGAGCCAAACACAATTTGTGCGTGAGCAGAGACAGACAGATTGAACCCTTTGATTTGGTTTGAAGAGCGCAGATCCCTCCACAGGTGTTTTACCTGTGAATGCACACTTTAGATTTAGGCCAACTGCCCATACTGAACAGCTGTAGGCCTAATCCGCTTCATATTTTTCAGTATAGTTTTAGTCTGGCCACGAGCAGGTGTGCCCTGTGTTTGCAGGTGCAAAAATGTGTTGAATTTTATTCCATCATTTCCATAGGCTATAATGAACATTTTATTCTATTTGTAAGGCTGCAAACAAGATCTAATCCACAAAACACTACAAACCACATCCAAAGTATGTTAAGAATGTATGATAGATTATTATAGAAGATTATTTTGTCCCCAAAATACATAATTCATTGTATTATAAACTATTTCTCAAAAGCAGTTGCATTTTGGAAATGAACAGGAAACACAAATGAGAGATAAAATATTTCCTTTCAGTATCAGTCAGAAGCAACAAGTTACAGCCATTAAAGCAGTGTTAATGCATTTCCTTCAGTGCTGTGTCCTGGGCCATTAGAGGCCACAGGGCAGGTGTACATAATTGGTCATTGGCTTTTCGAGGACTGCAGGCTGGGGGCGTGTCTCTGTGCTGTGCATTGGAGCCCACTGCAGCTGCTCCCTGGGTGTGCCAAGTTTCTGTGTGGGGACAGGCATGGGACTAAATGACAGGAGGCTGGGTGGGGGAGGGCGCGCTGTGGCGATGTGCAGACAGAGAAGGTCTCTTGTATGTGTCAGTGAGGCGTACAAGGCGCTTCAGTTTGACGGGACAGAGGGAGAGGCCGGGCATGGTAACTGCAAACAGCGTCGGACAGTCTCAGCATGGAGGGCCTTTTCATGTGTCACACTCAACAAGGAATTATTTACTGTCAGCTTCTCTGTTCTATCCTACAGTCCTCCTTTTAGACCGAGCTGCTCTGAAGATCCAGAATGAGGAGATGCAACCTCGTTTAGCTCTCATTATGTCCTGATTAGAGGACGCTACAGAGCAGGAGGGGGGTAGGACCAGAAACAGACACTGACATGCACCGTTCAACAAGCCTTTCCGGAGCAGAGTACCCAGTCTAAACAGAAACGCTCAAACACATAATGAATTCCCTAAGGACTGTTTGAAAAATGTCTAAATGAAGCATAATGTTCCTTTAGGTTTCTAAACCAGTAGTAAATATTTCAGTTGCTCTTTCACATCTCTGTTTGAAACAAAAATCACATTTTGAAGGACTACAATTTGTCAAATAGCTCTGAATTGCTCTGTCCTGTCAAAGATGGAGGCAAAAAAATTAAGACCTTAACAATGCTATTATCAATCAATAAACCAATGGCTGCTTCTGGGACGTCCTGCCCACAGGTGTAATTCTGAACTCCACAGCACCACACTAATATGTGCTGGAAAATAGATCTCTGTGTTTGTGCCTCGGCCTAAGACAGACAGACGAACATTATCATTATTATCTGATTAATTAGTCCAGGTTTCCCCTGAGAGCACCTCTTTTGTGCTGGAGCCACAGAGTCAAAGGAATAGGGCCCATTTGTTCAAAAGCATTTGCATTAAAATTTGAACCAAAAAATGTTTTTAATTTGAGGAGGTGGTTATATTGTCTGCAGCTCGTCCTATTATACAAACACAAACAGCAAAGGCTAATCAAGCTTCATTACTTTCATTCCAGCTGATGAACAACTTGTGTGTGAAAGATGCATAGCCCCGAGCTGAGCATCTCATCACAAGTTCTTTGTTAGACAAATCCCTCTGTATGTAACGACACCCTCTATGCTGTTTTGGGTGGTTGAGATACGGCCCGTGTGATAGTTGAGCGTACTGTATGTGTGCTGGTACAAAGAGGGGGTCGCAGATCGCATGCTCTGTGTTTCCTCCCTACAGCACCCTCTCTGTTGCCATGGAGAGCTCGTTCTTTGCTTTCCCATAGGAGGAGAAATTAACACCATTTTTAACTGGCCTGGGGGCCTCCCCCCTGTGTGGGAGATGTCTGAGTTGTGCTTGACTCGTGCACACAGCTGGTCTTTAAGATGGCCATAATCGTCCTAACTCACTGCTGCTGTCATTTGTTACACCTTCAGAGGGGCGGCGTTTACCAAACTGGGACGGAGTCTAATGGGTGCAGAACGACAAAAATGATCATGTGATGATGAATGCTGTAGCCATTTCCACACACCAATGGGAGCCAATGGGAGCACCTGTCTCTGTGGGACATTGGGGATGTCACAGGCTCTATCAAATAGTGCTCATGATGGGTGCAACTGAGAGGAAAGCACTCACTGGACACAAGGCCCAATCTAATGTGGATTTAATGACAGGACTTAATAAAGTGGTTGGTCCCGGGATGATGGGTAAAAACAAGGAAGGAAGACAGACCATACGTCTAGTCTTGCTATTATATTAGTCTCCCATATATTACTCTGGGGGTAAAGGAGATTCCCATTTACATGTCCATTAGCCAGTTGACAGATTTACAATGAGGTTATGGGCCTTTAAAAGACGACCTGTTGTCACATCAGCAGTGAGATAATCTGAGTCATAAGTAGAAGTGTTGACATACCCCCACCCCTCCTCACACACATTAATGAAAAATGTGAGGATGACCCAACCACTGAAGCAGACTTAAACACATTCAGTTTGTGTTTTAAACTTAAGAAATCCAGAGCATCAGCAGTCCAGTCAGAGCCACAGCCATTGAAGCTAATTTGGTGGGTCTGTCCTGGCTTCGTGACCCAGCTGCTGGCCCCTCCGCCCCCTCCTCCTGACCTGGCTGTGTGCAGGACTGCTCGGCTGGCTCCCTTCGGCGACTCTGCCTCGCTCCGTGTGCATGTGTGGATGTGGAGACTGCCAGCGGGGGTGGGGGCGGCCAACTCAAACCCCTCCTGTCTCCTAGCAACAGAGCGGTTTGGTGCGGGACAGGGAGAGCGTGCAGGGGATGGGGGCTGGTTACACACACAACAGTGGCTAGGGAGAGCAAAGTCCTACGGGATTAGAAAAGATGGAGCAAAAGGAGCAAAGGGGAGAGTGAGAAGAGAGCTGGAGTTTAGTGGCGCTCTGTTATCTGTGATTGAGGATGCTGACATGTCTTCTTTGCTCTTCAAAAACGCTGCTGATGACACCAAATATCTACAAAGACATTCAACAGCTGTTTGTCCCTGTGATGCTGTGCTACTGTACAAAACTCACACAGCCCATGCAAATCCACACACTGAGATAGTTGTGCTGAGAGGTGCACTCCCTCTCCTCTTGTTTTGGGAGCTACAGTAAACAGCTTTTCGGGCAAACTACAGCCACGCAGCGCACAGGCCTCCAGGTGACGTGATTGCTGATGAAAGCAGTGCACTCACAGCCGCAGGCAGTTATTTCCTGAGTGAATATACAATCGTTTTGTAAATTTGAGTTTTTACATTCAGACACATGCCAGGGCTACAGGAGGCTTACTGCCAATCTAACTGTGCTGGAATGCACAGGGTTTGTGGTTCATTGGATTTCTTGTCCTGAAGCGGAGAGCCTGCTCACACAGAGGATCCCGGGTGTAAAATGCCGATGTTTGTTGGTAGAATTCAGCAGAGGATGCAGCGGAGTGGGTGCACCGCACACCCCACAGTAGTGAGATTATCTAAATCCAGCGTGAATGGACCTGACACCATTGTCCCAAGCAGTGCCGCGGTGATGTCACCAGGGAATGGAGATACCTCCAGTGCAGCAGATTACAGCTTGACGATGAGGTGAAGGATTGCTATTATTTCATTTATTATCATTACATTTAGTTCATGCTGACACAGAGAGAGGGGAGAAGGGATCGGATTAAAACAAACCCGCTCAGTGAGCTGGTTTTAGTTGCCATAGCAACGATCATTACCTCGCACTTGGGAGAGCAGGAGAGAGAGAAATGGGGAGAACGGGACAGAGGTAGAGATGGATACAGAGGGAGCTCAGTTAAAAATTATAAAATAAATGTCAAATCTCACAAACAAACCGGAAATAACAAGCAAGTGAAAAAAAGTACATTTTTCAACATGGGGGGGAGGATTTTTGAACTTGGGACACTCATCAGTAAAATGAGGCAGAATCAACTGACCCACCTAGAAGCCAATCAGTAGGAAATGTCAGGGCCAGGCTCATTTCAGAGGGGCGCGGTGTTTCTAATTAAAAAACCCAAATCCATTAGTTCCATGTGACACTGCTGGGACGGCCACTCAGAGGACCACAGATAAGATCTGGTCCAAAGGGCTGTTATTCTGGTGATCAACACCACACAATAGTTGGTGCTGGAGCTGAGGGAGAGGGTGGAGGAGCAGGGAGAGAAAGCCCCATGTGGTGCAGTGGATGGAGGCCGTTGTCCTGGCGATTGCACTTCTCTGGTGTGTCACATGACCCTTTGCCCAGCACACCTGCCCGAGAGAAATAAGTGGCAGTTTCTATGGTGACAGGGTCAGCTGTATGGAAGCAGGATGGCTGCCAGAGGTGCTGATAGGAGGGACTGCCGGTCTCGTACAGTGTTAGTTGTGTTATTTTTAAACATTGCACAGAGGAAGCAATGTTTTTTCAGCCCCGGTAAGACTTTAAGCACCTGGAGACTGAAGGAGAAAGCACTGGACATGGCAGGCAGTGTGTCGGACAGTCCGTGACCACATTCACCATGACTCATGTGTCACTAGGATCTGTCCCGCTCCCATCACTGACTGTGGGACTCTAATACAGCTGTACCACACACATCCACCACTGATAAACCTTATTATATATGTAACCCTGAGGCAGGACATCCCACTTAACTCTGTGTTTCTGTGTTTTAGTGCTCAGACGGAAGCTCAGTGCAAGAAAACTCCTCACTGAAGCGTGTAGCGGTGGTGGAGGACTTCTTTGACATCATCTATGCCATGCACGTGGAGATTGGCACAGACCCCGGCAGAGCCCCCAAACATGCAGGCCAGAAGAAGACGTACAAGGCGGTGAGTATGAACGCTGCAATATTTCTTTGTCTGTTATGAGCTACATTTAAAAGAAAACACTTCTTCCACCACCGATATGTGTAATTTTTAGCATATTGGAGTTACCAAGGGAACAAACAGCCACATACCACAGGGCAACAAACTACACGCTTACCATATTTTTTTCTTCTTTTACTTAAGATGAAATTCAGCTTTCTTTTATAACTTGAGCTTAGGTGTGGCTTTGGGTGAGCTTTGGGACATCCTCGCCCCCCCCTCTTTCGTACAGATAAAATAAGTCAGAGCCCACTCCTGCTCTTGCCCTGTAGAGGTCCTGTCACGTCTGATAGTGTGTACCCTTTTGAGGAGGCAGCAGCAGCACTGGGGCAGGGCATAATATGGAGCTGTCAGTATGGCCTTCTGGGAGGTGCACTGCTCTGGGTGGCCTTTCCCCCTCGCTGCTGCCTGTAGGGGCCGTGGTGGTGGAGTGTATGGGGGGGGGCAGAGGGGATGGGGAGCAGCCGTGGTGGGCCGGGGGGAGGCGGGCACCCCTGCTGCATCGCCATGGTCACGTGAAGGTCGCGTCTAACAGGGAAACGCCAGCGGGGGCGAGGAGCAGAGTGGCACAGCGGCAGACGCCAGGCAGAGCAAGGCTGTAAATACAAACATGCTTCACCTGGGATACACAGAGAGCATGAGTATCAACAAGACAATCTGGGCTGGGTTCAAGTGCTTTTCATCTGTGGGTTTTCCATTTAAAATTGCCACTTCAGATCAGTCACAATAGTGTAGTTTTTTTTTTTTTATGCCAGATGCCCTTCCTGTTCATCATCATGTCACTCCAATAGTCATTGTGAGTGAAGTGTTTTGCTCAGAGGCATAACAACAGCTTTCACACAGGCGAGGTTTGTACCATTTAGCTTCACTCCCCCACTGCCACTCGCTTTCAGGTGGAATCACACATCTTTGTTGTCAGTTATCCAGAGCTCTGTATTAAAAGTATCCTAGTAGCCAAGGATCATATGTCTAAAATGCTAAACTGGACTATGTTCACTATGTGTCTCATCAATAGAGATAATTGAAACACATTTTAAAACACACACATGAAGGATTTAAACATATGCCATTGCAAAGACAACGCTGATGCTCTTTACATTCAGCATAAAAGGCACACCATGTAACTTTTCTGGTGGATGGTTGGCTACCTGCTTGCAGTGGTGGGGCGGGGATGTAATTGCCTGATCTCATTGTTTACAAAATACCTTGAAAACTGTAACGCATGCTTACTGTGAGCAAACTCATGCTGCCATCTGCTTGTCTGTATAGAGATAAGTTAAAGCCATACTGTGTACCATTCCATTCCAGACTATGCAATGACATCTCCATGGAGACGAGCAGGTGGCAGAACCTCCACCAGAGTTTCATGGTGCACCTTTATGAGAGCTGAGGGCAAAGGCCGAAATATCTGTGTATATGTGTGTGTCTGTGTGTGGGTCAGGTGTTTACGAGCGTCGACATGAGCATGAGATGATCACTGACCAGAACTTGGACAAACAGCACTCACGTTAGTTCTGACCGTGTCCATGTCCCGCTGCTTTGTCTTGTCCCCGTCACAGATCGCGGAGACGTACGCCTTCTTGCCCAGAGAGGCGGTGACTCGGTTCCTAATGAGCTGCGGAGAGTGTCAGAAGAGGATGCACATCAACCCAAGCGCGGCGGAGTTCAAAGGTAACGCGCGCGCTTGACCCGTGGCCTCTGCGCACGTTCTCCAGGCATCATTAGCTCACGCGCTATTTCTGAGGCCAACCTTTACGCAGATTCTCTGACATATCGACAGGAAAGCGGTTAATTACAGTGTAGCAAAGCCCCAGAATACAATTAGTCAAACATAACTCTAACACACTAGTCTATCTTTGCCCTACATAGCCTTATTCAGCCAAAGATTAAGTCTGTAGACATAGTTTGCAATATAAACTTAATTAAAAGTTAATGTTTACCTTGGACATGATGTTACCCATGTCAGAACAAATCAGTCGTCGAAGACTCCCTCTTGCGGCTTGAGTAGAGATTGAACAGTAGCTAGGCCACATGGAGCAAAAGTTTATAGCAGATGTCAGTTTGATGTGCAAACATTTAGCAGAGATATTTCCCATATGGACAGGTTTTCATTCACCTTTATATGCTGTGTTTAATTTAAGTAACTTCCTCTTTTTTTTGTCTCTCAGAAAACGACAGACCAGCCTCACTGGTCCCTGACCTCATCGATTATAACATGCCTCTTACCGCCACCTACCTGAAGCAGATGAAACTGCAGTGCATGACCAACACTGAGCGGGTATGTGCCTGTTGTGGGACAGCGCTGTAGCCTACAATTTCTGTAAATAAACGCACTAAACATTTATTTGTGATAAATAATTTAACAATAGCAAAAACCTACCACGACCTATTAACAAACAATTCCATCTCAACATCAATCTGCCCAGTGTGTGGCCCATAGACTCATAGGCCTAGTGTTGCCTATTTTGTTTTTTCCCTAAGTTTGGATTACTCCCAGAAAACAAATACGTAATAAAAATAAATAAAATGTAAATATGTAGTTGGTGATGTGATGAAAAATAGGGAGAGGGTTCATTGGACTGTGTTTTGGGGCGTGACGCAGCGCTCTTGGCCACGCCCCTCGCAGTGACAGGCGCAGAGACGGGAGCAGAGCACAGCACGGGCTTCAGATGTTAGCGCAGGACCCACTCGCTCATAATTAGGATTATACGGAACAATGACCCAAACAAGGGCTTGGGGTGAGTACAAATGGATCAATAGGCCTATACACACCGTTTTGGTACTTTTGAAAAAATTACTCTTAAAAACGAAACGCTACCTACCTCGTTGTGCTGCTTCAGAATAACATATAGCCACTTTGGACTGTAAACTTGATTAAATTCGTGTTCTTTGTTGGTTATGTTTGTAGTTCCTGTTTTCCTTCTCACATTATTTTGTTTCTAACTAGTCTATATGAAACTGGATTTTGCTTATATAAATCCAATAGCAACATACTCCCCTGCAACCTCTTCATCAATTATATATTTCTGCAAAGCATAAATGATGCTACATATCCTACTACTTAGAAACTGTGTCCCTCTCTCTCCCCGTTCTCTTTAATGTTGCATGGCTCACTTGGTACCTAATAGAGCTGTCAGTGAGCATTTTGGTCCTCCTCAAACTCCTTTACTGCGGGACAGGCGCATATTCCCAGGGGTAAAGGCCCATTTGTCTGCTTCTGTTGGGAAATAAGATGATGAGGTGTAATTCTATGCCCCCATTATAGAGTAGTAGTCAAGTCATGTCCTCCAAAACTCTCTGTGTTTGCCAGAAATGCTTTTATTTTTGTAAGTGTCACTGGGTCCATGCATTTCATGCTTTACTCATTTCTGTTACGCTACAGTACACATCTTTGGAGTCTACGTAACACAGTTATAAATAGATATGGACCAAGGAGCATAGTCCTATTACTTAACAAGAAAGCAGATTTAGGGCATTGTGGAGAACTTAATGCTGTGACAAAAAAAAACCAAATAGGTTTAAATTTAAATAAAATATTGCAATAATCCGTTTTTAAAATGTTATAATATTGATAATACAAAACATGCATAGTAGGACAACCCTCCAACAGTTTAATCCAGACCAAGATCTGGTTTAAGATGGGTCATGTGTGCCAACTGCAACTTTGATAAGTTGCCCGGAGGCATTATTGAAGGATGCAATACATAAACAGTATTGCTGACAATTAACTCTTGAGAAAATGTTTCAAGCTTTTAATAATTTTAATAGTGACAATGGCAATCATCTAAAAACATCATAAAAAATATTGTTGTATCTTTTTTAATTCCTCTAAAATGCATTTGTGCTGTTGCTATTTCAAACTGTGCCCCTGTTTGTTCCCAGGATGACAGTTCGATGAGCAGTGAGGACATGACCAGCACAGAGCCCACGTGGATCACAGTAGAGCAGCCTCCAGTGCCTGAGCCCAGCCCACCCAATGGGGAACATGCCCTGCCAAACACAGTCAAAGATGAGATGGATGGTAAGACACAAACACAGGTGAACAGGTATCATTTCTGTGTAACTGTGACCTCATGATGAATTTAAGAAGTTACCATTGGGCTGTGTTAAAAATATATTCTGTTTTATATCATTATGATCAGAATATTGAAAGATTAAAGGTGCAAATTCTTTTTTGAAATAATAGATGATCAGTACCAGATATAGCTGCTTCTATTTTCAATCTGAGCATAAGATATCTACATTATCTTGTGATCATTAACAAGGGTGGGTATTTCACTACGGTATCAAAATTTGTATCAAGTATCAAGCTTTATCCTTAGTATTGAGATTGAGTTTTAAATTGTAGGATCAGGACAATACTAAAACACGTTAAACTGTATTTGAAAGTGATTTTATCATATTAATAGCAGTATCCACAACAGTATACAATATTCATACTTCATTAGCAGTTATGGGTGGTGTGGGACAATAAAGTTAAACTTAACAAATACAAAATTAAACATGTTTTACTCTATAGTCTTCCTATTTCTGAAATGGAGCAAAGGATCACAGGATTTGTCACAGACTCTGCTTTTTATTATTGTTTTTCAACTATACAATGGGTTTAATGCCTCAGAGCTTACCATTAAATATACTGCAGATGTCCCAATATAAGAGTAATATTGTGATAAAGCCAAAATAATTGCATCTCTACAATTTGGAGTAAAGGGGTGTTACCTTTGCACAGAAAACAGCTTGGATTGTTCTTAGTGGACTAATCCTAATAAATCCACAGTTATAGGGGGTGGGTCCTTGCACTTCTGTTGCCCCAGTCCATTGTATACCCCTCTGTTAGGGCAGCTGGCTTAAAGTAGGACAGATCCCATATTGACCTCACAGCTTACAAACTGTTACAGGAAAATTGGGGCAAACAATTCAAAGGGGAAATTAGTGTCTGGATATAGGTGGAAAAATGTCACATGTACATCATATAAATTGGCTGAATGAGCAGTAATTTGGTACAACAATACACTCCCCTCCCCCCCAGCAGCTTTTCTAACTGTAGGCTACACTGTAATTGTATTTTTTGACAATTGAGTCTCAGTGTCCTCAATATGTGGATAAGGTACTTTACTTCAGATATTATAACTAATGAGAAGTCACTTTCTTTTATGTAAATGTCTTTCTGCTACTAATCAAAGTACTTCCTTAACCATATCATATAAAAATTGGGACTCAAGTCATTTTGTATATAGTGTATATGTGTATTGAAGAAAAAAAAAATCACACATTTTGATTTAATAATGCCAACTCAGTGTTATAAAAGTTCTTTTTGCATGTGCTTTAGAGTCCGTATAGTCCAGAAAAATATATATATAATTAGGCCTGCCACAATAATTACTATATTAATATCGTTCAATACGTGATAGATGGGACAATTATTTTTGGGCGTCAATATTCATCATGGACACTTATTCTTTGTACTAGTAGGCAATTTTTTGTTAATTTTTCTGTACTATTCTAAGATTTAATCTATATACATTTGAATAAATAACTTCATTAAGTATTTCATTTATTAAATACAGTTCATTGACAATACTGTGTCTATTGTTTCAGTTGTATAATGGCATTCAGTATTATTGTTTATCATCTATATTTTCTTCAACAAAATACTGTACTTCTGTGTTTGTTGTTGTGACAGCACTAATTATGATTATCAAATTATGACTAGGATTGTTTTTATAGTCAGCTAGTCCCAGTGAGCCCATTAATTGTTGCACCCCAATATTGTTCAGCTCTAATGTAATTTTCTGTGTTCAGATGAGGACTCTTCAGACAGTGCCAGTGCCAACGGACTGCCAGCTCTGACCCCGCCCGAGGTGCTGTCTGCTGGGGGGACTGTTCCAGATGGAGGGGCCTCTTTTGGGGAAGTAACGGAGAACGGGCTGGGCGCTCCCCTGGACTTTAGCACAAACTCTTCCTCCTCTTCCTCAGAAGATCAGCAGCCTGTCAATCTGAGCGACCGAATATTGCCCTCTGCTTCCTCACCCCTGAACTCTTACCCCAGTGACCCCAACAGACAGTACCCCATCAAAACAGATTACCCCAACAAGGTAAGAGCTACAGTGTTCTACTTAACATGTAGATATTATTGATTGTCTCCATGTAGATATTATCAATTTGCTGGAAATGTTACAGTTTTGCATTAAACTGTAAAATGATATGCAAATTGTGAAAAAAAAAAAGAAGCTTATTTTATTGGTCCCAATTAGCAAATTGCAAAGACTACAATTATTAAACAAACAATGAAATACTTTAGTCTTGTTACATTTGAAACTTGCTGATCCCATAGTTTACACTTCTACAAATGTGTTCTGCATGCATATGATTCTTGTATTAATTTAGCTGTTCATATTTCAGTAAATGTTAATGTTCACACTGAACATAATTTTTGCAGTGTTTGTTGACAGTAGCAGCTCACATAGTCTTTATTCCTTTGCGTACAGTCCCCTCCGTACAGCTCAGGGAGTTATGACTCTGTAAAAACTGAGGTGAGCCTGAGTGAGGCCCGAGCTCAGATCATGGATGACGATGATGACGACCACGATGACCACGACGACAGCGATAAGATCAACGACGCCGAAGGAATGGACCCAGAGAGACTCAAAGCCTTCAATGTGAGTCTGCAGCTCCATATTCATGGGTCTCAGAATTATGACTGTTGCCATAGATATTAACCATTTAAAACATATTATATTATATAAATATTATACTGTATCTTTTGACCTCACCTTTGTTGCTTTTTTATTCTGAGAGTGTATTCAAAAGCCGTGAATCAACTGATAACTTTTTCAGTACCACAATGAGACCACAAAAATGCTCTTTGTAGTGGAAATTAGACATAATACTTTTATCATGTTACCATGTGGTCTTATACTTGTTCTGATAAAGCTCTTTGTTGTTGCTCTTGTTCTGATAGAGATCTTTCTAAAATTGTTCATGAAAGGTAAAATGTTGTCCTGTCAGTGTATTTTTTTTCAGTATCGATACTTGATTGATTTTTTATTTTGAGCTAATGACAGTAGTTACATACATACAATATTTACATTTACATACATGGTCAAAGCTCACATAGTAGGTTTGCTACATATTTACAATACAATTTCAAATTAAGCTTGAAAGGGAGTGAGAAGAGTATCTAGTTTCGATAGAAGTTTTAGTATTGTTCGAACATGAATCCCTACAGTTATATAGGCCTTTGCCCTCCATCTGAGATTATGATACAGAATCTTCTCACCTCAGTACCCCCATCACATACATGTATTACATCCTTTTGTTTTCACCCCTTCCTCTCTCTCCCTCTGTTTGTGCCTGCTTCCCCTCCCCCTTTTTGCTTTAGATGTTTGTGCGCTTGTTCGTGGATGAGAATCTCGACCGCATGGTGCCCATTTCAAAGCAGCCCAAGGAGAAGATCCAGGCTATTATGGAGTCCTGTGGCCGCCAGTTCCCAGAATTCCAGGAGCGTTCCCGCAAACGTATTCGCACCTACCTCAAATCCTGTCGCCGCATGAAAAAAGGCGGCTTTGAGGTATGAACGTTTCCCAAATAAAATACTCCTAACAAGTTTTTAAAAACACACATAGTTAAAGGGCATGGGACATTTTTTTGTTTTTTTTTTGGTTTGGTGGCAGTTAAGTGGCAGTTTGTGTGGGATAGAAGAAAAGAAGCAGGAAGGCATTTTCTGGCAGTTTAAACCATCTTTTCACAAAATAAATATTTTTATTAGTCTAATCATAACTACTGTGTAATTTAGACAAGTTTTGGTCCATCTCAACAGTATGGTTGCTACATAACAATTAAAATTGCTTCTAAGTATGTCACATCTGCTGCCCATAACCAGGTAGTAAAATTATAAATTGATATTTAAAATCTTCAGTCAAATCTAAATAAAATTATGTTATGTACTACAATAGTCTCACCTGTCACATGCATTTTAAACTCAAGTCTAATGTTTGTAATTGGCAAAATTTCTCATTGACGCTTTCAGATTCGACCAACACCTCCTCACCTCACCTCCGCCATGGCTGAGAACATCCTCGCTGCTGCCTGCGAGAGCGAGTCCCGCAACGCAGCCAAGAAGATGCGGCTGGACGTGTACCCGGCCACGGTAATGAGCCCACAGCAGCATTGCCAGAACATGCACAAATCTGCTGTTTTCAGAATATAGATTGTGATGAGGGCACAATCTCAAGATGGAGACTGGAACCATGACTTCTATAGAAAGTTTATGATATTTTCAAAAGAAATGTCTCAAAAATGTGAATTAGCAACATGGCCTGTTATACTGCAAAATTTTGGGTGCATTTACTGCACTTAAAAACACATGCATCCTTATTGTGAGCGGACTTGCATCTCCACAAACCTGATATTTGTCTTGTCTCCATGAACATATGGCTCTAACTATTCATAGAAGATCATAAAACTTATCTATCTCCATGCAGAAAGTTAAAAAGTATGTTTTTTAGTTCTATTTCTAAGGAATCATGCAGGTGATGTGCCACCTCCAGAAAGTTATGTGGTCTTGATTTAAATCACCTAATTAAAAATTGTTTTGCAGTCTCACTTAAATTCTATTGCAAATGCAATTAACAATTAAAAAGTAAATAACTGATCTTTTAAATGGTCAAAAGTACTCCATTAATTCATGTTCAATCATTTGCTCTTAATAGGAGGAGCCTATGTGTATTGACAAGACCACCCCCAGAGACCCCACCTCTTTGGCCGCCCCTGGGTTCACCATCGCCAGCACAGCTTTTGCCCAAGACCAGCTCTATGCCAATGGAGGCCTCACCTACAGCGTTCGATACGGAACAGTCAGCAGCACTCAGCCGACCACGGGAACTACACAAACCAATGGTAGGAGGCAAACCTTATTATAATTATTGGCTCTCAGTTGCAATCAGGGGGTAAAATTTGGTTTATTTGTATTTAGACAACAAATAGGTACAGTGTTAAAACTGGAGTACCTGAAAAGTTGGCATTTAAATCTAACTCAAAATTTCTAGGTACATACACAGCTTTAGAACATCTATTCCAGACAACACAGCAAGGGTGTGCTGTACCACCATTGCACAGTCGATTCTCTATTATCCCAAATTGGGCATTCAATGGGTAATTAACTATTTTGTTGAACTTTATTGTTTTATTTTTTTGATGGGTCACAAAAACCTGCCAAGAATCAAACTTGTATAAATGCATAATGATGCTATTGTTTTGGTCTAACTTGTTTGTGTTGCCAGAAAAGCTATGTGCTGATTTTGTTTCATGTGGATAGGTGCAGTAATTGCAAAGGTATTGACTATAAACTAGGCCAAAACATTCTGACCTAGTTTATACAATTTTGGTGCATTTTGACAGTTTAGCCACAAATTTCATCATATAATTTTAAGCTTATGAAACTGTCAATGTTATGCATGTAATACTGACCCCTCTGCTTTTATTCCTTGTTTGCTTCAGGTCCCACAGATCTTAGTATGAAGTCGGTCGTCCCAAATTCCACCTCGTCCAGTGCCAATGGTCAGGGTGGCGGTGGAGGGGGGGCATCTGCACAGCTCAGCCCCCCTGAGGTGACTGCAGTGAGGCAGCTTATCGCGGGGTACAGGGAGTCTGCGGCCTTCCTGCTCCGCTCTGCAGATGAGCTGGAAAACTTGATCCTGCAGCAGAACTGAACCCGGACTGTCCCTGCTCCTGGCCTTCTCACCAGTGTCACTCTCAGTCACAAATCGGGATTCTGGATCAGCACATTGGCTGGAGTGGCACTGCCGCGCACAGTGGTCCTGTAGGTGCAGTACTTTACCTGCGCTCACAACATATCAGAAAGGATTATTTATGCATTTGGTCGACTTTGGTCCTAGTGCCCTGGTATCTGTAGCCATTCATCCCATCCAGCTCATTCTACACTCCACTGCCATTCATCTCAGGAAGCTGATCTGTGGGAACTATTCACACAAGGACAAACTACCAGAGGTGTTACATTAGCTTTCAATCTACTGACTGTGCCGACAAATTATCCGATGCATTGCAGGCATTCAGTGCCAGTGCTTTGTAGTTCTTCACTGTTAAATATGCTGTACTACTGGCTGCAGCCACTCTCTAAATTTTCAAATCTTTCTAAAACAACATTGCATTATTACAAATGAAATGCTGCTAATACTCTTTGACCTCAAAGATAGTTAGGGTTGGACTGACCTAAGAACAGCAGATATCAAACTTTAAAAGGGCTTGACAGCTGTCAGCAGATCTCGTCGAGTCATTGACTTTAAATTATACTCCTACCCTATTTATTAGAAATTAGACTGCTCACCCAGTGTGGCTTTATGTGTAGTTAATTTATTAAGAAGAGTTGACCATTTGCCACTGTATGAAGTGAACAGAGGCTTTAAAAGCCTCCGTATGCAAATTGAGATCCCACACCTGTCAGGGAACGTGAGATTAAGATATTGTTTAGACTTTAACCAGAGCCTGTGGAAAGTGGCTGTAGGTGCAATATTGACGATAATCAGTGGCGTGCATAAAAACATCATCAGCCCAGGGTTTAAGCTAACAAGGGGACTCTGCTGTAACTGTCAGGTTGTAAAAGAACTACTCTTCTCGCAGCATTGTAGCTAAGTTCAATGTTGTTTGTTGTGAACAGTGATATTCTCACTCACCTCAAGCGGAGGCACTTTCTGTGTGGCTCAGTCTGTGGGCATCTGCAGAAGGAGACTCAATGTTGCACGTCTTTTCTACATGCGTTTCTACATGCGTCGTGTGGTGAGTGTTTGTGAGTGTTTTTTTACGGGGCTCGTGAACCTGATTCACTGGACTAATGCAGTCTACATCATTCCACTGACCTCTTAGCGTCTCAAACTTCAAACAAACTGTTCAAACGCAAAAGACAATCTTTTAAGATGTATTGACATGAGTTTACTGTCCCGGCTCAGTGCGGCCTGTGGCACAGACAAGAACAGATCTAGAGCACATTATTGTGAGTCACTCAGCACAAAGTGGTGTGTGTGCGTGTGTGTGCGTGTGTGTGTTTGTGGTGCTGTTTTTATTGCTTTTACTGTGAAAGTGTTTTGTAAGTTGAGATATTTTGTGTAAACGTGGAGTGGCCCAGTTTGTACCACATTTGAAAAACACAATAGGCTGAAACATTCCAGTTTATTAAGACAATGACTCTTTTAGCAGCCCTCGAGGCTTGCACCTTAACAATTTGTCTGAGAACTCAAAGTTTAGAGACGTATATTTCTGTATTTATCACAAATCTATTAAATTATTCAGTTATTTATCATTTTTATGTACTACATATATTCTACATTTGAAGACCATTGTACTTTGAAGCCTACAAATGCATTTCCTTTTCATGACTGGCTTCTGTCACTAGTCTTAACTATTGCAAGTTTGGAAGCACTTTATAGCTCAGGATTAACGTGACATTAACACAGTGACAAGAATCTTTACCTCTTTTGGATTTTCAGTTCATTTTGACAGAAGACTCATGATATTTCTCACTCTCTGCTTTAAAAGAACAGCCCCTTTCTGTGGCCGTCCTGGAGCGTGCATGGTCCATGGGTCGGATTATCGTCTCCGTCTTCCTTGTCGTTTACTGTTGACTGTCCATCGCTCAGTCTTTCTCAGTGAGGCCATTTTGATCATGAAACATTCTCACATTTGCTTGCAGATCTGTCTGAGTGACATTTAGGTGTGCTGGATTAACTGTGTTCAACTATGTGTCTACCTACATGTTTTTATTTCACCCAATGGATCTTTTCTCTTTGTATTGACAGGACAATGTAAACTATTGGTGTTGATTAAAATGCCCTGGTAGCTTGTGGATTGCTAAAGTGGTCAGATAAATGTATAGCTGTACAAAGAGTGACAAAAGATGTTTTAAACTGTTATTTTTTTCTGTGGGTACAGCCATGTAAAAAAATCAAAGTGGTTTTAACCTTGCCTGTTTGAATTATAATTTTGGTGGTAGTCTCTATGGGTTAATTGTTCTTTATCTGATTTGGTTGTTGGCTCTCCTGCGCTGTCTGATGCCGTAGCTCTTTGCAGGAGCTTGTGCTGTAAACGTGTGAGCTTTGTAATTCCCTTCTGGTTTTTTGACTCAGTGAAAGTGTGATGTTTACATGTACAGTTTTTCAAAACCACTTTTTATTTTTCGCTCTAATCAACAACGTACATTAGGTATTGTTTTTATTTCATTTTTGTTGCTGTCATTGACCTCTTGACAACTGATAGCGGTTGGTTTGGTGTTGTGGTGGCTTCCAGTTTCAACAGACTTTAGTAAGAATTAAGGAGCTACACAACTTCTCAAAGTGGACCAGCAAAGATTTCTTAAGCATCAAGATGTCTTTAAATCAACCTTGTTAACACATTAGTGGCCTATAGAAGAGAATTGGGGTGTTTGTTAAAATACAGTAAGTGCTTAGACTCCTCTATTCTCCCTAAGGTACACTTTGAATTGTTGTACTCTCTCCTCTGTAACATAAAAGCCATTCCCCTTTCCTGGCCTCTTTAGGGGAACCCATAAACCTCAGGAAATACAAAAATCTCCAATTTTACTTAGTTCTTCTGAAAACAGATTTAAACCATTAACATTTATATGAGATGTCTATTGTTTTGTACATTTATCATTGTGAGTTAAAAGTGGAGCTTTTTCCAGTATCCGTGACTAAATAGTTTGGATTTGTTTTGGACTGTTTATAAGTATGGATATTTATTATTCAATGTGAAACTACAAAAAGACAAAAGAAAAGGTTGTTTGTATGTTTCATGCAAATTTGTCCAGGTGAGATTCTCCCTGCCTCTTACATATCACTTACAGGGGACTTGTGTCTGTTTTGGAAATAGCGCTTTTCAGTGTTGCACCAACGCTATGTGGATTAAAACAAAAAAAAAAAAAACAGCCGTGATTTACCAACAGCAGAGTGTCAAGGCTCTCCTCTTCTCCTGAGATGTCAGTCATGAATAAAATCGTGCCATGAGGTATCTCACTTGTGTCATGTGTTTTCTTTTATTGTATACAAAATTGTGGAGATTTACCCACCTACCCAAATGATCTTGCTCTAACCACAACCAGCATACTATAAATGTGTGAAAAAGTGATTTCTGGTGGATGAAGAGGAGTTTGGTAGAGTTTTGATAGAAGCTGTGGTTACAAAAGTGGTATATCTCAAGTGTGAGTTTTGGGAGCTGACATTTATTTAATTAAAACTACAGCTCTAAAATATCAATATTTACTCCTTCCAACACAACTCAAATGTTAGGCAAATAGCTCATGTCTGCTTCCCCATACCGGGACAGCAGTGGCTTGCAGATTTCTCAGCGTCATCAGGCATAAATATATTTTTCCACTAGAGGGCAGTAGAACAACAGACCACGTTAGAACTTGAAACCAACACAAAAAGGACAACATTTTGGGCATAAAGGTGTAACCAGTTAGGTCAACAGCACTGCGGCTTTAGGTAGCAAAATTTGGGAAGTTTGTGGGTTATGCAGATGTGATGTGATGACAAAAATGACATTTTCTACAGACAGAAAGCAAAGTAAACACAAGTATAAAATTATAAAAAAAAAAAAATAAAAAAATCTATGTTGCATATTATTAATATTCGATTTGTAGTAAAAAAAAAAAAAAAAAAAAAAAAAAAAAAAAAAACGTTATTGCTTTACCTGGAACATTCTACATTATGGCATGAAACATATTTATCCCCATGGAATCAAGCAGCCACCAGGCCAAGTTACAGGTCAGAACTCACAGTATGATTACTTTTTTTCCTAAGGTACAAATAAACATAAATGAATAAATACATTTTTCTATGGAGACATGCAGGAGTCAGACACAAGAAAAGTTACATAATGTATCTTTAAAAATACTTGAATGGAGCTAACAATAACACCAGGTATGTCATTCCTATGTTGTGTATTTTAGATGGAAAACTGGTTAACAATACTGTGGGATTTATAGTCCTGCCGACCACATTTGGCTGCTGTCTTTATGAATCATATGGTACCTCAGATGGCTCTAGTTTAGCTCCTTCTTCTCATATGACATGCCAGCACTCAGCTCAAGTCTCAAAGTTTTTTTTCCATGGTTTGTTTATTTCAGTGGAGGCCTGATGTTTTCAAATAGTTTGGCTCAACTTCATTCATAGTCTACATTTCCGATGTGTGAGAACAGCGCAGATTGCCAAAGCTTAAAGATAAACTTGCCTGACCTAAATTATTTTGAAACAACAAGCAAAAAATTTTCAAAACAAACTGCAATTCTGAATTTCCTAGAACCACGTGTACTGAGGCATGCAGACAGCTGAAAGGGTTCACTTGTGCTACTGAAATATCAACAAAAACATATGAGGTAAAATGAATATTCTAATACCTGCACCATATCTCATTATTTTCAAAACTGTTATCTTACTCTAACTTAACAATATCACTGACTATATTTTACCGCTTTTTACCACTTAGGTCCCATTTGTCACCTTTAGCCTAGATTACACTAAATTGAGCTTTGAACCATGCTGTAATGTTGTTCCCAAAACAGTTGGTTGTGTTTTGGTTGATTCACTCCTGTTTTAGAAATACTTTCTTATTGCCTTTTCATATCTCATGCTCTCATTCATTTATCCCAAAATATGAGTATGTATCTTTTCCACTCATTTTGCAAAGCTATTTTATCTTTTGTATGTTTGACAGCATGTGGTACAGACTCTTCAGACTCCTTACACCAGTTTATCTACATTTTCATGAGTATTTTTTCTCCCTAATTATGTTTTGAAGAATGTAAGCATGTAAGTCAGTAGAGGTGACCTTGAAGACAAATACCAGTATAGACAGTGGTTCAGCTGTGTTCACCTTTAAACCAAATATAGTTTTTTGTGACTGCAGACAGTAAACATGTATCTACACTTAGCTTGTTTCCATTTCTGACAATGTGCAAGACTGCCCTATATGTTTACCAACTTTACAGGTGCATTGTTGAACTTTTCTGGTGGCATGTCAAATTGCTTTGTCTGGAATGTTTCACAGTATGGTAATAAACCTTTCTAGCTTCATAAAGAGACCAATCCACATTGAGTTACAGGTCAGATTTATGGAGAGGCAAATCGCGCTCACAGTTTTTCTAGGTAGTTTTGAGTTACAAAACGACCTGTAATGTAAAGTTTAATGACCAGCTCAAAGAAGAAAAGTTTTGTGACAGAATCCTAGGAATAGACTTTTTATTATATATTATATATTATTTATTTATGTATTTATTTATGTATTTATTTATTTATCTATTTATTTATTTATATATTTATTTGTTTATTTATTTATGTAGTCCACTGCATACACTTTCTTTTGAAAAGAAATCTATGTGATTGAATATTTCAAAACAAATTAAGAAAGAACACATTTATTATTAAAAACAGCAAATGTTAATGTTAAGACAAATTAGGTCATCCATAAAGTTGAAAAGGTTTCTCATTAGAGACATAGAAAATGATGAAAAACTGTGAGGTGAAAACACATATTCAACTTAAAAACAGCTGAATAAAAGGTCACTATTTCTAAGTGACCTTTTATAAAGTTGTCAGAATGAGAAAAAGAGAGTTAAAAGAAAATGTATCATGATTCATGGTTAGTTCAGTTAGTTTGGATCTAGAATACCATTCTTGCTGACATGTGCTCGGTCCAGTCCTAATGCTAAAGCAAATATACTGAGTCGTTGTCCTTTACGTTGTCTGTGAACTTTATACACAGAGATCCTGGCTGGCCTGGGTCACCTGAAACTCCCGTGCTGCTTAGACCACCTGCATGCTGGGATCTTGGAACATTTTTAGACCCACGCCTAACCTAACGCACTCTTTAGTTGCTGTGCCAAAATAAGTTGGCTTTATGCAAATCCTTGGGTCTATGAGTTATATGTATAAAGTTTTATGTAAAAGTATTGACTGTCTCTGAGTAATGTTTCCTCTCTATAAAGTAGCCTGTTTGACTTTGATGTTTGAATAGCCCTCTTATCTCACTTACGGAGGGCAGCCAGTACTTGTTAAGACTATTTTTAGATAGTGATGTTGCAAAATATTTTACTTTTACTTAAAAAGAACTGTTAATAGTACAACCATTTCTGTGAACAAGTTCTGCAAACATGTTAACAGTGAATTCAAGACAGCCTTCATTTGCCATGGAGTGTAATATTGTTAAAGGTGCACTATGTAACTTTTTTTGTGAAAAGGCCACTACATGCTTGTCCCCATGGAGATGTTATTGCTTTGATCACATTTTTTCCATTGGATTACATTAATGGTATCTATTGCAGTGGTGACAAACAGACGGCACCATTAGGCCAAGTTACAGGTCAGATTTGGTGTAGGTAAGATGTTAGTTTTTCACTGTCATAATTTTGTGAGACATTTGCAGTTGGATTGGACTGGAACTGAATTTAAAAAAAGGTCATATTATGTAAAATTTCAAGCAAAGCAATAACATCCCCATTACTACCTGTATGTATTTTTATAGAGAATTGTGTAAATGAGTGATATAGTCTTGAATCTTGGCTTTTTGGATAGATCAGTAGGTGCTTAACATCACAAATATTTTGAAAAGAGGTAGACCTATAATCAGCATAGCAAGACCCAGGTATGTTGACATTCATTTGTCAGGAAATTTGCTATTATTAATAAAACTTTTAGAATGAATCTTCAAGGCCAAAGGGGAGTTTTCCGGAGAGGTTTGACCCACATACTCAGTAAGAGGAAGCCTTATGTAAGTGGCATTAGCGTCATTAAACATGGCTAATCATATCAAACTAAAATGGATTAAAGAAGTTCAGTAGCAGGCGGCATCTTTCCATTGTGTTACAAATAGGACATGTGCATTTCCCTTTCCTGTATCAATATTAGTACTCTGTTGACACCTAATATCAACCCATAGCTGGTGCCTTGTGTCATTCACAAATTTACCTTTCCTGGAACCACATGACTGGCAAAGTTCATCATGCTTTGTACTCGTGGTGTGGTACTACTGAACAAATACCACCAAAAAAGGAATGATAGAAGTGAAACACAGTGTAACTTTGAACAGGTGCATAGCTCACCTTCTTGCTAATATCAAAATGATCCAATGATGTAGGCCTATATAAGTATGAATCATTATTTTGATCATATAATAAGAGAAGAACTGACTTTGGATCTATAACAGGTGAGCTGATTTATCCTGTTAAACAAGTCTCTCATGCTTAAAATTACAGTCACAAGCTAATTAGCAAACAGTCACTCTCTCTGTTGAAAATCAAACACCTAAACAGGACCATGAACGCTTGTATTGATCACAGGGTCCTGAAAATGTGCTGTTTTCCATCCATTTGGTAATTTTTCTTGAGTTTTGAGACTACCTAACTACTTAGTTGACATTGTTTACTAGTGTGTGCATTGTGTCACCATGGTATCAGCAGAGATACTTGTAGAACACCCCCAGCATGATGTCACTGCAAAGTTCAGCACCATCAATAAAAACATAATAGTTTTAGCATTAAGAAGGTGTAGCCAGTAAATTGTCATTAAAGTTTTTACTCCACGGGCATATTGCATCTCCAGAAAAAGATCAAAATTCTCATCCACATTCACATTTCCCAAAAATATCCCAATTAAAAAGTAAAAAACAAAATCACACTTGCACAGAAATAGTTTCTTTATGTTTTATTTAGAGGTATTGTCTATGAAAAAATATTTTACATACTATTTTTACACATTTTGGTCATTTTAAAAACACTATACACAGAAGTTAAAGAAAGAGCTAACTATTTACTCCACGTCATTTTCACCACGATCCTCATCTCCAGCTTGGGAACTGGACTATGAGGTGCTGGTGAACTCCAGGGTGCAAAGGTCGTAGGGTTGGAGGTCATAATGTCATAAGTTCTAGGAGGAAGGAGGAGTGAGAGGCGAAGGTTCGAACTTTCCACTGTCGCTGGTCTCACTAACTTGTCTCTTCAAAACCATTTCTTTGGCTATGCATGTCACCTGACCATTGGCCACTGTGTAGGATCCATTTCTGTAAAAAGAAATAAATATTAATAAACAATATTTTTTGTACATATGAAAAGTTAACAAAGATAGCAGCGTTATAAATCAAAATATCAAAAAAGAATAAACCGTTTCTGAACATTCTAAAAATTTTCAATGCATACTATAGCAATAATCATCAACTAATCAAAAAAAATTACTGCCAACTAGTCAACTACTAAAATAATCATTAGCTGCAGCCCTTGTGTTAGTTAACTCACTTTTGAGATTCAGATCCGTTCTGCATGCCAGGTTTTGCAAAGAAAAAAGAAGTCCACCAGTGTCCAGAGTCCTGCCTGGGGAGACCTGTGAGAAAAGATGAGCTTAATATTAGAGGAGACATTGGCTTTAACGCTAACTTGTTTTTCCAGTGTCCTGTCAGTACCTGGATGGTGTGGAATGACCTCTCCTATGTACTCCGCACTGCCACATGAGCTGCTACTGGAATTAGACCCCAGTCGTCCTAAAACCAACAAGGAAAACCATAATTATGTTTTTATTGAAACAATCTCTGCATTTCAGGTTCCTGTTACATGCAACATTTGGAGGATTTTCCCCATTCAAACACATGTATTATTTTGATTAAAAAAGGTTGGTTAAAGTCTTCATATGTAAATTTGTCCTCTGCATTTGACCCATCCTTCAGTGCATGTTTTGGGTTGTTTTTAAATGAGCTTTGTATGTGTTGTTTTAGTGTTTATGACAATGATTCTAATGTTTCATCATTCTGAAACACATGGCTAAAAACGTATTATTTTAAATGTGATATGATTCTTACTTCTGTAGTAGTCATGAGTGGCAATGAGAGAACCGCCTGATGGAATAGCTGCCATTTTCTCCGACCTTAGATGAAACACCGCTCAAAGATGGAAAATGGTAACCTGCAAAAAACACAATAATAGAACATGAAGCATCAAAATAAGTTATTGTCATATACAATAATCATTTTAAAGTGTAATTTGTCTTTGCAAGCAAGTCACGTACTCAGTCTGCCAGCACAAAACTTGACACCACAATTTGAGCGATGCTGCTACAGCTGTGGCATTGGTGTGTGGTGATAAAATAGAAACATATGCTTTTACATTCTGGATTCCCATGTCTCAAATAACCAGAGCGGAGTATGTGAGTGGGGGGTGAGCAGCGAGCGGGGTGGTCCACAAGTGCAGGTGGTCAATGTGCACGACTTAGCTGCGTGGAAGGCACTGCCCTGAGCCAATGTCCAGTTTTATGGAACACTGAGTCATGGCCAAGATAGTAACTGTCTGTTCCCATTCATGAATTATCAATGCCAGGGAACAAATTTGGTTCAGACAATTACTAAATGTAGGTCTTGGTTGTGACGTTATCATGAGACTAGTATAGAAGAAATTATACTGTTAATTATAATGCCTGGATTAAACTAGCCTATGATTAACTACACTACAACTTGTTCAATGTCATATTGTCAAACAGCCATATCCACTTATAAAAATTTGTTCCAAAGTTTTACTCCACTTGCAGTCTTGTATTTTTACACCCTTTTGTATTTTCTTTACCCTATTCAGTATATTTTAATATTCTATTTAAATGGTTAGATTTAAGAATATGTTTATGTTATAGTTAGCTATCGTTAGTTGTTTAATAGTTATTTATGTTCATTTTTATTCTCCTGCTGTTCTTGTACTTTACACGACAACACTAGAATTGTGAGAGTAATGGTCATATTATTGTATTATCTTATCTGTTTGAAATGGCAGGTCTCCAAAACATTTAACTTGTATTGTGATCATAAGGAGCCTGAAGTGACCTGGAAAAACAAGTTGCTGCCTGTGAACCAGCTAGAAGCAGTTCGGCTTAGCACCAGGTGAAGAGCAGATGGATTTAGGGATTTTGAGGGATGTCCCATACAAAGCAGCCTGTCTATGTCTGAAGTTCACATCCCAAATACTGTACATGCAAGGATTGAACAAACAAGTTAATGATGGTCAAAAAAACATGTATTAAAATTGGTTAGTACACTCATGCAAAGTGATGGATATGGGCACAAATAGGACACTTGTGTAAATCATACACACTACCTATAAAGTATGTGAGGACTGAACAATGACAATGAGTTTATGTAAAGTATCACATGAAGAGAAAGGATTCTTTAGCCATGTCTATAAGTAAAGAACAATGCTCTAACAATGGCCAAATGGTTCAAAAGGTGAATGTGTTCTTACCTTGGTGATAGGACGTTGATGCAGGCACCTGGTGCGGGTTGAAGGTGCGGATGGCTTGATGTGGACTAGTTTGGACTATGGCCCATTGGTGGATACAGTCTATGTGACCGCTGCTGGTCTCTCCTACTCTCTGGCTTCAGGCAGTCTGAGCGAGGCTTTTATAGGTCTACTCTCGGGACACGCGATAGGCGGGGCTGTTGGATGGCGCGCGGGCACCAAACGTGCTTGTGTTCTCTTTGGTAAGATGCCGAGCTCACAGACATGACGCTAGATATAACAGGGCCATCTGGACCGTGACACCTCAACTCTGGGCCTCGTACAGGAGTGGAACTTTACTGAAGAAGTCAGAAATGTTGCAGGGGCCCTGCAGATTTTTGCTCGTGATAATGAAATAGGCTACATGGAATGCAGTTACGCATAGGCTCGCAATAGATGTTTACGCGGCAACATTGTAAACATTTGTTTACATGTAACTGTGGGTTATAATTAAATTAATATCAGGCACAGCCTCGTGGACCGGTGTCTAGCAAAAGAATCTTTTCGGAAACATTTTAATTTGCTGACTTCCCTGGTGGTCAGGATTCGGCGCTTTTACCGCTGCGGTCTCGGGTTCGGTTCCCGGTCAGGGAACATGTTTTTCATGGAGTGCCATCTACTGAGTAATCTATAAAAATCACTCAAACGCCAAAAACACTGAACCATACACTATACCATTCAGAAACTTTAATTGAAAAAAAAAAAAAATGTACAAAAACCACCTCAGAAAATAACTCTATAAGTGTAAATGTTTCAATTAAGGTCAACAAATGTACTCTCCTATTCACATGATGTTTTAATCTGAACTAAAACTGGTAATTTTATTACGTCTTCCACAGTTATTTATTTTCTATCAAATAAAAAAAACAGCAGAAATGGTATCATTATGATGGTTAATTTTAGCTCTTACATGAAAAACATGCAGCACACCCTGTGTACACATGCTATGGGCTACCAAGTGCATTCACATGCTGTAGCCCTATCTTTAAATAACACGCAATGTGTAACTGCAAATGTAGGTGGTTAACTCATGTGGTTCTGCCATGCAGTTCATAACCAGTCCATTAATTATATTTATTGGTGTTTAATTTTCAGGAACCCGTTTGTGCATGTGCCAGTGTCTGGCAAAAAACATCTAAGAAAAGAAAACATAAACAGAAGAGTGGAACACTGTGCTCTATGCATGAGATGAGGTGATTTCAGGGACATTGTCTTGCGACTCTTCTGGCATATCCTGAAGGGTCTCCATTCGTGGCCTTTGTTCCAGACATTTTTCCCTAAAATAAAATGACAAAAAATCAATCAACTGTCAATTAATGATTTATTAGTTCATCCATTTCATTCATTCTTAGTTAGCCCACCTTAACATTTCCAACCATATCCTCAAAGGACTTAAATGAAGGGGAACTCCTATGGTCACAAAAGGAAAATTAATACAAAATTGGTCAACTAAAAAATTTTCTTTAAAAAAAACATGGCAAGATTTTTTACCTCATGGCTGGCATGCTTATGGTGTGTCTATTCATAAAGGAAAGAGGGAAAATAAGTTAATACATAAAACTAAAACATTTTATAGTGTTTATGTTTATGCCCGTTGTAAAATCATACCGTGGAGGGCTGGGAAGAGGAAGAGCCCTGTTGTAGCATGGTAGAAACAAAACAAATATATATAACATGAGAATTTAACTGGCATTTTAAGAATACTGAGAATAAATATGTTCACTGTTTTACCTCATCTCTGCCAGTCGCCGGGTGAATGCTTCACCCACACTGGTCAGGGCAGAGGATGTGACATGGCCCGCGTAAGTAAAACTCTCTTTGGTCCTCAAATATCTGCCGATAAAAATAAGCATAACATCACCACATGTATTTAATCCACAATTAACTTATCAACAATTGGCTTATTTACGTCATTGGCACTGCACACCTGGTTCACTGAGATACAAACCACTGCTGCTAGTGCCTGCTAATGCTAAGTCAGGCTATAAGGCTATTAACGGGGCACCAATCCTATTTGATTGAAAATCCCGTCACTTGTTTCTTAGACAAAATCTCTACAATGTGCAAACATAGGCAGCCCCTATACGCTATGCCACACATAAATGTAGGCATATGGGAGATGTGGGAAGAGTAACACTTACGCATTGGAGTGGCTGATGTCATCAAGTGTGGCAGAAGCTGTGAGGTATCTGCAAACATAGCACAACTCACTCAGAAGATTATATCGTCTTAAAGAACAACATGGCGGCTGGTGTCCATTAGTGTTGTTATGTAACTGGATGGCACTAAGACATTGTGTAGTTGTGTATAGGACTATTTGTTTTAAAGCCTGCTGATGCATGCTCTGTACCATCTATAATACATGTTGTGGGAAAGGTGAATGTCTGAATATTAAAAGACATAAATATAGTTATGTTTAGGCATCTGTTTACTCACGGAGATGAAGTCTGGACGTCTTGCCAACCCTTTGACAAATTCTGTTTGATGTTGGCCAGAGGACTCAAACCAAGCTGCCTTCTGATATCAGCTGCATATTTCTCTTTTGCCAGTAACACCTGCCTCAAAGTCTGAATTTCATCTTCCACCTTCATAACATAAAACAAAAAATCAATAAATCTCAATAAATCAGGAATTGTGGTACTTAGATTATGGTATTTTTGCATCCAGTTTGTCTTACCTTTCCAAGTTCAGCCTGAAGGTTTTCTTTGTCCTCTTCTGTCAGTTCTGGTGGTGTACATCCATTGCCTGTGCCTCTGCTTGAGAAGTTCATTGATGAAGTGCCGGAAAAACCTTATCAAATTGCCATATATTACAGTTAAACTTACACAAACTTCATTGATCCACAAGGTGCTTTCTTTATTTTGAGTAAATTACTACAAACAAACTAGGCATTGCACTTTTCTAAATACGCTATTTATTCCACAGTTATTTATTATACATCGATTGTATTTTTGGGGCTTAATCAACACTTTTTCTGTGGAACTGTCCGAGGTGCTGAGTTCGTGCAGCGTCCACTTCAGCTAATCAGCTAAAGCTAACATACGCTACCTGTTGCACACGCGGATAAATAAACTACAACTTGCATTAAAACTGCTTTTGAAATAAATGTAGATATATACACTTACCTTGTCGATTCATAGCTGCCACAAACATTCACGGCGCAGTGTTTTGAGACGGGACTTTTTAGCTTGTTGTGTCCATCCAATCAGCGGTGATACTGACAGTGGCGAGCGGCAGGAAACGCAAGGATCAATGAGGCTATTATTGGAGCTGCTCTGTTTACACACACACACAATCTCAGTACTAAGCCTGAACACATCTGCCAATAACTTCAAGGGGGATAATTAGGCTATTTTAGTACAATTAAAATAAAAAGGCAAACTTTTTTTTTATTAATTACAAATGGCAATTTGGCCTATTTTATGTAATTATAACCAACAACAACAATACAATCGGAGGGTTCCAGTCTCTAATCAAAAGCGTCTTGTGTGGCACTACAAATGTTTATAAATATTTATAAAAGACGTATATAGCCTACTATACCCAAGTATGCCAAATCTTTCGTTTTAATGTCTGCCGTTTTATTGTCGTTGTCTCCACCTGCTGGTAGAATTAAGAACAGGAATTTGTTTTAAAAATCACATCAAATCACCCAAACCTATTACGATTAAAAATATACTGTTCATGTTCAGTGGGAGGTTCAGTTTCTAAACAAACTCCCTATTATTTACTCTTTAAAAATATTTATAAAAGGTCTATAGACTAGAACACCATTTAAGTGCTACCAATTAAAATCTAAAGAAGGGTGCTCTGTGTTCACCCAACACATCTGACAGCAACACAGAATGCAGAAATTAATGGCAAAATTAATGTTGAATGTAGATTGCCCATATGCTTGGTGATGGATTCCATATTATAATACTCTTAGATGAGAAACTATATTGCAGAATAATAATTTTAAAAAGATGTTCAAATGTTCAAGAACATTTATTCAACAACAGCAAATCAGATCAACAATCCACTTGTTTTCATCCAAACACACAAGTACCATGCTACAACATAAACTTTTAGGGTTTTGATTTTATATGGGTAAAGTGTATGTACAAGCGACCTTAACAATTAAATCATTCCTGCTCAATTCAGAGGTCTTACAACACCAGGTAAAACGACAGCCAATCCCATTTTGAATCATGGCAATGTATAAAATAATTAAAATAAAAATTGCATCATATAACCATTTCACTATAATTACACTATATGGAGTTACTTCCTGATCATTGATTCATTATAGTATTTTTTAAACACACAGTGCATTCAACTAAGTACATTTACAGTAGCATTTTTCAGTATCTCAATGAAAAAGCCATGACAGATACATCTATGTTTCATCAAGGATCACGGGACACATACCACAGAGGTCAACATCCATACTGTTAATAGCATAGGGTGGGCAACAGGCGCTCACCAATTGTAAACAATTCAAACACATCAGTAGCATCTATGGAAGAGTGGCAGAGATGTACATGGCAATAGGTGTGACAAAAAATAGAAATTCAGAAGTATGAAAAAGTCCCGAGCTGCCTGTACTGCTGGCTCAAATGATATGCCTTTAAATAAAATTCTCACTCACATATAGACATATACTGAACAAGAGAAATGGTCACAGTATTAGACTCACTTTGACAAAACAAACTATCTCTCAAGACTGCATCAAAATGTACTGATATTTCCCTTTTTCTTGTACTGGAAACACACAGAAGCCTGTATAGAGAAAAACAAAATTAATCGCGTTCCTTGGCTTAATGCTGATACAGTTCATTCATTAAACAAACCGTTAAAATGCAGTCTCACGTTAAAACACTTAAAATGCAATGAACACACTGTATTGTAATATAGGTTTAATTCTAATATTACTTTAGGTTTATAACAGAAGATAGCTGTTGGGGTATTGGTGGCACTAACCTAGTTACAAACAGACATATCTTCAAGTGACTCTTCCCTGAGCCACAGCTTTCTATAATAAATCTTCTCTTTATATCATCTTTGCAGTAAATTGTTCTATTTTAAACACATTGCACATATGAAGTTTGCAAAGTAAATCGTTGCCATAGTAATGTTATTCTGGTGATTTTCTGGTAACCAAGAGTGCATGCTACTACATGACGCAACACATACTGCAGGGGACTGTTTTGTTCATGGAAATAATTTAGTTGTTTTGCAATTTGCACTTGAATTGTATGCAAAACTACCAATCAAATAGGATGTAAGGGGGAAGGATATGTCTGCAATAGTTTGTATTTTAAGCCATGCTCTCTTGTTCCCTCTTCTGCATGGCTTTCTTTGTGAAGTGTAAAATGGATTGCCTCTCACTGGTACACAGAAGGGACACAGGCAGGACCAGGGGCGTAGTTTTGGGGGTGAATGGTTAGTTGAAGCCAGTGTCAGTGTGGTACGAGTAGTGCCCGTCCGATGTGAGCTGGGTGGTCTCTGTTGCTGAGGGCTGCAGAACTATGGGGTCCCCACCGGCCTCTGTAAGTACAAGCACACATGCACATTTTCAAGAATAGGTTGTTTTCAGGTTTAAGATTTGTTTGTTTAGTAACCAATAATAACAAAACCTTGGACTTTCCCCAGTAATTTGATGTAATGTTATCAGAAACCCAGCAATTGCACTTAACCAACTTGACAAGCCTCTGGAAGAGCTACACTGTAGTCATTATTCATTCACCCATCACTCAGTGGTGAAAGCTACTTGGGGTAGACAGAATCGAGGCTGCCAATTTGCGCCATCAGCCCATCTGACCACTGTCAATCACTCACTCAAACCATAAACTAGGGTTGCCAAAGATATTAAAAGAGCTATCAAAATTCATTCATTAGAATGTGTTTCAATAAAAATTAAAAAATCACATATACAGTGAGTTTCAAATTTATCCCTTTTTGACATTTTACTATCTTGACAACACTACCATAGCCATCATCAAACTCTGTGTCATACACTGTTACAGTCTTACCTCTCTCGTCAGACTGCAGCTGGGCCTCCAGGTCTTCAGGAGACATGTAAAACTCTTGGTCCGGGGCCTCTCTGGGCCGAGGTTTACACCGGCCACAGCAGCAGTTACAGCAGCAGCACAGGCAGCAGCAGAAGTAGCAGCCCGTCGCCACTCCACACAAAACAAACAGAGCCTATGGAGCAGAGATGTAATCCAGTGAGTGCTCCAATGCATATGCAGATTCAATCATGATGTATTGATATAGTATTGTATATTGTCAATCAATCAAAATGTATTTATACAGTACATTTAAAACAGTCAAAGCTTAGGCTAACAAAGTGTTTAACAGCCAGCAGAACAATAAAAGCAATCGAATAAAACATACAAGCAAAAATAAAATAATGTCAGTGTGTCTCTGTCCATTTGCTTCAAATGCTGAAGAAAAAAGTAGGATTGTCTCCAATACTCATGATATTTAGTTTCAGTATCATAAAAATGCCGTGAGAAACCTTAAATTGCATTTTCAAAAGATTATTTGAGAATATGTCCTAAAGTAAAGCATAAGTAGACCATTGTTTGTAGTATTTTATTGTATTTTTTTCATTTTAGGGTCAGATGGTTACTATCTGATATCTGATGCTACAGCATGAAAACTTTCATATTATCATATCATCGTATTATTGTAAAATCTTGCTTATGGGTCTAACATGCATGCGTCAACCATGATCCATTGTTTCATTCAATACACCAAATCTGACACAAGGCTAGAAAATAAGCATTCAAAAATAAATATCATCAGTTATGTTATCGTACCAGGCGGTTAATACCATAATAATATCATACCTAGTTATAGTGTTACATTGCCTTTGATTGCAGACTTACCTTTGCCCACCAGCTTGACAGGACAAAGTATGTGTTGACGTTTTCCTCTCCAAACTGCTCAGCCACATAGAGACCCAGCGAGCCGTATTTGTCATAAATATTTCGTTTGGTGGGGTCATTCAGAATTGCATGGGCATTGTTTATCTCTTTAAATTTGTCAGCTGCTTCTGGATTGTCTGGGTTCTTGTCAGGGTGATACTTTAAGGCCAATTTCCTAAAGAGGACCATCAATATCACAACATATGAGCCACATTTAACACACAGGTTGTAATAGTGTAATAACTGAGATGTATTACCTGTAAGACTTTTTAATATCATCATTTGTGGCCACCTTGTCAACCCCCAGGACATGATACAGTGACTCGCCAGCTGTGGATAGAGAGCGCTGTCTCTGGTGTTCAGCCATGATGTCTCACCCAAACTTAGCACAAAAATAAACAGGCCAATCATTGGATGAAAGGGTACACATAAGGTGACCTCAATCTCAAAAAGACAATTTGGACAATGTGGCTTGACATAGTGGGACATACATGATCAGTTTAGACTTATAAAGATGGCAAAACATATGATTTTCAATGCTTTTCCTTAAAACACAGATAGGAGTTAGGAATATCAACATATCAACTCATATTACAAGCTAGAAAAAAAGACCCACAATAATTTTTTTTTTTTTTTTTTTTGGGGGGGGGGGGGGTTCACAAGGAATAGCTAGATAGATCTTTATTTCAGACTTATGGTCCAAAAGTAAAAAAAAAAAAAAAAAAAGAAACAAACAAACAGACAGACAGTATAATGACAAAACAAACTTTAGAGATGCTTGACTTCTTAGGAGAGGAAATATGTGTTATCCTGTTTTTATATATGTAAATCTTATTATTCACCATTCACACCAGTGAAAAAGAGCAACATTCTCCAAATAGGTGGGACAAGGGACAGGGGCCTAAATGGTTATGCAGGACAACCAAAAGAGGGACAGGTGGTCACTCTAGTTACACAACACTTACAGTAGGAGGAGGGGGTGGCAGGTCAAGAAAAGCCTGCTTCTAGAAAACAATAGATCTAGATATATGGTCACCATTTAAGCGACAGGCTATGCTACGTGTACCAAAAGGCCTTAAGAAACAAAGAATAAGAATAAGCAAGCATACAAATAGATTAAAATGCAATAGGCTGTCTTAAAGTTGTACATGCCGTGGGATCTGTCATGGTTAGGCCTACTAATGCTGAATTGGCCTTATACAGTGTGTCACCTAAAAACCATAAGAAAATTAATAAATAGCCTAATACATAATCAGTGTGAAAGTGCCTCTACATTTCGGCTGTTTAGTGTAAAGTACTTCATTTATGTAGTAGGTATACTGTATAGACAGTGAATAAACGCTAGCCTTGGTGGTCTATTGAAGCCTTGTAGCTCATTTGCACAGTTACATCGGTTTGACATCCTTAACTGTCAATCGATAGTTTAATTTTAGTTTGCAGTCTAGTGTGAATTGTCTAAAGAAAGGATTAGACACTGTAAACGATACAAGGCATATAATCTCTGCAAGCATCAGCAGCAGCATCACCACCATAGCGCACAGCATCCATATTGGTTTGCTTCCTGGCCTGCTCTTGATGCCAGAGAGGGATGGGGCGTCAGCAGTATTCTCAAGGGCAGTAGCTCGTGTCTCTGGTAAAATGAACAATCCAAATGCTCAAACAGACTTACCTTTACGTTGGCTCCGTCCGTATCAAACAAAGATCCCGACTGCTCCTAATTTCTGACAGAGGAGCGTGACTATGGCCGCATCTCGCACGTACCCGCTACAACCATGGACCATGGACAGCTGCTGCAGTGACAGGCCCCGCCCCCGGTACCCCACGGCGACCCGACGTGCGCGCTCCCGAGCCTGATGGGATTGGAGCGAGGTGATAAGGATGCTGAGGTCGAAATCATAAACTTGAAATTATATTGGAAAGCATTATTTGAGCATGTTTCACAGAGCTTACAAGTCTGAGGTATAGACCCAGACCTATGAAAATGTAAACGCACTTGAGCCATGGTCTATGGTCTAAATATAGGGCATATATGGTCTATGGAAATAAAAGAGTTGTCTATGTATATATATATTAAAAAAAAAAAAAAAATGTGTTTCTCACCTTCCACGGTGGTAGGTCTCTCTCACCCTCATTGAGCTCGGGTCCTCTACCAGAGGCCTGGGAGCTTGAGAGTTCTGCGCAGTATCTTTGCTGTTCCCAGTATATATATATATATATATATATATATATATATATATATATATATATATATATATATATTATATTATATATATATATATATATATATATATATTTATATATATATTATTATTATTATTATTATTATTTATTTATTATTTTTTTTAAGTGGAGACTTTGTAGACCAACATGCGCACCTCATGACACAATAAAAGTGCCAGAATGGATCGGATGGACCCAAAAGGTCTCAGAGGACCAAAGTGCAATAAAACTGGAGAATAATGTTGACATGTTCGTTAGCCTACTCAGAGAGTTTCATATCTTCTATTCTCTTAAAGGGCCTGTACTTGATATTACTTTATTCTTGTCAAGATAAATGCTCTTTACATCATGCATTGTATTTTTTTTTTTAAGAAGAAGAAGAAGAAGAAGAAGAAGGAAGAAACGAGTATAATTTTATCTATTCTTATTTTTATTTATTATTATTCTTTATTTTTTTTTATTTTTTTTTTTTTATGATGACCTCTATATAAACTTAATTTGTAAATCAGATAGTTACTTGAACATGTATGGGCTGGTGTCATGAATTGGGGGGAAAAGAACAAAACAGTTCCTAGATCCCTTTGCTTTGCCTGGGATTGAGACTGTTCTCTCTACGGGCCTACAGGCTGCACCTTTGCTATTGAGCAACATAAAGCTACTTTATAACACCGTGAAGGACTGGTATTTTGGAAGAGACTAATAAGCCTATAGTTAGCTAATAAATAGGCCTAATCTATTTTGTGAAAGAATTCATTATAGCCTAAAAGATTTATCAGTTTTCACAGGGCATCTTTTTGGACAACATGTCTACACTAAGTAGGTTATAGCCAGCATTGTCACACAGTCCCTTGGTACCTCAACTTGAAGAGTATTTTCTGACTGGTTCCATAATCGTGATTTCAGCCTACAGCATGTGATAAGCCACCAACCATTACAGAGGCCTATAGTGGTTGGTGGCTTACTACAAACTTATTATGCCATTGTTTTATGCACCTGATTTGGAACTAGGCCAATATTGACAACATTTTGTAAAGACAGGACAAGAAGCACTTTCCTGAACATGAGAGATAGCCTCCTTTTCGTATCCACAATTTATCACCTTTGGGCGACTGGATTAGGCTATTTGAATCCTACAATCCACAGACTTTCATTATTTGAACTCTTTTAGGCAGAGCAGACACAAAAATAGGCTACTTTGATAAACTATAGAACTAGGCTTGGCCCGTAGGAATAGGTTTCTCTAGGCTTAAGAAATTGACCATCAGGCTTTAGACTTGAGACAAAACCAGGACGAGGCTTTTGAACATGGCACTGGCATTCCATGGATTTGTATACATATTCACATATTATTGTTGTATTGTCAATAGGAAAATAATTTTAAGATCATTTGTGCACATCCCATCACAGTGCAGAAGAGGTACCTCAGCAACGGTGACGTCACAGCTCGGGCCAATCACGAATCTCACAACAAACTGTGCTCTCGCGAGATGACCGTGCTAGCTTGGTTAGTTAGCTAACCTCGATAAGGTTGAATTGTCTGCGCATAGCATTCTATGTAATTTCCGTAAAATAAGCCTGTTTATTGACTGCTGTTGTGTTTAACCCTCAGACCTGTGAAAAGGCGCATCTGGTGGATCTGTGTGCAGGTGAGTGGGATTGTGCGCACAACGGCAGGCTAATCGCTGCGGCTCGGTCCAGGAGGAAATGCATTTGTTTTGGAAGCGGGGACAGGTTTTCAAATGCCACTTAAGACACTGCCATTTACTCTGTGATGCAACAAAAATAGTCGTTGCGATGTTTGTTTTGCACAGATCGTTGCTTATTGGTTCTTTTTGATAGTTCTGCAGTTTTACACTGCACACCTGTAATTGCTGTAGGTGCAGATGCAAAACATGGCCAAGCTGTGTCAGTCTTGCTTATGTTTGCTTATGTCCCACTTTCTCGGCAGGTTCCCAATGATGAGTTATGCTGAAAAGCCAGAGGACATCACAAAAGAGGAGTGGATGGACAAACTGAACAATGTACACATACAGAGGGCTGATATGAACAGACTTATAATGAATTACCTGGTGACAGGTGAGTAATACTTGTTCAGAGTCAAAGTTTTTATGATGTTCTGTTTGTCCCATTTTATTTCTTCTATTTTTGTCTCTTTTTATCCAGAGGGTTTCAAAGAGGCTGCAGAGAAGTTTAGGATGGAGTCGGGGATTGAGCCAAGTGTGGATTTGGACTCTTTAGATGAAAGGATAAAGATCAGGGAAATGATCTTAAAGGGGCAAATACAGGAAGCTATTGCTCTCATCAACAGTCTGCACCCAGAGTTGCTGGACACAAACCGATACTTATATTTTCATCTGCAGGTGTGTTTGCATAAGCCCCAATTCACTTTTATAGACCTGTACTAGTTGCCAAATTACAATCAGTTACAATCCATGAAGTTGGCCAAATGATTCTTAGGCAGAATTACGATACATTGCTGACAGTGTTTCCAATCCTTCTCTGTTCTGCAGCAGCAACATTTGATTGAGTTGATCCGTCTAAGAGAAACTGAATCAGCGCTGGAGTTTGCCCAGACGCAGCTGGCCGAGCAGGGAGAGGAAAGCCGTGAATGCCTCACTGAGATGGAGCGGACACTCGCACTCCTGGCTTTCGACAACCCAGAGGACTCCCCATTTGGAGATCTGCTCAACATGATGCAACGGCAAAAGGCAAGTTGTATTTTATTTGTCTGTTGGTTCACGCTGTCTGACATGTCTTTGTTATCCAAATACAGGTTTGGAGTGAAGTCAATCAAGCTGTCCTTGATTATGAAAACAGGGAGTCCACGCCAAAGCTGGCCAAACTTCTGAAGTTACTGCTGTGGGCACAGAACGAGCTGGATCAGAAGAAGGTGAAATATCCCAAAATGACTGACCTTAGCACAGGCACCATCGAGGACCCCAAGTGAAACTACTCCGTGATTGTCTCCATAATTTATGATCTGTCAGTGACTCTGTGGCAACAAGGTAACACGTATAAACCTAAGCTGTTGTTTTACATTTATCCTTCATAAGAGGAAACTCATTCTGCAGTTTATAAATCACCTTTTCGTGAATACAAATTTAGTAAAAACCCAATTCTGCATAATCAGTGAAATCTTAGATAGAATTAAAGTAAAACTTAAGGGCTGGGAATCAAAAGGTTTGTAAGTGACATCTCAAAATAATGTCAAAATAATGGTCCACACTTTGACCTCACTTACTTCTTAATTATATTTATCCCAAAAGGTCACAAATAAATCTTTTCCTATTCTGGGTTTATATTATTGGTCTTTATAATGCATTAATAACTTAACAATTGTTTACACCTTTGAAATTTGTACACTAAATAAGAACCCTCTTTTAATACCAACTTTTCAAAAAACTGAACTATAGATTGTAGAGCATTTAATGCACTTTGGCCCTTTTTGCTCTGAAAATTTTATTGTAAAAGATAAGACTTTTTCATTAATAAATATTAGGGCAGTTAGAGCTCATTATTTGATATTCAACTCAATTTTGCCCAAAATATCACAAACATCCTTTTGATTCTCACTTGCCGAAAAACCTGATTTTTTTTATTTTTTATTTTTTTCAATTTTACCAGTATTACTTTTGGGGGGGTATTTATCACCACTAACATTTTTTCTTGAAGGATGGTCACAAAACCATACAATGCAATTTCTAAAAATATGAATACACAAGACAAATCTCAATAAAAGTTGCAGACCATCACAAATGAACAGAAACAGTGTAATACAAAAGTACTATACATTTCTATTGAATAAAAATTGTTATTTTATTATTTTCATATAAGATGATTCAAATTACAAAGAGTTTACCTTGATTTATAGTTTGGGGAGGGTTTTTCACAAAGTTGAGTTGCCTACTATTACCAGCAAATGGCAACATTATGTGCCCTGAAGAGTTGAGTTTTGAACACAATTGATCAGAAGATCATTATTGTATCTTTTTTTTTTTTTGGAAATTTATATTATTTAAACTCAAAAACTGAAGTGACTTGTGAGTCAAGTTCACCCAAATTGTTTGCATTTTTCACTTTATGTTGCATGTATATTTTGAGTGAGGTTTAATCTTTTTCTACTTCAGTTGAGAAACTTGCTGCTAGTTGTCTTATTATTTTTTTAAGTTTTAAACATTGCCATGTAAAAATATTGAGACTCTTGAGAGCTTACATCTCTTTTATTAATGAACATTTTTAAGATAAAATTTGCTATTATTAAAAGAAATTAAAGATACAAGTTGTGTTGTGTTATTTCTAACCTTTTGCACAAGTGACCTAACAAAGTACATTAGTAAGATTATTTAAAGCTCTGCCACTTACTTGTACCCATGGAGATGTTAGTGCTTTTCTTAGAATATTACTCAGTATGGCATTAACCCTCTCCATGAAGACTAGGTGGTAGTACTGCCAAGTAACAAGTCAGATCATTGAAATGGTAACCCTGCTGACAGTAATTATGCATGTTCTTCAAGATATTTTTGAGCAGTGAAGATGTAGTGAAATAAATGTTAGAGTCATTCAGTGCCATACAGTGGAATATTGCAGGCAGAAGCGATAACCTCCCCAAAGAGACAAGGATGTTGCAGACATTCCGCCTGAAAAGTTATACAGTGTACCTTTAAATATAAAAGGCAGGACTCATTACATGTCCACTTAACTCACAGACAGCTATTTTAAGGTGAGACACTGAGGTCAGTTTGCTCTTAATCTTTCACATGGAAACAAAACTCTCTAATATGCACCTGTCCACTGTTTTATTTACAATATTTTAATTACAATGTTCCATATAAATCTATCATCTGTAGATTTATATAGAACATTGTAACTTTGAAGGCATTTTTTTTTTTGCTACATTTGTACTTTTTACAAACTTTACTGAGGGATTTGTTAATAGTTCATTTGAATTATTATTATTCAATTTAACTCAATGAGTCACAATTTGAATATTAATATTTAATACGCTATTTGATGGTAATTAATTTTTCAGATTTATACATCACATAAAATGCCTTATTTATATTACATGATGGAAAAATATTTTCCCTTAACTTCCTCAACTTGATATTTCTTTATAAGATTTTTTCCTATTCACCTGCAGTGTCTCGCCTATATATTTGGGTTGATTATTACTGAATAACAAGTAAAATATCGCTCCCTCTGTTGACAATATGCCATTGAAGTATATCAATTCAATTTAACCAAATATTTCAGGCTAAAATCTTTAAAATAAACCATGAACAATCATTTTTGCTTTCCATCACAACCTTGGTTTCATGACCCAGAGTAATGGGTCAGTCATAGAGTGTTACCTATGAACTTTGGGAATGTGATCCCTGCTCCAACCAGCATATACCGTGGTTGAGTCCTTAAGTAAGGCACCTCACCCGCTTTGCCTGAATGAATGAGTTTTTGTTTTTGAAAAACAAAAAAGTCAGCAAATGGAAATTGGTCTTATGTGCGAGGGCATGCAATAAGCATACAATAAAGGGCCTTTTGTTTCATTCACACATTTAACACACAAACCCTGCAGATTTAAGATGATACCGAAAATACCGTCCACCTTCTGATGTCCTGTGATAGAGCAGGAAGGGCTCAACTATGTTTTAAAACTACATACATCTTCACTAGAATTATTTGGATAAGTTCAGCCCTGGAATTGCCAATCTCTACTGAACAAAAGATAAAAGGTAGCTGTTAATTTGAAAATTACTGCTTTGTTACATCACAAGATGGAACAGAGCATTTTAAGATTTGGAGATGTAAACGGACTAATAATGCAGAATTACTCAAATGTGTGAATGAAACGAAACACAACTCCAGGTATGTTTCTGAGGAGGTAACAACATTTGGGTTTTGATGAGGCACTGGCATGTCAAATATTCACTATAAATTCAAATCTTTATAAGCTATTGATGAGGAAATACCATTATAGCATGTACTTAAAAGGCCATAAGCTCTTAATATGTCTATAACAAGATGGTAGGCTACTTTTTGTGAAAAGTTTGAGAACCTAAAGAAATAGGCTATGTATCAGTGTTTCATTGAGAACTAGTCAACAGCAATTTTCCCTGTTTCTAACTCTATCTGATCAAAATTACATATAACCAAATTTAATTTTGATGATCCACTTTTGGTCCTTGCCTTGTGTTTGGGAACCACAGACTCGATACGTACTACATAATTTGGCAATGGGCGGAGTTTTGCCTTTTGCTTTTGCAAAAAAATGGGGAAGTTGCGCTCTTCTTCCAATAGATGTTTTGGTTGTGCAATCACTGTAAATCATGCTCATATAGTGCTATTATTTATTACAGTTTGAAAGTGGCTGTTGAGAAGTTTTAAATTAATTGAACCTTAAATTCCCTGCGCTGGACTGTCCGGACAGGCGCTGCGCTGGCTTTTGCAAATATGAACCAATGCTGCGATGATTTGTTGGAACAGGTCTTACCTGTCTGGCCACTTTTCCCGAGGAAATGAGTCGGAGTTGGATCCCGGTTCTGTGGACGACAGCGGCAAAGGGAACGTAGAGGAGGCACGGACTTTCCATGGCTGTCATTTCAGCACAAAATGAACACAACAATGGATTTAACTACTTTCTTTTGGAGTCAGGCAATTTGAAGTCAAAACCGTCACAAGAGGGTCAAACATTATGGCCCAGGTAAGAAATAATACAAACTTGGCAGTAGCCAACTCATATTTTGTGTATAGATTTTTAAATAGATTTAAATAAGAAAATATTAGGCCTATGTCAGTGAAAATAGAGCTAAGAAATAAAGAAATGTGATTATGGCTGTAATCAAGATTAACAGCTTGCTGCAATAAATGAGTTGAGCGTCAAAAGTAGAAATATTTCTTGTTGATGTTTTGAAGCTGTGTGCTTACCTGAAATGGGATCAGCGTGAACATTCCCTCGTTGATTAGAAACACGACCTATTATAGATGCTACAAAGTCTAGATGTTGTGGCTGAACATGAACATGAAGTAGATGTGTTTGTAGGAATACCAGGACTAACTGGTTATATGGGTCTACAGGGAGATGTGTGATTAGGATAATAGAGAGGCAAATATAATTTAAATGTATCATATTTTACAGAAATCACAAGGCAATTACAAGCCATTTTCATATATTCAGTATGTTTTTTTAAGCAAGGGAAACTAATATTATCAAATTGGTCAGATCCTATTGCATAGAACATAAGGTATAATTTTCAGACCTTATGTATAAAAGTGATTGAAGGATTTCACTTATTTTAGTAACAGGACCTCCACTGTAAAAGCAATTGTACATTTCAACTGGCAAGAAATGTAAAAGTTTAAGTTAAAGTTTGCTAATATATATCTTTGAGTTTTTATTTGCAATGACCAGTTTCAAGTTTAAATGACAGGTTTACACTATTTAAATTCAATTATTATTATTTTATGTAATGTAAACACTTCCTCTCAAAAGCATTATATTTTAATACTGTGGCATGTTTGTGAACAAACTCCTCTTTGCTTCTCCATATTTCCAGATCACTGGCTCGAAAATGGTTTGTGGTGCTGTTCCTGGGCACCTGCCTCCTGTACTGTGCGCGGATGGCCATGCCGATCTGTGCCGTCACCTTGGCGTCCACTTTCCACTGGACAAAGATTGACACTGGAGTTGTACTCGGGGGCTTCTTCTGGGGCTACTGTATCACTCAGATCCTGGGAGGATACGTCAGTGACAAGTATGTTCAAGCATCACTTTATGGCTACACAAATGGGAAAAAAAGCACAGCAAGGTCATATAAAGTGTCTGTTTATAAAGTGTTTCTGGTGTGGGAGGTATGGCATGGGTTTGTCTTCGTGAAGGTATCACTTTCCCTGAAAAGTTAGCAGTATAGCATAAACTTTCAGCTATCAAGCATTTATTCAGTTAGAGGTGTTTTTTCCCCTCAAACTTACCTTGGAAAAATCTGCATTCTTACTCTGAGTGTGGTCACTTCTCCATAGATCTGATCTGCAACTTGGCCCTTTGCCCCAGTTTAATGTCATACTGTGGAAAATTGAAGGAAACACAAGCAAAGCATAAGAAAGTTGATAGTGCAGCTTTTAAATAAATCAAAATTGCATTAATACATGCATATATTTTAATGTCAAAACAAAATATCATGGAGTGTCCTAACATGGCTACAGTGTCTAAATGATTATAGAGATATATGATTGTGCAGTATAAGTCTACATGAAAGCATGTACCCCTATCTGTTGTTCTATGAGATAAAACAGATATTAATATCAAAATTTGGGTATTTTAAAATTCCATATTGTGTCCTTCCTAGCTGCATTATCTCTCAACAGTATAATATTATGACTTTCATGGGTGTGGGTAATTAGGAAAATATATTTAAATGTTTGGATGCTGTTAAAGTTTTAAGCTTCACAAGCCAGAAACTGCATTTAGAGTTTTATATTTTTATATGGATATTGCGATATTTTGATTTTGCGTTTACCTATTACCAGCCTTATATTGTAATATTCTAAGCCATATTTAAACATGTTTCATCCAGTGATTCAATATTTGTTTTGTTTCTACTGTATCTGTATTTTCAACCAGATTTGCAATGTGTACAATATCATAACTCCATAGGAAAACAGCCTTAAGGAGGATTTGCACTGTGTTTTAATGTTTCTCAAGGGAGGTCATTTTGTGTAATGCCTCAATGGTGAAATAAAACATTAGGATTGGGCAAACCAACACTAGTATATAATTAAATGTAAACTACAGACAACTACAAATTGAATTCTTAACAGTAAGCACAAGTAAGAACAATATTTTTTTTTCCTTAATAAACTAAAATATAAACAAAAATATGGAGGTGCATATGAACACAATTATCATTTTATCAGGCATTTAGACTAAACTTCTGCATTGTTCACTCACCACTTACTTCACTTTACCCTCCCAACATCACACACAGACACACACACACCCATGCACACATTCTCTCCTTCCTCATTTTCAGTGTAGGAGTATTTGGTTCCTTCAACATTTTCAGCATCAGCTGTGTGCATATCATATTTTTCTAAATATTATTTTGTTTTGGGGGAAAGTACCTGTGCTAAATAATCATAATAGTTTCATATCAGTTAAGTGGCAGTTTGTGTAAAAAGAATAGTACAACAATACATGGCAGAGTTCTAAAACAAAATCCCTCTACCATGTCACCAACACAGAAAATTCCATCCAAAATGCAGGGACAATTTACGTACAAGGAAGACATTTGTCAGCCAGTTGTTATCACTTACTTAATATAATTGTAACTACTGTGTATTACAAGTTTTGGCCCTTGTTAACATGATTGCTAGGTAGCAGTAATGGTATGGTATACCCCTATGTCACATTTGCCCATGTTCAATCAAGAATTAAAATGATAACGGTAACCATAATTTAAAAGCTAGGCAAGATTTTTATTAGAGTATTAAACATGTTATTTTGTTATGTTAATGAGGAGTGTAACCTGTCAGATCACTAAAGTTATGTCCCTCTTCCAACTCGTGGTCAGTTTAGCTTGGCCTGAATGTACAAAGAAAAAGATATCCCAGATTTTACCCCTTTAATTCTTTTGTGAATAAAGTTCATTCCTGTCTTGCTTTAGGATTGGTGGAGAGCGCGTTCTGTTAATGTCTGCAGCCTCTTGGGGTCTGATCACCGCTGGGACCCCCCTTGTGACCCGGTTCTCCTCTCACGCCCTGTTTCTCATGACAGCCGCACGTTTCCTCATGGGGCTGTTACAAGGTGAGCTAATAAAACAAGTAGCAAAACAGAGGACTAAAGTCCAGCGGCATTTTACAGGCAAATAGACTGGGGTAATTACATTCACATATGAGATACTCCTACCAAAATACAGCATAACAACATTAACATGGAGCTAGACATTAACTAATAAGATTTAAGGGTATTTTAATAATAATTCTCAATAATCCATGTAAATTTATTTCTATGTCAAGTAATATACCCTTAAAGGTGTACTTTCTGGTAGAAGGTCTGCCACCTGCTTGTTTACATGGAGTTGCTACTGCTTGCCCGGAATGTTCCAAAGTATGGCACTGAACTTAGCTATCTCCATGGAGACAAACAGGTGGTGCCACAAAGGCCAAGTTACAGGTCAGATCTTTGAAGAGGCCAGTGTGTTCACAATGATAAGGTATGTTTTAGCAATACAAACACCTGCAATTACATGCATATTGGATAAATTTAATGCCATATTATGGAACATTCCATGGAAAGCAATTGCAATGCCTTTTATTCTCAAAGTAAAGTTGTCATGTGTGGTTAGAATATGTGGAGACACATATTTCCCTGTATGCAAATAAATGCTCATGATAAAATACTGAGGGATTTATTTATAGAATTTTGTGACTGTGAGATTTATATCTACAAATAGAGAACATGAGTTCTTTTGGTACTTTCGAGCTGATGTAATCAACATTGCCTGGGTTTGTGAAGCTAACTTAAGGTACTACTCTCTGTAATAGACTTTAAACATGAGCTATAATTAAACACATTCTGAATCATAAAGAACTGACTTTGCTGGAACTACAATAAGTAAGATAAGTGCTTAGGGTGACCAGACATCCCTGTTTCCCAGTTTTGAGCCCTCTGTCCTTTGTCCCAGTGGATTTATTCAAAACCATTGATTTGTCCCAGTTTTATACAAGAAATGTCCCAGGTGTCCCTATTTTTAACCAATTTGATACCTGCCAACAGTAAAGAGAGGAATACATTGTCATTTGTTTAGGTAAAATATAGAAAAGCTGCTTAAAAATGACCAAAACACTAAGAAAATGTGAATATACTGATACATATTAGTCATGAATGGGCCAAGTGCAGAACAATTTTCCTTAATTACACACTGAATTCACAACTTTATTATTATTACTGTCCCAGTTTTTTTTTATTTTGAAAATCTGGTGACCCTATTTGTGCTGTTAAAATAGCCCTCTCAAATTACAGTCACAAGGTAACTAGCATAAGCCAGCAGTTTTCATGTAGTCACTCTCAAACTTTTATTGAAAATTAAACACCTAAACAGGACCACAAACACTTGTATTGATCAGAGGCTCCTGAAAATATTCAGTTTAAATCCATTTAGTATTTTTTTCTTGAGTTTTCACACAATTTTATTATTTTTTGTCATCAGTGATTACCAATGTGTGCATTGTGTCACGATGGTAACTGCTGAACATTCCACCTACAGGAATATATCAAGAACACCCCTAGCTCGATGTAATTGCAAAGTATCAATATTGCAGTTGTAAGCAATCTTGCCAAACTTTTATACCAAGTTGAAATTCAAAATATGCTTTTAGATTTATTTTTAGGAGCTGTATGGATTTACTGAATTCTCCATATTTAAATGGCTTAGATGGCTCAGTTTGTCCTGCGTCAATCCTTAACGACTTATTTTAAATGTGATTGCGTGGCAAGATTTCATGATTGATCAATTGATCAATTTTGATTTGATACATCAGATATAACATCATAAGTTAGAAACACAGATTCACATGCTCATTTATTCTTTATGCTCATTCTTTAACAGTGAGACAGTTTGGAGCATTAAGATTTAGGAGTCAAATGATGATATCTTAAGCACTACATCTAAGAGTTTTTACAGTGGTCAGCACCTATACATTCTTTCACCTTGTATAGTTTGCATATTTTGTACTTGTTATTTACAGATTAATATATTTAAAGGACCCAGATCATGCTATTTTCCTATCTCTGTTATAATGTTGTTTCCTTGTCAAAACATACCTGGAGTAGTGTTTTGTTTCATTCACACGTTAAACACACAAATTCTGAATCTTTAGGCTGTGTTCTCATCTCAAACAGAAAACACTCTGTTCTACCTTATGAAGTCATGTGGTAATACAAGAAGTGCTCCACTGTGTTTTTAAACTCCATGCTAGAATCATTTCGATAATTTCAGATTTGGAATTGCCAATCTCTGCTGAACTAAAGGTATAAAATAACAGTAACTTGAAAGCTACCACTTCATGACATCAAGGTGGAACAGAGCATTTTGAGCTTTGGAAATATAAACAACTTAATAAATGTAGCCACAAGTGATCAGTTTTGTGTAATAAAAGACCTTCAGACCATGATGATGATACCATAGTTATATGTAATCCTGTTTTGTTACAGGTGTGTTCTTTCCCTCTTTGGCCAGTTTGTGTTCACATCGTGTGGTAAAGGCAGAAAGAGGATTTTTGATGAGCATTTTGCACAGTGGCACTTATCTTGGGTATGTTTTGTTTTATGTGTTTTAAACTGATTTTTGTTTCATCTCAAATTGTATGTTTATTTGTCAGAACATTAGTGGCTGGTGGTCTGGGTTCAGTCATGCTGCAGAATTATGGGTGGGAATACCTGTTTTATTGCACTGGTTTTGTCAGTGGCCTTTGGGCGTTCCTGATTTGGTACTTTCTAGTAAAAGGTACATATATTTTTGAGAAACTGCATAATTTTAGATTTGATTTAAATTTAATAATATATGATACATTTTGTTTTGTAGGCAGAGAGCTTCCTAAACAGAAGCAAAGAGCAAATGGTCCACATCAGTCAAAAACACGTTGGTTAAGTTTCATAAAGAAGTCATCGGTTTGGTATGTCTTTGCATTTTATCTTATAACCACTATATAACTTGTTTGGTCACATACCTATTACAGCCTTATTTATGTTTTGAGGTCCATGATGATTGCTCATACATGTGCAGCCTCTACATTCTATACTTTGTTGTCATGGCTGCCAACTTATTTTGAAGAGTCATTTCCAAATGCAAAGGTAAATCTCTTGCACCACTGTGTCGTGTGACTAATGCGCCCTGTGGTTTTGTACCAACTAAGACTTGATCACCAAGTCTCTGTCCTTTCTTACAGGGAGGGGTGTACAATACTGTCCCATGGATAGCTGCTATCCCTGCCAGTCTGTTTGGAGGTTATGCCTCTGATTTCCTCATAACTAAAGGTATAAAATGCATAGATTAAAAAAAAAAAATCACTTCTACTGCCTTCTTTGCTAATAGTTGTACTCTTTCCAAATATAACCAAAGAAAGCTGTAAACAATTATAACAGAAGATGTATACAGTATGAATTCAACACCACCTATTGTAGTGACAGCACAGTGTTAAGAATTTTCCATTGGGGATAATAAGGATATCTTATCTATCTATATTATACCTTAAAAGACCTATATAACACAAAATCAACTCTTGTTGAAAATCAACTCTTGTTGATTTTGCTATGTTAGAATGTTGTTACCTCCTCAAAAACATACCTGGAATTGTGTTTTGTTTCATTGACACGTTTGATCTCAGAATGCTCTGTTGCACCTTGCAACATAAAATGGTATTTTCCAAGTTACAGCTATTTTTTACCTTTTGTTTAGTCGAGATTGGAAATTCTAGATCTGAAATTATACAAATTATTCTAGTGAAAGTGTATGGAGTTTAAAAACACAGTGGAGCACTTCATGTATTACCACATGACATCACAAGGTGGAACAGAGTGTTTTCCGTTTTCCAGAGAAGAACGCAGCCTAAATATGCAGAGTTTGTACATGTGTGAATGAAACAAAACAAAACTCCAGGTATGTTTTTGATGAGGATACCACATCATAACACTGATATGTAATATGGGCCCTCTAAAAACCTGCACTATATTACTTTTCTCATTTTTTGCCACTTTCTTGCTTCCAGTGAGATGTTGCTTCACACAATAGCAGTTGGTATTTATAAGCAGGTGATGGTATTACGCCAAGTTAGAGGTTATGTCTGTGGAGAGGTGACCCAGCTCACTGTAAGAATTTATTAGGGTTATTTATGTTCTTGGTGGGGACCTCATGAGAAAAGTTACACCTTCAATGTTATTTGTTTGTCTTTGTAGGATACCCGGTTGTGTATGTGAGGAAGTTCATGCAGGTAACTACATAATGCTTTCCAAAACAGTGTTGAATGGAGCATGTTCACTCTGGGAGGTTCAGTCTCATTGGAATTTCTAGTCTTCTTTGAACATGTAATCACAGGTCTCACTGCGGCCCGGGGGAAACCAGACTATGAGCTCTTTGCCTCACAAGAGAATTTCATAAACTACAAATACTGTCAACAAAATTATGTATACTGGTGATCATTTAAACCAAAGGTTTCCAAACTTTTCATGCTGAGACCCACAAAAACTCTATCAATACAAATGATCCAGGACCCCCATTACAAAATAAAATATTTATGTTGTTTAATATTTACAATCAGGTTTATCTGTGCGAACTCACAACCTCTAGCTCAGTGTCTCACGACCCCACTTTGAAAACCACTGATACAGTAGTGGTTGAGAATCATACTGGGACCCCTTGAGATAGTGTGTTTTGTTTTGTTTTAAAGATTAGAAATGATTTGTGTTGGATTCAGTTTTTTACATAATGTTTTTATATGTGGTTTCTTATTTTTTAGGCAATTGCTATGGGAATCCCAGTGCTATTCATTTTACCCATGTCTAATACTATCACATTATCAACTGCTGTCACACTCACCACTGTGGCTATTGCAGCGACAACCTTTACCAGTGGGTAAGTGAAAAAGACAAACAAAAAATTTTATGTACACTACCATTATTTATTTTCATGCATATAGGTGCTGTGTGTGACTGTTGTGTGTGTGTGTGTGTGTGTTTGTTTTTTCAGTGGTGTGGCTGTGAATGTACAGGATCTCACTCCATCGTGTGCTGGCGCCCTCTATGGTCAGTTTGTATTTATTGTCCCTGCCTCTTTAAGTTAAAGATGTTAACCTCTCTTTCTCTTTTGTTCTGTTGTATAAGGTTTCATGAATATGATGGGTGCTTTATCAGGTCAGTAGCCAAAATATGAAACTAACTTAACTTTGCACACTACAATTAAGGGTGACCTGTCCATACAGCATACCATTTAGATTTTTAGGTCCACCAATTTAAATGTCATACCAACTTAGTTTTGGGCACCCTGATTGGCTGGGTTACTAGGAAGCTTCACCCAACCCTAGTAGAATAACTTTATAAAATGTTAATGTTTCAGATAAAAAAGACAACAACCCCAAAACACAAATTTAATATAATCCTTTATCTTGGCAAGATGTGCTTTGTCAGTCTTTTTGATCATCATCACTCTGTTCATTGTGATGCTGAGTGGACTATGTGTCTGTTTCTGTATTTATCTATCCATGTATCAAAAACAAAATACAGAAAAATCAAGAAAATGTATTTCTGAAGCAGCTGAACTGATGTAACAATCTTCTTCCCTGCACGCATTATAAGCAGCGTGGCTCGCAGTTTGAAATGGGCCAAGCCAAATCTATCTATCCATCTATCAGCCTAACTCCAGTGTGTGTGTGCAGGGGTGGTGACGGTATCTCTTTCCGGATACCTGATTGAAGTGACTCAAACGTGGGCTACAGTCTTCTCCCTAGTGGCCTTAATAAACTTGTCCGGTTTGGGGGTCTACTTGATTTTTGGAGATGCTCAGCGCCTCGACCAGCATAGCTACAGCCCTGTCACTGTGATATGAACACTGCCCACACCTCTATGAAGACGAAAACTGCTGAGTGCTTTCAGTTTTCTAACATGATTATATTGTTACACAAAGTGTTTACATTTGAATATCCTCATTTTTTTTGAGGGAATTGTTTAAAAAGACTTTAATATAATTACATTTAGCAAACTGGAGATATATTTGTAATGCTATTTTATTGTTTTATACGATAGCAAAAATAATTTATAATGACCAAAAGATGATGTGTTTATCAGAGACAGTTTCTCATTGTACTTTGTTTTATTTGCTCATGTGTTATTATGTAGAAGGAAAGACCTGCACAGTCTCTCCACTTATGACTTTGTGGACTCAGCACAGAGGCCCAGTCAAGGAGGTGCCTTGTTATGAAAAGTGACTCATGTCAATGTAGGACATACAGCAGTGTTATTTCAATATCCACTCTCTTGCCTATGCATGAAAAAATAAAACATTATGCCCTCAACTGTCTGTTTTAAGTCTCTGTAACTCTCTAATTAAACTGTATAAATTGATTGAAAGGTCTAATCACAAAACATGTATTTGAAACTGTCGGTTTTGGGATCTTTGTTTCACTGTCCAACTATTAAGTTTAATAAGACAACTTTAACACTGCCATAATCAAAAGTTAAAGACCTAACATTCGTAGGACCCCTGCGTACATGCACACACAGGGCCCGGGTCCAGCTTCAGCACCATGGACAGCGCCTCGCGCCTGTGGACCACCCGGCCTTCAAAGAGGGGTGCACGTCATGACGCCGTTTTTCTGTGTCCAATCAGCAGTCGGCTGTGAATGCCAGACCCAGATTCAGCTGTAAAGACATTTTAACACCAGAACAAGAAGAGGTGGTGGTTGGCGATCATAATGTTGTGGGACAATTTCAGGTAAACGGGATGAGACCAGGGCCCTCCTGTCTGCGCGCGTGCAGATAACCGCGGACTATTGCGAGACTGCGCGCGCCCATCTTCTTTCACCGACGGTTCTGTTGCGGAATGAAGACGCGCAGCGGCACAAAGCTGCCAGAGGAGGAAAGAGAATTATGATGCGAAAGAGAGGAACAAGACCTCCTCAGAAGAGACAAATTGAGGGCCGAATTAACGGTGTATTCTATTCTGGTGAAAGACAGAATAAGATCTAAGGACATGGTAGTGCCTCGAGCGCGAACAGGCCTATTAACCCGAGTCTTTCATTTTATTTGGTGTGGCCTGTGATAGCCTTTGTGTTTTTTCTCTTGTCAGCGGCCTATTGCCAGTAGCTTCATTTGGTAAAGGACAGGGTTGCCACTCCTCGTGTTCACGGCGGACCTTGATTTAATAGATATACAATTAAGGCACGCGGTGAATGCCAAGAGAGGAGCCCCCCGCTTCATGAACATGGAGACACAATTCTGCACTGCACCTGCCTCGGCTCTCACACACTGTCCTACATTTGTGTTGGCGCTTAATACAGACCAATAAACGGCTTAATTTAATCATTTTTTTCTTGCAAATCTCACCTCACAATATGCAGATTTCATCACATCTACCCAAAGGATAAAACTAGAATATTTTGCAGTAATTTCTCAATAAATCAAGTAAGGTGGCCTCAGACAAATGTGACCTCCAATTTCCAATATTACTCTGGCCTATAAAATTTACAACAGAATAAAGCATAATTGTAGGGTAAGTAGGATGAGAGAAGAACACAACCAACAGATAAGTATATCTTTAATAATGAACATGATCAAATCTAAGAATCTGATGGTGAGCTCTGATACAATGAAGATACAATTGAGGGTGACTTGACTTTTTGCATAAATGTAATATATTTCCAATAATGTTATATAACTCTGCTCCACAATCATTCTGCCTCTTTATTCTCGCTCTCGCATACACACAATACAGCAAGCAATTAAAAGAAAATTCACAACATATACCATAGAGCCTAGCATGTAGGTTTTCATACACTGAACGAGAAATCGTCTGCATCTCAGTTAGAAACGCCAATACATTAAAGCTTACATTTGTGAAGGATTATGAAGACAGGTTATAGCAATGAAAATGCCAATATTAGAGTTAAGTTAAAGAACAATAAAGCAAGTTACTAACAAAAACCGCAAAGTGACTGGCCTGGCTTCAATTTGAAAAAGCAGCACATGCTACATGTTCTCCCAGGGGTGCAGAGGAGAGCGCAGTGCAGAAGCAAGATTGTAAAAACAAGTGTCTGCATCAAATCAATAAGGAAAGAAAGGACTTTCTTTAAAATTTTAGAAATCTCTCTGAATCTCTTGCAAATTTGAGGTACAGTATCATAAAAGTAAATTACCACCAGCAGAAGATAGCTTAAGGCTCCATAGAGCAGAAGAGAAATGGTGCATACCTACTTTAATGCAACTTTTTAAATGTAAGCCAGTACAATGCTCAAAATATTTTTCTAACATTAATACTTTCTACTGTCACAACCTTGTACATAAATGTCTATGCATACAGAGACTTTCAGTGTACACAATCCTTCACCTAAATCACCCTTACATAAACAAATGGGTGGAACTGAACTTATTTTTTCTTCTGATAATATAAAATACAACTTCTCACACAATGATAATAACAGACAGTTTTGTGGATAAAGTGTAGTTCACTCATAAGTTGTTTAACTGACACAAGCACTTAACATTTCTCCAACACACAAACCACAAAGTGAACAGTCACTGAATATCAGCAGCATGTTGTCAAGAGATTTTTAAAACAGACGTGCAGATATTTGTTACTTATTTGTTAAGAATGCAACTTCAGGAATAGCAATAGAGATTTATAAGGCTAAAAAATACAGAAAAATCAAGAAAATATATTTCTGAAGCAATTGAACTGATGTAACGAGCTTCTTCCCTGCACGCATTGTAAGGACTGGGAGCAATGTGGCTCGCAGTTTGAATGGGCCAAAGTCACCAAACTTAAATAGGAAAAATATTAGTTTGTTATAATTTCTTTATGTCCATGTATTTTTATGTTAAATCTAATATCAGTCTTCTATCAGAGGCAGTCTCCTGTTGTTCACTTCTGGCGATCCTGGAGGAAAAAATAAAGGCATTCTATCAGTATAAAAATAGAAAATAAATAAAATAAGGACTTTTGATGATTCAAAAAAAAAAAAAAGATTTTACTTGCTCTCAAGCTCTCTAAATCTCATAAAACAAAAAAATATAGAGCAAGTGGAAAAAAAAAATAAAAATAAAAAATCAACACCAAACTATAATTTCTGAAAGTAAAAATAAATTACTATTATAAACAGTGCTGTGTTTTACCTGATCAATTCGGGATCTGGTTGGTATGGAGGCAGGCTCATAGCTCTGTTGAAAATAATAGTTTTAATAATTTTATAATCATTTAACAATAATTTCACTTTTACATCTATAACAGACCAATAATGAAATCATTTAAATGATCTAAATAGCAGTTGTGCTGAACTAACCTTTTTGACCACCTCTTCCTCCTCCTGCTTCTTCTCATAATGTGAGAAGTCATCAAAGATGGAGGTGGTGTGTTTGTACTGCGCGATGATCTTGAGCACCTGCTTAGCCTTCTCCAGAGGCACCTCCTGTGTGTCGCGAGAGTTGGTGACCGGTTTGTTGTCATTATTCTCCAAACGGATGTGACGCAGTTGACTATTAGGCACGTCCTTTACAAACAACCAGTTCACATCAAACTTTCCCTTCCATTTGTCCTGCGCCCAGACCCCAGCACTGGTGCCATAGTCCACTGGTGACCGCATCTCTGCTACGCCACAGAAATGCCCACTCCCATTGACGCTAAACAACAGGTACACAGGCCCTTTCGAGTTCATTGACCTAAAAGCCGAGTCCAAGCGCTTGTTGCCGTGCTCCGTGCTGCACCAGATCGAGTATTTGATTGAGCGGTGGATGTCGTCCTCCGAATAGCTCTTTATGATGAAAACGCGACCATTCTTCAGATTCCAGTCAAAGTCCTTGGGGTTGTAACTATGGGAGGCTCTAAGCTTCTCCAGAACTGGGTGGGACTCTGCTCCGGGCTCAGATCCAGAGGGCATGCCCCCCAGTACTCCCCCTCCATTTCCTACACTCCCACCATTAGATGAGCCACTGCTGTCCAAACTGCCACCTCCGTAGCACAGGTTGCGGTTGCGAGGGGCCACCCAGCGAGTCTGCGGGGGGGGAGCAGGGTTGTGGTTCTGGTAGGACTGAGGGGGGCCAGGCATGGTCATCTGTTGCACCAAGGACTGGGCGGACTGGATGGACTGTTGCAGAGGAGGGATGAGGCTGGTGTGGGAGTGGAGGGATTGGGGGTGGTGGGGGGGCAGAGGGGGCAGCACTTTTGTGGCAGGAACTTTGTTGTCCCACGTGTCGATGTCCATGGAGTGTTTCAGTGGAGCTGGAGGCAGCACTCCCCCAGCTATGGTTGCGATGGGCTTTGACTTACTTTTCTGTTGTTGCAGCTTAGCAGGTTTACTTGCAATAGCAGCCCAAGATGTCGGTTTTGGAGGTGGCATTCCTAGAGTTGTGCCGCCATTGCCCGTAGGAACCGCAGCAACACTCCCACCTCCAATCACCGACCCTGCCCCCTTCACCCCTGAGCCGCTGCTCACATCTCCTCCGATTTTCAATCCCAGCATGCCCTGCTCCAAACTGTTCATGCCTGGCGCCTTGCTCAGGGTGTCACTGTGGAAGCCTGTCTGTCCATCTGGGACCAATGTTCCCCCAAGTGAGCTGGGGGGGTAACTGTAACTGCCCCCATAAGCTGAGCTCTGAGTCTGCTGGCCTTGAGAGCCACTGGTGCCCCAGGCCGAAAAAGCGGGATTCTCTGGGAAAAAGTTAAACCTGTGAGGGTAAATGCTGCTGCTGAGGCCTCCAGGCTGCCCAAACACGGTGTCATGCATGAAGTGGTGGTCTCCATTGCTGAGGGGAGCATAGGGGGTCAGGTACGGGATGGGTGGGTCTCCTCCAGTTGACCACGGAGCTTCACTGAGCGGATAAGGAAAACCAATGGAGGGAGCATAGTAACTGGACAGGTACGGGTCAGTCATCGATTGATAACTGTTGTTCTGCAATTCAAACAAAATAAAACTGTGGTTAGACACAAATAACAAAAAAGAAAATAGTTACTGAAAAGACAAACCTGATTAGACTGGCCAGTGAGATAAGGCTCAAAGTCATTGTCATGCATTGTATCCTTTTGGTGAAGGGAACCATTTTGCACAGACACTGGAAAAGCTGTAATAATAAAGTTACAAATAAGCTTTGAGCCTAGGCAAATCTGACATTGAAAAGGTTAAAAGTTTTATGAAATAATACAACAATAAATTAATGACCACAAAAGACAACAGGGTAGTGAGTAGGTGTGTTTTGATTTGGCAAAGATTTGATATGATAACAACTTGTCATTTTAAACTCAGAACATCATTACTTTTACAGACTTACTAGAAAATGTACTGACTTAAGGGTAAAAAATGTAATAGACTACATTATTTCAGTATTTTGGACCTTACCTTTGCTTGCATCTTGTCCTTTTGATGTCTATGAGGGCACATTGAAGAGAAGACATGTAAAAGAAGAACAGCAAACACGCTTACGCGGAATGAAGCTATCAAAAGGCATGCTAGAAAGGGTGGTGCGTAGTAAGGATTGAATAATTTTCAGCTAACATAACCACTAATTTGGCTAGCAGGCTAACAAGATGACAGCAGCAGCACCATCGTATGTAAAGTAGGATGCACAGATCGCGTTGCTGTCACACGCATTTTTGGCGCTTACCTGAGGGTCTATACTCGTAGCCGACATCATTCATTCAGCAGGTGCGGTTTTGGACTACAGCCCTGGCGAGATGCAGTGTGGGGAAGCTGCAAAAAACTCGGCGGTGCTTCTGGTGCTAGAAAAGCTAACGTGAATGAGCCTTTGCCTTGCTCCGCGTTACTTTGCTAACACTTTTACAGTCAATGGCAGCTAAGAATCGGCCTCTCGTCTGGACGCGGACAGTTTGCTCGCCGTAGCCGTGCTGCCACTGTGAGAGGTGCTGTTGTCGACATTAATCCCGCGAGGCTTCAATCCGCTCCGACCCTCGCACCAATAAATTAAATTCCTAGCAGCCTCGGTAGCCCTGCTCACTTGCCCCAATGGCAGCTTCATCCGGGACATGCAGAGCGGAAGAGACGTAAGTGACGCAAACGCGTACGCGCACTCCAACTGAGCAGCAGCGTGACCGATTTTTAAATTAGTCTTCTGTCTTTTATTCGCGAATTACTCTAATTAAACCACTGTAAACTTGAGGTAAGCCGCAAAATATACATTTTGCATTAGACGTTTGAATAAAACAGGGAAAAGAACGTAAAATAGTGTGAACACTAGGCGCATTTAGCTAGATGTCCTGTAAAAACCAGAGAGCTAGAATTATCAGAACCAAATAACTAGATTGGATTTTTGCGGTGTGTTTATATGCACAATCCAGGTATCTCACCCATGTCTCAATTAATCTATGTATTTTTAGAGTAACCTTTATATTTAGAAGTACAAAGTACAAAGAGTTAAAATAACTATTTATGCCAATTAGTTTGCCCTTTTGCATTTTCCTTGTCAAATCTGCACAGATGTGAACAAGATATTTAAGAAATCATTTTACTCACATCAGATAACAAGTTTAAGTTATCTGTTATAAGTTTACAAGACATGTCAGCAATCTGATAGTTCCAGAAATCAGATAATCAGATATTTGGTGTTCATGGAAACAAAACCCATGCTGTTTGTAACCTAAAAATATACATTGTAAATACTAAGAAGCACAACATTATTATTTATTTACATTTATTTGTGTGTCGGAGTGCTACATAATCTGTTATAATGGCTCATATAAATAGGTCCGAGGTAAACACATTATTACTCATTACATAGTACACTTCACTCAATAGTGCTGTCATTTTGGCCATCTTGTGTTGTTTTCAGGTGGTTTTCTTGTGTCGTGTTGTTTGGCTTTTGTCACAGGTATTTGAAATCTAACAGAGAAAAAAGACGAGAAAAAAAACATTAAATTAAATATGCAAATTGACTCTTAATCATAAGGCCAATCAGCCCACATACCTACACGCTCCTAGAAGAGCAACTGAAAGGGTTTGGATGGGTAGTGAAATTCAGCATTAAAATCAACTGAACAGAAATGTGAAAAAGAAAACAAAGAAATCATAAGTAAATAATATAAAACTTAAATGGAAATTATAAATAACACGTTTTTATTTGATGAATATACTTACAGCTGTCATCGTCATCTGCAAAGGCATTGATAACATAACAGGCATAAACAAATCCCAGGAGCTGAAAACAAAAATATAAATCATCATTTTTTTATTTTAATAATGTATGTCTCAACTAATCTTTCCTTCCCACTGAGGAAAACTGATAACTGATGAGCATTTGTAAAATGTCTTTAGATGTATGAAGAACAAGCATAACATAAGTGATGTAAATTACTAGGCCAAATACAAATATTTTTCCACAAGATGAATATAGATTCTCAGGTATTATTGTTTGTATGTTACATGATGGAGATGTACAAATGAGTAGATTATTATTAGAATATTATGACATAATTCAATATAATCAAATATCTGTCTCAAATAATTATCTTGTAAATACTTTGTTTTGTTTTTGTTGGAGCAATAAAAGAGCTGTACACTAGACTATAACCACTTTGTTTCATTGCAGTAATATGAAGAAAAGAATCACCCAGGAATTTGAAATGGTACATTTAAATGAAGATACAATTGTTTTTGAGACCAAAAGCACTGGGTACATTTACATAGCCAGTAAAAATCAGATGACAAAAATAATCAAATAACGCAAAAATTTGATCTGATTTTCGGTGTGTTTAGATGCAAAAAAAAAACTTGATCATTAAAAACACCTGATGAGATTTGCTAGTTAATACATTTTTGAGTAACGGTTGTAAAGTACAACAACATTTTTATCTTAAACATTGTCCCTTTAATTTTTGTCTTATCCAACTTGTCAAAACTTGAACAGGTGTGATCATTCAGGAAAAAATATGATTACTCACAATGCAATGCAATGTAAGTGTTTGTGTGACATTTCAATAATCTAATAACTCCTGAAATCAGACCATGATCAGATTTTGCTGTGCACCTAAACATAACCACTAGTAAAATTGATGGTTATCATATGTTGTGGCAGGGTGAACTTACTGAGATGAGGAGTTGGACAGTGCAGTGTAAGATTTCGATATACTGGTACTCGAACCAACAGCGCAGCACTGTGGTCAGCTCTGGGTTGTGCTGGTTTGTCCATGAGGCAGATGGCAGGGACTCCGAGTCACAGCCGGGACTGTTCTCCTTCCACCACGAGCGATGGGACGAAATGCCCAGTGTCAGAGTATCACTATCCTGTGGTAACACCAGGGTATGGCACTTAATACATTGGCTATATATAAATATTAAACAGCGATGTCTATAACACCATGATCATCTGACCAATACTGTGATCAATATCATACATTCTGTGTAAAAAATTCTGGTCGAGGGTCTGCAATGTACTTGTCTTAACTGATGTGGTGTTTATTTGCCAAGAATACTTCACAGTATGGCATTAACCCTTGTAAGGTCTTCATTTTTTTTGTTACACAGGGAGTCCTGATGGGTCTGATGGACCCATTGCACTTTGGGGCTTTTACATCATCATATTTAAATCTTTTATTGTTAAAATTCTCAGCAGATGCTTAATTCATCTCATTTGGAAGTAGTATTAACAATTTATTGTTAAATTTGCTCCCTTTACCTTTGTTAAAGGTTGTATGGAGGATTTTTTTTGTTTCAATTGTCAATGATAGCATTATAGAGGTGCAGTAGCCTTGTAATTATGATGACCAAAAAAAAGAGAATAAAAATTAATCAACTCTGGACGTGGTAGGGCTAGCTAAACATTTGCCAATAGATAACGACACTGCCTCGTTATCTGTTAGTTGATAGGCTGTCAATCAAACTCCCTACGTTTCTAGTGTAACTGACTTGCCTGCGCGCTGCCGTTACGTGGTTTACGTACGCCTGTCACGCAGTTCACAGACGCAAGACGCACAGACGCTGTTTACTCCACCAACGCAACAGTTCTTAGCGGCTTTTTTTTACCTATATTTTCCTCGCAGTTAGCACAAAGTTTGTTGCAATGGCAAACAAGAATCCAGGAGCAGTTAGCCGCAAAAGAAAGTCCGTTTTTGAGGTCGCTGAAAGAAGAAGACAAGGGGAAAAGCAGCGAAGCCAAACTAAGGTGATTCTTGGAGATTCATTCCAGCGATGGCGCAACTGAAGCAGACGAAGGGTCTAAAGACTGACGCATTGGTCGCCAAATTACTCCTGGACAGGTCACTTTCAGGACACGAAAGCGATATCCTATGTCTGAAAACGTAATTTTCAAGGCAAAGAAAGAGTTTGTTTGCTGCTCATTCGCACGGAATCTCCGCGCACCCTTCTCTGCACCTTTTCCTGCTCCTCTCCCCGCTGCCCGTTCCGCTCTTCCCCCTGCTCCTCACTTCTCCGGGCTCGGAATCTCCGTGCACCGCTCCCCTCTCCTCTCCTCGCTCCCCGCTCCGCTCTTCTCCCTGCTCCTCACTTCTTGTCCGCGCACGAAATGTCCGTGCACCCGCTCCCCCCGCTCCTCACTTCTCCACCTTGCCTAACCAACACTGTAGTTAGTTGTTTACAAGTCGTGCAGCGCACCGGCTGTAAACAAACCTGTTTCTGGCGTACGGAGGAGGCGGGAGGAGGCGTTTCTACGTAGGGAGCTGTAGGGGAGGGGGGGTGGTTTCACGCATGCGCAACATTTGAAAAAGGACAAACAGTCGCTGGATTTCTCGTTCCTTGGAAAATCCTCTATACAACCTTTAAATTACATTTATGAATAAAAAGGCCACTCATATTTGTAGAGGTTAGGGTTATTAAAATAGAATACAATCAAGAAATGCATCATATAACAGTCATGACTGGATAATAATCAAACAATGTACAAATGAAAAAAGTTCTCACAACACTATAGTGAACTATTCATTTGAGTTTCATCAGAAATTTAACTTACAGAGATGAGTTTACACAACATCTCTCTGAACAACACAGTAGTTCCACTGAACACAGACATTTTCATGACAGACTATATCACACGAGGGGCAGAGTTTCACTGTGTCTATTGCAGATGTACTTTTTACACTTGGTGAAACACCAAGTGTAAAAAGTGCACGAAAACACAGAAAAACACAGAAAACACTGGCAAGGATAAAAATCTCAAAGTAGGCATCTAAATTAGTTTCATCAAAAACCTTCCTCCCTTCCTCACTCCTTCCTTTTATATTGGTGCAGTCCACGATCATGTTCTTGATCTGGGGTGGCATGAAAATGTCAAAAGAAGACCTGATGTAATCTACATGTGTGACTGCCGAGCGTGTAGGCCCTGGCGCTTTCAGTATCACGATGGCAGCCACGTGAAGCCAGGTGTCTTGAAGTGGAACACCACTGAATTTTTCCATCTTTCCTCAATCATACATTGTCCCATCCTATGGCTCGCTGCTCACCAGCTCGCCTCTCATAAGTTGGTCCTTGGACCAGCTGCTGGCAGACTGGTCCTATGGCTGAGGTCCGCTTGCGTTTTGCCGGCTGCTCATGGTTGCTCTGGCTCCTGGCTCTGTTGGCTGATCTTCACCCTCCTGTCCCCTTTCTGTTCAAACTCACTCTCTGACCCTGAATTTTCACAAATTTGATCTTCATTCTCAGAGACATCTTCCTTAGCTGCACCATCAAAACCCTCTCCCTCTTCTAGAATCAGTTCCATCGCAGTCCGAACTGAGAAGTTCTTCACCATCATGATCAGTTGTGACTGGGATTCCCACTGACAGAGATGTTTATGGGGACCCCTTGATTCATTCATTTATTCATTCAGACAGAGGGTGAGATGTGGGTGCAGATAGTGTTGGGTGCACACACATCACACATCACACAACACACAACACACACCACATACAAAACACACACAACACACACACACACCACATACAAAACACACACAATACACACCACATAAAAAACACACACAACATACACCACATACAAAACACACACAACACACACCATATACAAAACACACACACACACCACGTACAAAACACACACACCACATACAAAACACACACACACACCACATACAAAACACACACACCACACACATACAAAACACACACACACACACCACATACAAAACACACACAACACACATACACACCACATACAAAACACACACAACACACATACACACCACATACAAAACACACACAACACACACCATATACAAAACACACACACACACAACACACACACACATACAAAACACACACAACACACATACACACCACATACAAAACACACACAACACACACCATATACAAAACACACACACACACCACATACAAAACACACACAACACACATACACACCACATACAAAACACACACAACACACATACACACCACATACAAAACACACACAACACACACCATATACAAAACACACACACACCACATACAAAACACACACACACACACATACAAAACACACACACCACATACAAAACACACACAACACACATACAAACACACACACATACAAAACACACACAACACAACACACAACACATATACAAACACACACACACACACACCAACATACAAAACACACACACACACATACAAAACACACACACCACATACAAAACACACACACACACACACACAAACACACACACACACACACCACATACAAAACACACACAACACACACACACACACACATACACACAAACACACACAACACACACCACATACAAAACACACACAACACACACACACACACCACATACAAAACACACACAATTCACACACCACATACAAAAACACACACAACAACACACACACCACATACAAACACACACACACACACACACACACACAAACACACACACAACACACACATACAAAACACACAACAACACAACCACATACAAAACACACACACACACACCACATACAAAACACACACAACACACACCACATACAAACACACACAACACACACACAACATACAAAACACACACAACACATACAAAACACACACACACAACACATACAAAACACACACAACACACACACACACATACAAAACACACACAAACACATACAAAACAACACAACACACACCAACATACAAACACACACAACACACACCACATACAAACACACACAACACACAACACACACACAAAACATACAACACACACACAAACACACACCACATACAAAACACACACAACACACAACACATACAAAACACACACAACACACAACACACATACAAAACACACACACACACACACACATACAAAACACACACAACACACAACACACACAAACACACACACACAATACAAAACACACACAAACACACCACATACAAACACACACAACACACACACACATACAACACACACAACACACACACAACACATACAAAACACACACAACACACATACAAAACACACACCACATACAAAACACACACAACACACACCACATACAAAACACACACAACACACACCACATACAAAACACACACAACACACAACACATACAAAACACACACACACCACATACAAAACACACACACACCACATACAAAACACACACAACACACAACACATACAAAACACACACCACATACAAAACACACACAACACACACACACACATACAAACACACACAACACACACCACATACAAAACACACACACACACACCACATACAAAACACACACAACACAACACATACAAAACACACACAACACACAACACATACAAAACACACACACACACAACACACACATACAAAACACACACACACCACATACAAAACACACACACACACACATACAAAACACACACACACACATACAAAACACACACAACACACAACACACACACAAACACACATACAAAACACACACACACGCCACATACAAAACACACACAACACATACCACACACAACACACAACACATACAAAACACACACAACACACACCACATATAAAACACACACAACGCATACAAAACACACACATACAAAACACACACAACACACACCACATATAAAATACACACAACACATACACAACACACAAAACAGACAACACACATACGACACACACAACACACACACAACACACACATACAGGCCCAAAGAGGAGAAAGGGGAAATGAGGGGAAATGAGGAACTATGATTTTCATACTTTCAGTAGCTCCGGGTCCAGTGGACCCGAAGACCCTGTATGTAATATAAGTGTGAAGGGGGTGGAATCAAGGGGGGTCAATTAATTTTTTTTCTGATTGATGTTCCTCACTCAAAATGAGCCAAGGCCAAATAATCTCAGGCTGAAAAAATAATTCTTTGTATACTTTTTCTGAAGTTGAAAACTGAAAACAGGTCCCACAGACACGAAGACCTTACAAGGGTTAAATTAATATGTAACTCTATGGAGACAAGCAAGTAACAACACCAGGCCAAGTTACAGGTCAGATATGTAAAGACAAATGGGTAGATAGATTATTATGAAAGTAGGAAAAGCAATAACGTTTCTATGGAGAAGGCGGCAAGTCACACTCCACACTTAATGCACTGTTAATGTTGCGAGAGTTTAATATTCTTGCATTCTTTCCCTTTTGCATATTTATTTATAAACTACCACATCATTAAACAGAAATGATGGCTACTGCCCCATTCAGTAAGTGGGACATCAGTTTGTGCTTCTTCTCGTTTATACAATTTGTTCTATTAATCCAGGTTTAGGTTGTATTGGTTATAAGACTTTTTTCTGTTAATTTAAGGTGGTACTTTGAATTAAATGCCAAATAGTTTTTGGTGGTTTTCAGATTCAAGAATGTGATGATGTCACACTCTCAGATGTGGAGGCAAGAGACAGTTTTTCCTGTTGTACTTTGGCATGAAATATCCAAAAGGTGAATTCACCTGATCACTTCTACTGTTAACTAAACCCTAGAAGTCACTATATATACTACCTAAATCTGCTTTTTAAAAATTATAATAATTATAATAATAATAATTTTTGCTACCCGCATCTGTATTAGGTATTATTGTCCTATAGAAAGTTGTGATGTCTCCTGAAACCCAGCAATAGATAATCAGTCCATAAGTTTTTCTCCATGAAGAAAACCAACTGAGTACTTTTTTTGTTTAAGATCTGAGCCGTATTTTGTCTTTAAATGACCAGTCTCCTTGTGGCATGGACAGCGCAAGCAGTTTAGATGTTGAGATTGTGAGGGTCTCTAATTATGAACGAGTTAACGTGGCTATTAGACTTACCTTTGAAAGCCCTCCCAAATCCAAGTAGAGGCAGCAAACAAAGACATTCCAGCCAACCCACAACAATGTCCACAGCAAATACTGTAGGGAACAAAGAGCACTATCAAGACCTGTCATTTCTCATAGTCAATAAACAGGTAGACAATAGAAACATATAAATAAATAAAAAAGTGTAAATGACAAAAGGTCCATTATTACTTGGTATTTAGTACTTGAATAGTTTGATATTTTAGATTGCATTAATTTAGGTACACATATAAAAGAAAACCTTACTTTAATTTTATTTTTTAAATTTGCATTAACTAGACACAGAGCAAGCAGGGAGCCCCTGAGCAGTGATAATACAATATAATTTAAGTGCAAAACATTGTTGTGTTTAGCCTTGGAATTTGGATTGTGTGTTTTGGCCTGTCAAGAAAAAATGTTTAGACACCTCTGAACCAAACTGTATTAAGTTTAATTGTTCTCTAAAAGCTTTACAACATGCTGTAATAAAGTCTCAAAATAAATAACAAGTAACAAGTAGCAAGCAAAAAACAGTTATATTGTAAACCTATAAAACAATCTGATAGCAGACTACACATGTTAACTTGTGATTTTGTGGTATTTTGCCCAGGCTTGAAACCCCCCTACTTTCCTCTCACCATGACAACGTATCTTGACCTATACTGGATGGCACCAAACAGACCCAAAATCACCATGATGACCTGGAAGAAGTTGACCATGATGGGGACCCACTGGTATCCAAGGAAATCAAACACCTGCCTCTCCACAGCTGTGATCTGCAGTGAAAAAAAACAGTTAGTACAAACACACTTTCTTATTTAAGTAATTTATAAAGCACTAATTTAGAGGTTTGTATATCTCACTAGGATTTACTATTGAATCATTTGATGTGGGGACAAAATATACAGCTTCCCTGTAGTTGTAAGATAAGAATGGGGGATGTTGCTCTCAGTAAGCAGCTCTAATAATAATAGCACAAAAGCTGCAAAATATAGACTTGGAATAAAAACAAAAAATCTATTTTGAATTTACTTTATGGTTAAATAAAATATATCTTGTATATATGTTCACTATGTAACTTTTCTGGTTGAGAGGGTTGATCACCTGCAAAAAGGGAAAAAAATCCAATAATCTGGGTTGAATATATAGATTTAAAACCTCTAACCCTGTAGATTAGACCTGCTTTTGTATTAGTTTAGTACTACTTAAGTGTTTTCACCTGTGAGTATTTCCTTTTTTATTGCAAAAGTAGTCAGAAAAAATGCTAATCATATATTTTCCTGTTCAGCTCATATTACTAAGCTATTTTTCTTACTGGTTGTCCTAGTAACTGAGCTCAGGGGAAGATGCTTGTGGTGTTAGGTCTTCAGAGATTGAAAGGGGGCAGGGTGGGAAACAGAGGCTGGGGGCAAAGTGGGTGCAGCCCTTTATTGTGGTGGTTGTAATGGAGGGCGGTCAACATGCAAGCATCTGTAGCTTAACATTAACTATAAGCTTATAACATTATAGCATTTTCTACAGCTTCAAATGTAGCCTCTGAACACATGAATTAATAATGAGATGTGAGTGGAAGGTCAGTGTGTCTGCATAAGTAATGTGTGACATACATTTAACTATGTGTGTTTTTAAATAATAGTTGCATTAATCGGAGTTTAAATGGATAACAAGCTAAAAAGTTTTGCACAGGGTGATAAGTTCGACAGCTAAGCCTATTTAAACTAGTACAGCATTGTAAATAAAAAAATATAGAAATGCATATACATATAGAAACTATTGATACTAGTATGTTATGAAAAAGGGACTTAATACAGAGAATAGAAAGCATCTTACCAACTGCAGGCAACACAGAATTATAAGCACGCATCGCGCCGAGCAGCAACCCATCTTCAGTCCGCTGTTTCCAGTGCCTGAGATTGAGAAGACTAAATGAAAGGAAACAAAGACTCTAGTGGGTTTTAAAACTCAAATATTAGTTAGTTAGCAGAAATCCAGGAGCCAGCACATCCATGACCGGAGTTGGAGAATACGCGCAGCGCACTCCCACCTCGTGAGGAAAACACGTACGAGTGAGTGATGGGAGCACGGCCAGGGGGAGGGGCGGCCGCATGGAGCAAAAACAATGTCACTGTGCCGAAGTGAGGGTCCTGATGTCGAAGATGCTCTTTATTATAGGCAACGATCCTAAAAGAATCACTGTATCACAATAATACTGATACCTTCTTCATGAGGTGTAGTTACTCAGCAGTTAACCATTCATTGAGTTTTACATTTCTTCCCAAATTACCATAGAAACCATCTACCTATAGCCTGTCGTCTTTTCCTACTACTTACAACTGTGCACTGACACAGTGACTTCCACCACCACCTGCTGTAGGATACTGTAATTTCTCTTAGTTTGCCACGGCATGACCAAACCCTCATACAGCAACAGCACGCCGCGCGCTCTGATTGGTGGATGGTTAAAACGCTCTGGAAACGCCAGTAGGTGGCACCAACGCCACTGAACTTCAAAGGATTAAAGTTACAAGATCAATGGACTTATGATTTTCACTACAATATTGCTATATTCTGAGGTTTTGATAGTCATTAACTTGCTGTCTGCAGTGTAAGCACATTTAAGCCTATTACAATATTTAGTAACTTAGAGGGGAATTAAAACATAGTGGAAAAAGTATTGTATCTAAATCATATTTTTTATTTAATTGTACTGAAATTATATTAATATATAAATAACTAACTGTCTTCATTTTGACAGTAATGTATTGCTTAGGACTGAAGCTAATATTTTTGTGAGGATATAATTATGGTTCAATCATTTTAGATTTTTAAAAATTGTTTTGATAATGCTGGTCTATGTTTGCTTTTAGTTCAGTGGGTCATAATCAGGCTGTGAACTTAGCTTCACCTGTGTTTTTTAATGTAAACCCAACCTGTCCTTAGGCATCTAATGCTTATGTGAAACTTGCCTGGAGCTGGATGCATTTGGCGGCACAGGCGCGCACTTCTCCGCGCTTCCGAGGGATGACGCTAGAACCCAAAGACAAATTCATAATAATTGGGGGGTCTCCAGCTCTGCCAGTGTCACATGGAAGCGCGGCAGCGGAGCCGAGGGGATGCATGAGAGCGCAGTGATGGAGGGGGCTTAAGGGGAGGACAACCTGGACCGGACCGGACTGGAGCAGACGCACGGTACAGAAACGCACGGGCAACTTTGACAGCCTATTGGCCAGGGTGCCTCGCGTGGCTGGGGGCGAAAGGGCAACGCACGAGGAACCTCAGAAGATAGAATGATGCCGCCTTCCCGCGTGTGCTATTGATTATGGTCGCAAGGAGCACCTGGTCTGCGTGGAAACCGAAGCGAGAGACCGGGCTCGATGCTGCTGCCGCTGCTACGCCTCGTAAAACCCCAGAGCTGAGTGAGTAGTGCCGGGGATGCTATAGCGCAATGCCCGTAGCTATGTGACAGTCTGGAGGGAGGGGGGCTCATTCATATGTACCTACATACATCCAGCTCCATCTCCGCAATACATGCAATTCTTCACATTCTGTCTCACACTGACCACAACCAGACACGTGCGCACTGGGCTCTCCATTTACCCCCTGCAATGCCTTTTTTGTTTGTTATTTTCCATCGCATTCATTAGAGAACTTCATTGTGATTTGATGAGAGGTATAGGCAGAAAGCCCTCCAATCAGTTTCTCCTGCTTCCTGCGTAACAACCCCGCCGACTGCGAACCATAAAAATAATTAACGCAAGACCTTCCCTTAACATTTGCACCCCACACCCCTCCTGCCTCATATCTATCCCTCCCTGTCATAAATACAGGGGGAGAATGGGGGATGTGGGGAAGGGGCTTTGTCGTGTAAGTTGCCTGCTGACCTTAGGGACACAACATAATTTTTGTTGCCTCTTTGATCTGGAACGCTTTGATGAGACAAAAGGCAGGCCACATCTTCCCCTGTGCGCAATAGACATTTAAATATATAAGAATACTAATTTTCTCTTGCCTATCCTGCACCTGCATGGGCATCTCCCCTGTTCACACCCAACGCAGCCATCCCCTCTCCGCGCATTAGCCTATGAGCGTGCTGTCGTGGCGTGTGTAACCTGTTGTCACCGCCACTGCTGCAGTTTGTGTGAGGTGTCAGAGCCCAAAGGCGAGGCTGGAGAGAGAGGAGAGCAGGCCAACCTATTTTCCATACATTCAAATACAAACGAATGTCTGGTTACATGGGAGAGATTGGCACTGTAAAAACCCTATCCACCCTTTGTGTTTTTCTACTGAAATCCATACGTTAAATAATAGTTGTTGTTTTTTTTTTTTTTTTTTTTTTTTTTTTTTTTTTAGCTTGTTATATGCAGTTGTACGTTGTGACACAGAGGCAGCGGCGCACGTAGACAGACAAACAAGCTTGAGCCTTCTTCCTCACAGGGGCATGGTTAATCGTTGTTGCAAGCAAACATTTGACCTAATTCACATTCTCACACAATAGCAGACTCCCTCTCTCCCCCCATCCTGGCTCCACACACACATGGCTGCTATTTGTGTCCACACCAACTCCCAGGTGCTTTATCAGAACCTGGGCAGATTGGCAGAGAGGATAGACACGTCAAAACAGTCAGATTCTGTGTCCTGTTAAAGGGGGTGTAGATATAAAAGTCATATGTATGTGCGTTCTGTGGAAATATAACCTTATAGCTATTGATTGTGGGGGCTAAATGTGCTCCAACTCCATTTGATAAGAGATTAGACCATAATTCCTTGTTGACTCCATGGTCTGGTCAGGTGGCAGGGGCAGAAAACATGTAATTTTTTTATTGTGGCGAGGCATTCTATTCAATATTTGCTGTCAGACGAGAAAGTCACTTTAAAAATTAAAGGGGGAATCAGAATAGAGGCTTCACAAACTAGTAATGTAGTCTGGTAGTTCTTTTAGTTGGGTTAAGTATTTGTTGATCACATGTGAGCAAGAATTAAACTGATCTCAATAATAAGCAAACATAAGATAAGAAGACCTGTACTGGTTCCACAAAAGGGATGCACAATGCAACAGCCAAGTACAATAACAGCAACAGCAACCATAGAAGTATGCAAAATATTTTATATATGTATATATCTATCTATCTATCTATCTATCTATATCTATATCTATCTATATATATCTATATATATATATATATATATATATATATATATATATATATATATATATATATATATATAAATAATACCAGTAACACTTTGTGGCAATACTAACTTTTGGTACTATTTCGTAATTGTTATGCTTCAAAAACACCGCATTGACCCATAAGGCTATTGAGATACACACAAAGTCAAATGAACAATATTAACCAAAATAGTAGTAGTTTTAATGTTTGTCCGTATGTAAATTAAACAGACTCTACCAAAATAATCAGTGAAATGCTGCAGAAAATAGGCTCTGAATCATATTTAAATCATATGAATAAAATATAACAAACTGAGTCAATTAGGTACTGGTAAAAAAGATTTGTACATAAGTAAGATGGAAGTAAATGAATAAGCACTATATACTTGTCCATTGCAAATCTGCCTTGTGGTGCATGTCCACACATCTCCTCCTGCAAACGAATGCATGTGCACGCCCAGAGTCTGAGGCAGGGGCAGTGAACAGGACCAGGCTTAAAACTGAGAACAAGCTTCACATAGGGACATCTCTGCTCCGACTCTGTGTCCGACGGGCTGCCTGCGAGATTACACTGCAGTGCTGAGGCGTCACTCTGCCTGAGAACCGCAGGAACACGCACACACATTTAAAAAAAAGGGAGGGAGAGAGGAGGAGGGGGTGCCTGGACAGGACAAGAGCAGCTATAAGGAAAGGGGGGGCAGTAAGGAAACCACTCTGGGAAATCTCTGCTTATCATGTGACTCTAAAGACACCTGCCTGACAAGTCCTACACACTCCACACCTACTGTTATTCGCATACCTGCTCTCATTAGTCTTATAGTCTACCTTCCTCCCTGTTACCAAATCGAACTTACATTACATGTATTATGAGGTTTAGCTGCAAATTAATATTATGGTCAAGTTCTGGGTTAGGGTTAAGGCTTTACTTAGAAGAAAATGTTTGACATGTTGAATTTTGATGTTGATATTCAGACTCACATTCTGTCATATTAAAAATATACTATATTTAGGGGTGGTTAAGGTGAAGTTTGGGTTCAAGCCAGAAGTTGGAAGTACTGTACATCTTAGATAAGTGTAACGTTGACTTTTTTTTTGTCTTGTGAGAACATATATTTTCACTCCCTATGGAAAATGAGGCAGAAATCACATTGTAATGATGTGACAGTATCAAACAAAGGGTGTGGTAAGATGAACACCACCTTAGAAATGTGGAGCGACTATCAAAAAATTGACAAAAACACATATGACCCCCCTGGTTTGAAACTGGTCTCATATCATTCAACTGTTATATTTAGTCCATGCAGCAACTGGTTTGATTGATTTAGGACATAATCATATTGAGTATATGGGCCGCAGCCAACTTTATTTGCTTTTATACAAATGTGATTGGGCATCTTTTTAGGTGTCTTAGACAATTAGTCTGTGTTGGAATACACAACGATAACATGTAGTTCAACTGGATGAGGGTCAAGTGGATGTCCTTTTGGTCAGACACAAAAATGGACTGCGACTGACCCTAGCAGTGGTACTGCTCAGAGAAAGCATCTTTCATACATCATCACATACACTCAACACAGCTAATGTTATGACTTGCATTATAAAAATAAGATGACATTATTTTTGCAGCCAAGTAGACTAGTGCGTGTTACACTTCAGCATACTAAGATTTGTTTGACTTTCAAATCTTGTTTCTTCCATAAACTTGTCACAGCTTTGGTTATGAATCCCTGTGTTCTATTTAAAACTCTGTCTCACCTGCAGTAGATGTTCAGATCTTTAAAAAGCTATTTTTAATTATCTGTTGTTAGGACAAAAGGGCAGTATTTTGAGTATTGTTTGTATATTGTTTGAGTAATGAAGAAAATGAATTAGAATGATAAGATCTGATTTAACATATCATGGAAATAAAGTGGATGATTACAGTCCAGAAACCTCACACAGGCCACAAGATCGTGTTTGTGTGAAGAAAACTGGTAAATACTGGGCAGACATTTGGTGAATGTGTGAACATAAGGACTAATATAAAGGCGAGATCTTTGCTAAACTTCCAAACAGATTCTGAACAAACCGGGCACCATGTTTGGTGTTGTTTTGATGATGGGCAGTGGCAGACCTGAGCAGACTCTCAGCAGACAGATGGCAGCAGTTGACAGAGATTACACTTGGTTTGTTTGGACTGTTCTGTTACAGCCATGTCCTTATTGTGTGTTTGGAGCATGTTACACTGCCAAATGCAATACTTCTGTTTGCACTTACCAGCAGAGGGAAATCGCACTTTTCTGTTTTCATCTTAACAACAACAGGTTTTGTCATATTTACCACTGACTTATATATGTCTTAGGTCCAGATCCATTCTTAAAATCAGTCTTTTTAAGGATTTATTTTGGAAGTCTTTCAGGTTTTGCACTGAACTGCCAAGAGGGCTGGTGTATAGAGCTGATCACTTCAGACTTTAACGTTGTACTATTATTTGAATGTATAATGCCTAATAGTTTGTTGTGTGTGTTGTTTCTAGACCCCAGAGTGACGTGCACGCCTGTGTGCGCGTGCATGTGAGAGAGGGTGACACAGACTGAGAGCACCGAGCGTCCGCGCTCACACATGGCCTCCATGCAGGACGGGCTGCACATCACGGCTCCTCCCTACGGCAAGGTCCTGCTGCTGGGCGCCATCGCTGCTGCCTCCGCCTTCGTGGTCACTATCCTCATCGTGGTCCTGTGCGTGGGCTGCCAGAGGTCAGTCTCATTTGAATGATGCAAACACTGCTCCTGTGGTAAACACACAGTCACACATGACTCCAAAACCATGACTCAGCAAATATGAGAGTCAACCTATGACAGCTGTTGTTTTCACCACAGGAAGGGAAAGACACAGAATGTCCCCGGGGAGAGTGGGAAACACCGCCTCATGGACATGGTAGGTGTCGGCCATGTTGCTGTGGTTTGTGTATCAGCCCCGGTAAGAGAAACTCCTCCTCATCAGGGGGTGACAGAAACATTATTTCAGGTGCAATTAGCTTTAATAGTCACTCTGTAAACATGTCTTTTTAGGGAATTCTCAAGCAGTCCAAGCTGCGCTCCATCAGTAAATCTGACGCCTCAGAGATGAACAAAGTGAACTGCAATGGCAAAAGTGAGTGCATCCTTCACAAACCTGTCCACCAATGCTTATATTCTATAGGAGTCTCTCCTATATTTCCAGTTTATGGGAAGCATCTCATTTAAGGAGACTTGTGCATCATCAGCTGCAATGAAACATTTCTTTGTACACCACATGAGGAGCGTGGATAATCATTGTGCTATTTTTAAAAGCAGCAAACTGCCAAACCAAAAAACAGTGATGTGGCCTATTAAAGCAAAGAGGAATAAGACACATGACAGTAAAAATTGGAACACCAATCTGGCGAAGGCAAATCTATCAAAACCATATCTCAAATACATTTGACATGCAGTTTAGCCTGAAACAGAATTCACATTTACAGCCTAGAGTCTTCTTAAGTCCTCAGTCTTGATTTATGAACACGCATCTCTCTCAGAGGCAGGAGCAGAGAGCCAAGACAAATCCTGGAGCTCCATCAGTGACAACCAGCAGAAACCTCAGCATATGTCCTGGTGCCACTGCAGAGCCTAGTCTGCTGCTCCTCCTGAGAGAGGCGTTCAGTTCATAAACACATATTAGACTTGTACAGGAGGGGTGTATGTGGATTCTGTTCAATGCTGGGCACTAGCATCAATACAGTCGGCGCTTGTAGACTGTATGGTTCTCAAACATGTCTAAACCAGCAGGGACCTAAAGCCTTGTTTCCACCAAATGGTACAGTATTTTTCAGTGTGGTGACTTTGCAAGTACTTCTACTGTATAGACCTGGGGAAGTGAGACAGTTTTTATTTGTAGGACAAAAAGTAAACCATAGATAGATGTACTCTATGTCTGTGAGCCATTAATCAGACCAGATGGAATTATTATTCTCATAATTCTCATATGGTCTTATTTGTTGCTTAGTGTATCCATTGTTTCTGGAACATGCCATGTACTCAGAGAGCCCTTTTGGGCCAGATGTTCAGGAGAAGAGGTGATAATATATTTGTTTTTGAGGACCCACTTGATGATACATCCCAAGTGGTTAATCCACTTAATAAACAATGTGAAACATTAATCTTCAATGTAACTCTTATGGTGATGTAGACTTTGAAGTTAATATTTTAATAAAAGTATCACAATACAAACACTACAGTTTAGTTTACTCCAGTGCATCTGTGCTGGAAACATCTCACTTTGTGAGCTATTAGTACTAAGAGAGGACACACAGATTGAGGGGTTCATACTGTACCGTGTGGTGGACTGTGGTGGCCCTATGCTACTGCCCAGCTGCGGTCTAACTCTGACCTTCGTTCTCAAGGCAGGCAGCTCCCCCAGATCCCCTCTGGGGCTGGAGAGGACGGAGAGCACACTTATTCTGAAGTGGGCCGGGGAGCCTCCACTACACGTACTGATGATGCCCTGTACGCCATGGTAGGCAGAGCCGGGCAGACGGACACACCTGCTCCTCCCGCCGTGCCCGCCAACACCCCGGCACCTCCGGACCCGGACGGGGATGTGGAGGGAGGCCTTGCTGAGTCCGAGTCGCAGGTTGTGTCTCCTCCAGAGACTGCAGAGTACGCCGTGGTGCGGAAGCTGAGGAAAGCTGAGAAGGCGCCTCAGAAGAGGGACAGTGGCACAGACATGGCAGAGCCTCCTGCCCCTCCTCCAAGGCACGGCCCTCCATCTCACCCTGCCCCCCCACCACCTCACACCCAGCACCCCCACAGCACCAAGCTGCCCCGCAGAAATATAGGCCTCGAGACCTTTAATGTGCCCTCCTTCCCAAAGGTGAGTCTTCTGTTCAACGTTCTTCCATAGATAATATAATTTTTTTTTTTTTTTACAATTTCATTCAAGCTGATATGATGGTATTGTCCCTCTATCAAAGTCAAGTACTGGCCTCCAACATGAACACTTGTAGGTGATTTCTCCACCGAGTGCAGTGTTTATAGAGAGTTGTTGGTGACAGTGGGGCACTTCTGCTCTCAGCAGTGTCACCTCCTCCATATGTCTGCAGCAGCAGGAGCAGACATCGTGCTGCTTTTACAGTGAATACAGTGTGTGCTCTGCCTTCAGGTGACGGCAGGAGGCCATTTGCTGCCCTGTGTGAGGTCAGCGAGGGTGCGCCCTCTGCTGTGACCTGTGTTAGCTACAGGCCAAGTTCAGAGACTTACATGTGTACAGTCTGCTCACACACTGGCGATGATGCAACAGGCTAAAAGTGCAGCAGGATAAAAGAACATACTAAATATTGGTATCTCACAGAGAATATTCCTATGACTTTATAAATGCCAGTGTATTAATCCATCTGAATGAAACATGAATTTGAGCAGATTTACTCCAAATGTAATTTGTTTTGTGTTGACAGGAAGTAATGTTTATGGGGAACGGGGAGCAGTACATCTGGAAGCCTCCAGAGGATGATGACCTCTTGATGCTGCAAAACAAAGCCTTGGGCCCTTTGGCCCACACTGTGGAGCACATACCACCGTCTGCTGCCGCGGTGAGTCCCAAAGCTCTCCAATAGACCTTAAATCAGTCTTTATTTGACAGTGACATGCTTTGTGTAAGGCTGTGCTTTGGGCAGACTTGTTGCAATGGCATAGTATTAGTATTTATGCTGCAGCAAATACATTGGTTGATAAGAGCTGTTTCTGATATGTACATTGACAGTATTTGTTTTGTTGGTTTACAGGTGGCAGAAATGTACTCTAAAGTTTGCAAACCTGGAAAAAAGAAGAGATCTATATCTCCTCCAGGCAATCCTGGCTTCCGGACCTTGGGGCGTGGGGACCGGGACAGGGACGGGGGCTTTAGTGTTGTGGTGAAGCCTCAGACATGGGCCCCACTGGAGGGCAAAGCCATGGCAGGGCCCTTAGACGAGCACTGTTACGAGTCCATTGGCACAGAGGAGTATGACCCTGCATATGAAAACCTGGAGGGGGCAGGCTGGAGGCGAGAGAGACCCCCAAATACATGTGCCACTCTGAGGCCCAGGAGAAAAAGGGCCCAGCAGCCTCTGCAGCAGCAGCAGCCCCCTCCACCTCCACCCACACAGCAGACGCCCAAGCTGCAGCACCTGCCTGCCCAGGCCTTGGTGCTGCCAGGGGACAGTCTGTATGAAAGCATTGGGGACCTCAAGGCGGGCTCAACCACCTCCAGCACGACCACCATCTTCACCTTCAATGACGGCATGGAGATGTACGTGACAGGGCTCTGAGTGACCGCGCTTCATCACATACTGTTTACATTCAGTCATAATACATGCCTTTTACTGGCCCAGAGCCGAGGGTCCATCTGCTGACCTCCAATGACCCGGGCTGAATTCTAGAGTCCTATCTGTAGACCTTAGATGAATCCAAAGGTAATGAATAATAAATGAGCACAAGACCATTGCAGAGTACTCTGTAGGTAACAGTAGCACTTGAGTTTCGCTGGGAAATGTGTGCAAAGCACAACCAATTCAAAGGCCTAAATTCTTCCTCAATTTTAGCGGGTAATTGTTGTGTTCTTGAAGGTCCTCTTTTGGGGAAGCTGCACATCTTTGTGTGAATCTTTTGGTAGCACTTAGTCCTTATGCGCAGGCCTTCCCTATAGTTGGTCAAGATGTGATTCAGGACATAATATAAATATATTAATTATTAATCAAATACTTGAAAGCTCAGGGACCAAGAGAAACAATTATGAATATTCTATTAAATGAAAAACTGCACACATTTTGCATTCCTCTTAAAACAAATTTTTGACCATTTCCATATTTAAAAAGCCAATCAAAGATATACAAGCGTCTGTCATATTTTGTTTCATCTTACATGGACTGAACACTGTCTCCACTGCCGTCTGTAAATGAGTGTTTTGATTTGTTTCTGCACTTTGCCTGCTGCCAATTGCATGCTAAAAAATCTAAAATCTAACAAAAAAAATCACTGTCACGTGGTACCTATATGAATGTTATTTATTTTCAGTAGTTGTTGGGTGTTTTTTTTGTTCCACTTTTGGTTGTTTTTCAAGTGTGTTGCTTTATTTTTTCGTAGAGCACAGTATCAGTTTATTTCAGGATGTTTGTAGCACAGAAGGACTGCGTGAAGGCTGTTCACCGTTCTCCTCCTGTGATACCAACTCACTTAATCAAATCTAAAGTTGAATTTAAAGGAGATCAATGTGAGATTCCTGGAGATGGAGACAGTCCGCCTAAACGCGGTCCTATACCTCATTGACGTATGTGGAGCATTCATTGCATAGTCCTGACGTGCCCTGCCCATTTGAATCAGAAAACTACAGCTAAACCAATGTGTTTTAGCACGTTTCATCATGTCTCATAACCATTCATCGACGAACACTCCTCTCTTTGTTATCAGTGTTAAAATATAGCAGCATTGCAGAAAAACTACAAAAAATGTGAAGTTTTGCAAAGCAGCAGACCCCGAGGAGAAGACAATATAACTCCCAAACCTGGATGGACAATGACAATGAAATCATTTGACCAAATACAACCAATGTGATTACTCTGTATGTTGATGCAATGTGTATGTACATTACAAAAGAGAAAGAAATAATAAATATATCATCAGTGTTGAGGAATCTATCTTTTTTCTATCACAGTTAATTGTGGTTTGGAATGACTTGTGACAAACTGCAAAACAGCTGCAATGTAAACTTCAGTGTATTCTGTTTGTTGTTTTTGAAGCCATGAAGCTACAGTGTATTCTTGGAAAGCCCAGCTAAGCTAAATGTGGCAGCTAATGTTGTGTGTTTGCTATTCAGATTACAGGGTCTTGTACTCGAAGCGTGTAATAATAAGTGCTAAGTGCAAAAGATTGTAATGTTTTATATCAAGATTACTATTCATGAAATGTCAGTCAAGTTTATACTTTTGTAATAAAGTGGCACTTTAAAAATGGTTAATCTCATAGTCTCAGTCATTAAGATGAAAGGAGACCAGGAATTTTATTATTAGTATTATTATATTGTAAAAGCTCAATGTAAAGGCTTGGTATTATTGTCTGATCAAAAGCAATAGAATTTCTCAGTATAAATATTTTAGGTTTTCAATATCTGCCAGTAGACTTGTTTTTACTCATTTATAGGAATGAAAATGTGTGTAAAATTGTTGAAATTATCTTCATAGCATCCTCTGTTGTTTCTTGTTTCTTTTGTGTACCTCCTCATGGCACATGGCGCATCCTGCGTGCGTATTGCGCTCCGCACGTGCTCGTTTGCCACAGTAGTAAAAGGGGTTCGTAGCTGTGGCGGTGGGGAGGGAAAAATAGGTCACCCCTTAAAACAAAAACCTTGCAGTCAACATCGCAAGCGTCTGCTGAATTTTCATTGGTCAGCCTGTCTCCATGGTAACAGGTTAACCTTGAGGCAGTCTTGGAGAATACGGCGCGTGTGCATCGTACGACATCCGCGATCACGGTGTCATGAGCGAGCATCGCACTATAGAGCTGCTCTTCTCCGTCTGAAAAAGGAGAGCAGGGAAGGTGCAAACTGGAGCCAATATACAGTCTGCGGTGGTGGACGTGTTAACCAAACTTATGAGCCGTGAATAATGAATGGGCGAGAACATGTTGGATCAATGGACGCAGGCTATATTAAACAAGAAAAAAAAAAAAAAAAAAAAAAAAAAAACGCACGCAAGCTTTAGAGATGAAATACCTTAACAGTGATTTTAACGTTACAATCTAGCTTCACAGTCCCTATCCTCCAAATCAAGTGATTATACGAACACTAGTAATAAGTAAGCACGTTTTTACTTAACATAAGCAAATCCATGACTGAACCATGATGAATCCAACATTATACTATAGTTACATACAGTATAAATTCATGTTTGTGTCTTTGTTATCCATCACATGTGAAATTCACTTGTTAGTCTTAAAACCCATTATTTTCCATCTGTAGTAGCTGAGAATGCGAGACCAGCTTGTGTAGTTTTCTTCCGGACTATAACAATGAATGATATCTTAAAAGGAACATGCCATAAATCAAACGGAGAAGCTTAAAATGAGCAATACTGACACCTTCTGGCTTGAAAGTGTATCACAAGAAGAGCAGAGAGACCAGTGTGTGAACCCTGAGAGAAACTGGAAAAACTGTTCATAATGTAACATGTAACTATGAATGAAAATTCCATACCATCCAGGATCCTAAGAATTTACCTGTTTAGAAAACTATTATTGCACCCATAACTTAAAAATACACAACTGCTTTCTTGCCATTGTGTTAAAAATAAATTGAATATTTTAGCAGCATTGGTTTGTGTTGTGCCCATTTCTGCTTATTGTTATGCAAAGTATCAAAATAAATAGTAAATGAATTTGTTTGTGAAATGTCCCATCTCTTACAGGAAAATATATATTATTTGGCCTGATAGTGTGAAATATAACGTTATTGATCACAGTTGTTTGTGTTAACAGCTCGGCTCCTGGTCTTCCTCTTCACTCCAGTCATCCAATCCGTCTGTTCCAAAGTAACGGTCTCCAAAATCCCCTGAAATTTTTATATTGTTGTTCATTAAGTGAGGATATGAGCTATGACAAATCTGCGGCTAAATGTTCATAGAATCAGAGTGTAATAATAACATACCTATACCAGGAATCACGTGTAAGGAGTCGTCCAGGCTCTTGTCCACTGCAGATGTGATGATTTTAACTTTTGGGAAAGCATAGGCCACAGAATGGACCCCAAGCTCTGCCATCAGGAGAGAGACCAAGACAATCCGGTCCTCCTGCACCTCGTGGTCCTGGGCAAGAAGTCATGTGTAACAATATTAAGACAATGCTGTTGAGGCCTATATAACTCTATGAGAGATTAGATATTTACAAATTCAACCATACATTTTTTCTTTGAGACTGACTCAACAAACTTGATATTTTTATTATATACTCTAAATCTAACCAAGAATTTTTAATCTTAAATGCAGATTTGAGTTTTGGCTTGCAGTCTCTTGTTACAGCTGCCATTTTGAGAATGTTTGACTACTGAAAAAAGTAATATTCTGTTATTCATCACTTTGAAACACTGAAGATGTTTTCAGGTGTTACATCCAAACACTTAACAAATTTTAAAGTTGTTTTGTTACATGTGTTTAATATATTCTTTAATTTAAGGTTGAATGACAACAACACTTTTTATGCTATTGTAAAGAAAATAATAGCACTTTTTGATTTATGTTGACAGAAATGGCACTGAATCTTTTGCCAAATTTTGTTTCATGCGTATATTTTGTTTTTCCAGTAATTACAGAGATATGAAACCAGGTAAACAAAGCTGCAGTCTGAGAGTTAAACACCAGATTCTACCATACAATCCTGACCTATCCACCAGCTCTATGTCAAACTATGGTCTTTCTATAATATCGCATGTCATGTGAACCCAGCCCATAAAGCCTTATTAAAAAAAAAACTACTCACCAGTAGGACCCTCACTGCCATCATGGCTGCTGCTCCTGTGGAAACGGTGCTGTCCATGAGGATGACATGATCTTCACTGATGTCTTTGGGCAGACGCAGGTAATGCAGCTGCAGAGGCCAGAGAGGAAGAGAAGACAGGTTACCATGGCTACCAAAGCAGGAAGGGTAGTTACCACGGTGACACACATCATATGGAAGAATGAAAATAAATGTGTAGGAACACAGGAAAAGACATCACAACAGTTTGAGTGAATGTTTGAAGTGTGTTTGTAGACATCTGAGTTACAGCAGACCTACTACGACTCATTGTGAACACTTTTGCTGTAAACTCTGTACGTCTTTTTTGATTGTATTTTCGGGTATATAATATTTAATCAAAATATATTACAAATGCTACAAAAAGATCTGATTAAAAGTAATAATGCAACTGCACCTTTGTAGATGGCCAAAATATTCAGGATCAGAGTCTCAAAATATATTAATTGTTGTCAATATCTGCCATCCCGAGGGTTTAGGGGAGGATAGTTGCCATGTCTCCTTCTCTATAAAAGACTTTGGATTATTTTTTTGAAAACAGACATAGCAAGTCTAAAAACTGTTTTAAATTGACAAAGTTTTGATGCTATTAATGATGTTCAATATGTGATAAAAATGTACAAATTTAAAAAGCTTGTTTACGTCAACGCTAATAGAGAAGGCTCAGTCTCCCAAGGTGACAGGATGCTTTGATTTTAATTCTTGCACCTTTGCCCAAATGTGGTTTCACACTGATAATGGCAAATCAGTTCACCTCTGGTTCTCCTGAGTCCATGTTGGTTTGGATGAGGATTTTTCCGATGCGGACGTCTTTGCACACAGCCCTGAGAGCCGGCTCCATGGTCTCTCCTGCTCGAAGAATGGACACTCCAGTGATCTGTAGAGTTGTTATATAATTTTTAATCAAGAGTTATTGGAAGAAGTTGCTATTAGATTAGATTCTTTCTACAATATTATTGAGTCAACAGGGTTTTTTATTGGCAAAAGGATGAAAAAGGTCTGAGGCACTATGTCTTTCAATTTTGCATTATTTATGCCAACACATTTCAACTAATTCCGCTCTTCATCAGGGCAAAGGATTTTTGTTGTTACATTCTCACCTCCATTTTGATGGGCAAAACTAACAGGTCTACTTGCACAGTTAATTTAAAACAAAAAGCATTAGTTATTCACTGTACTGAAGAAGAGCGCATCACTCACCCCCTTCCCGTTAAAATGCCGCCCTTCATACTGCTGTCCCTGTGGAGTCTGGACCACACACGTCTGGGAAATAATAAAAAAAATATATTGCTTACTTTTCTACATGCAAGTCTGTCATGTCAGATAATTACTTAAAACTTTAAATTAGGATAATGAATTGATACAAACTGTCCAATGTTATATAATTGTTAATTAATTTGAATCAACACTTGCTGGTGTTAACTTGTTGGTAACAATGTAAACACTAATTTCTTGGTTTTACTGTCCCACAAGTCATTACCAACAGGGTTTTTCATTTATATTATTCAATTCCAACAATTTCTAGATGATTGGGAGACAAATCCAGTTTGCTCAAATAAAATCTTCCCACTTTGAATGTTTTTTCCTGTTTATTCTGTCCCATCAATAAAACTTAGAAACCAAAAAGATCTTAAAAATATTCACCCACCTGAGAGGGAAGAAATGTTAAAGCACGTTCGATGAGCAGCCTCATGAGCCTCTTTGAGTAGAAAATGAACTCATCTCGACTTGTTTCCTTGTTTCTATGACACAATAACAGAAACAGTGTTTAAGATATATGATTGCTTTTTGCTTGTTTTTTGTTTAATAAAACTTGAGAAAATTGTTTTTTTTAGCAGAGATTTAAATTGCTCAAGTGACAATGCTGCTAACATGCAAAGGTGAAGTAATAAAGAGTTCTGTGGTCCTACAACAGAAAAGGACATACTTCTCCTGGTTTGCTAAACTAAACTAAACAAGGTTTTAAGATGCAAAAAAAGAACAAAAATTGATTCTAAAATGTACAGGGAGCCAATGCAGGAATTAAAGAACAGGAGTGACATGGTTCTCTTTTGGTGTTTAGATAACATTAATGTAAAATAACTCAATGTAAAATAATAATAATATGCAATACCTGATAATGGTGTGTAAGCCTTTAACCTGCGGGGTACTCTCCAGAACACAGAGCGTCTGAGGTAGAGGATGTGTCTGCTGCACTGAGGCCAGGAGCGCCCTTAGAAATAGAAATAGGATTTTAAACAGAGGAAGAAAAAAATACAACCATTATTTAACACTTTAATTTTAAATAAGGCATATTATCAGATGATTAAAATGGAGAGATAAATATGATAATATCACAAACAGCATACCTGACGTTGAGCTCACGCTGCATTAAGAGGGGTTTAAAAATATAAATTCAGAGTTTTGATTTAGCTTTGTTTATAAAATACAAATCTTAAGAATAGTAACTGTTCTACGTTGCAACCCCGTGACACAAGGTGGCACCACTGTACACTCACCTTCTCCAGTTGGCTGTATACATGCTGCACTATCAGATCTATGGCCACCATGTTACAACCACCTGAGGGAAGATACTGTTATTGGTAAAGTTTGACAAAAACAATGCCAAAAATTAATACCTCAATATTTTTTGGAGTCTCCCAATAACATTTATCAGATTTTGCAATTCATAAAAAAATGTGCTGAAATCTGTCAGCAAAAAAGTGAACGAATTTCAAAAGTAAGCATAAAAGTGCTGCAATATCATCATATACTTTTTGTAGAAAATCACTTTTTATCAACTCTGTGACGGTATTTTTTTTTTCCTGTGATTTTCAAACTTTCCACCAAATGTATCATCAAAGAATATATCTGGCTTTCCTTGCACCACCACCAGACCAAATTTGGTAACAAAAGGGCTACATGAGGTCCAGTATCTAAACTCTAGAGCTAAAACAGGTGTTGATACAACTGAATGTAATACAATTGAGAAGAACAACAAATGCCACCAGTTCAAGAACCACTGGTTGACAATGTACTTGCATATTTTTTAAACAATAATTTCAATAATATCTTGTATGTAGATTCATAAAAGTAATTGTTCACCTTAGCTAACTCACCTCTTGGCACTACTATATCAGCCAGCCTCATAGCCGGTTCAATGTACTGGTCAAACGCAGGCTTCACAAACTTGTTGTATTGCTTAATCACGCCTTCAATGTCCCGCCCCCTCTCTGTGATGTCCCTCCGTAACCTGCGGACCAATCGGATATCCGAGTCTGTGTCCACAAAGATTTTCATATCCAAGAGCTGCAGACAGGAAGAGAAAGCAAGTCTTTGGTTTGGGGATGTTCAGTTAAGCAAAGCAGTGAAAAAACTTAGAATATTTACCTGAAGGAGCTGTTTGTCTGCAAAGGACATAATTCCCTCAAATATGATTACGCTAGCACCATAGACATTTTTCTAAAAGGAGAAAACATTAAAGAGGATCTTAAAATAAGTTATAAAAATATGCTCCCTCATCACCAGCTTACACAAAGTTGTATTTTGATTTATGAATGTTTCACATTGTCCTGCATTGGAGGTCTAAGTGTCCACAAACTTGATATTTCACTTACCCCTTCTCTCCACAAAAACCCTGTACTTAATTGCTATTATTCAAATCATTCTGACTCCAGGCCATACACGTATTACATAGGCATTTTGAACAGTAAAAACAAGTAAATGAAAACCTGCTTTCTAAAGTAAAATGCCACTATACTAGTACAGGGGCAGTGCTTCTTAATTCTGCAGTTTTGTAACTTATCTTGCCTTGAATAGGAAATCAAGGGGCCTTTCAACAATTTCTGTAAGGAAGCTTTCTTAAATCAATATTGTGGTTTATAATGAAAAAAATGTAAACTAATGATCTATGTATGTTATAGTTTAATACTAAATACCTGAAAAAGCATAATATATTTTCAGCAACTTTGTTAAATAATTTTTAAGGTTAGATATTTCTGCTTTTCAACACTTACCCAGTCTTTGTGCCTACTGTGAGTTGTGAAGTCATACACAGGAATCTTCACGCTTTTACCCTGTTTTAGTTTTCGCAGCGTAGCCACCAGCAGCTCGAAATCAAAGGCCGCTGGATGGTCAAAATTGTAGTCGTTGCTTGCTGCCAGGACCTGCTCCTCTGGTGATAAAACCTGTAATATAAAACTAATACTGATGAATGGTTTTATCATTGTAGTTAAAGCTGAGAAACTACAGGCCAAACAAATTCTAAGACTAATTTTTAAAGAAAGTCAAAATTTGAATTTTAAACTAAGAGTCAATAAGCTCTAGTTCACTCAAATACTAAATATTAAATAAGATTCCACCTGTACATTGTTTTGATCTAATCCAAGTCAACAAAATTAAACATGGCTTCTTTCTGATTTATATGTTCAACTCCCAGATATGAGTATTTTAAAATTCCTTATTTATATATGACAATATAAGATTATGAAAAAAAGAAATATATTTTCTTTTATATAAACTACAGAAGAAATTGACATTGCTATTTTGTGTTCTTTTTTTCTATCCACCTGCAGTTTCTTACTTGTCATAGTCACCAGACCTGTGTAATATGAGAATTGTATATGGTAATACATATGGGAAAGAAAAAAGGATGGCATGATTTGCAATAACCAGGCAGGGATTATCTTTCCAGGTCACGGTGACAGTTCATGACCATGTGATTAATGTGAGATTTTGTATTTAGATTAAAATCAGGTCAACACTCAGCATTAGGGGTTATTCAGAGTGTTACATCCTAATCATTAACAATTTCATTTGAACATTTGAACCACAATACACTAGAGCTGCACACTTTTAGGAGAAAAAAATCTAACTGCAATTTAAAAATGTGCAATTAATGTTTTCAAATCTAGATTCAGTTCACAGTGCACAATTAAAACAGGTCCAGGAGCATTAACATTGAGATGAACTGCAAATACAAGGATCCCATACATTTCATAACACATGTTTAGAGGTCTAAACTACAGGGTTAGTAACTATTTTCAATAAAAAGAAAGCATTTTTGTTGTTTTCAGAGGACATTCTATGCCTAAAATAAATGAAGTCTGTGAGATTTGATATTAACACTTAAATTTGATTTTTATTCAAGTGCAAAAGGTTGTTCAGCCCTAAAACACAAACTGACAATGTGATATAAATAGAGTGAAAAACAGTATGTTTGCCCATGCAGTCTTGCAGAAGTCTTACCTTGTAGAAGGAGTCCATGGACAGCAGCACTACCCAAGGCACGTCCAGAGCCTCTATGATCTTATTAGCCACAGTGGTTTTCCCTGAGGCGCTGCCCCCGCACAGCCCTGCACATCAACATAACATTCAAAGAGCCATTATGTGTGTTTTTCAGAGTGTCTCTAATTTTGTCTAGCAGTGTGCATGTGTGATGGCAGAAAAGTGGTTATGCATAAAAATAAGAAGTAGACAAAGAGGAGTTTTGAGACATTTAATGAGATTTAGGAGAGTAATAGTGCATCCATCACATGTTAGTGTCATACCAATGACAAAGGCTTCTTTGGGCTGTGTGCCATGCTCGTTGTACCATGGGGGCCGGCCCGCGGTGTAGATGGTGCGGGTGCCTGTGCGAAGCAGAGGAGGCTCTGTTTTACTCATGGAGGTCGCACTCTTTCTGCGAGGGGCCCCAGCTGGAGGCAGAAGGCGGTCCAAAGAGTCGTCCCCACTCCCACTGCAATAGAGCAACAGGACGGGATAGGAATAAGGCACCATACGCACAAAAACCCAGCGGGACAGCATGATTTTTGGGGAACTGAATTGCGTCTTTTTTTCAACAAGTATTACTACTAATTGCACCAGCTTAAAATGAGATTTCAACTCAATTTTTATATATTGTGCATCCCTAATACCCAGGGATTCATACCGTAAAAAAGACCAATGCACTGAGGAGATAAAGGCTATTAACAATACTACATAACATTAACATTAAATTTGGTTGTGGAAAAATATATAACAGCATTAAACACTATGGTACAACTAAAAACAATAAATCATCAGTTCAGTGTATCCGATCCCAAAGAAATGCACAGTATGATAGGTATGTCAAACCTGTAGAACTAGAAAATGTTTTTAAAAGACTTGCTCCACTATTTAAGAAGCTAATTAAGCTATGGTTTTGCATCAATTTAATAACATGTGTAAAAATAAAATAATGATGAATAGGGGGAAATAAACAGAGTACAGTGGAAGTTAACAAGCTTGAGTCGTTCTGACAGACAAGAGATTAACACCTACATTTCTTCTGTAGTGTTCAAATCTATCACATATGAACATTCTCCTGAGCCTTGTGTGTTTCCACAAGTGAAGAACCACAGCAGGAAGAAGACTATAGTCTGCTCTTACCTGGTGTCAGACCTGAGGGCCCAGCAGCCAGAGATCCTGGCCCCAGTGCAGTCACTCAGAGTTTTATCTGCTTCAGACATCATCCTTTCAGCAGTAGCACAACACTACAGCCCACTCTCCCTCAGTGTGACTGTGACCTCTGTATACTGTGTAACATATCTACACTTCTACCACAACCACATCTCTCTTGTTCTTCTAAAGTCTGTGTGTTACTCTGCCTCTGTTTGGCTCAAGTAGGGGACAGTGGATAAGAGGATCACTGTGACTGACTGTAGAGCAGCTTGGCTGATATTAATAGAGACTCTGTGCACCAAAACAGTCTATGGCAGTTCACTGAACTCAGCAAGAGTCACACATACAGCAGAATGGCACAATGGACATTCAATATTCAGCATATTAGGTATATATTTTAAATAAACACTATATGCTATGGGCTTTTAAAAATATTCAAACTACATAGGAATTGATGAACTTGTGTCCTTATGAAGATGACTACATGAAAATGAATTAGGCCTATCTATTTCAATAAAATGAACCACTTTTGGCAAAAACATAATTTCTACAATCAAACTACAATTGGACACCAAATGCATATAGTTTAAAGGAGGTAAAACATTTCATTTTCTAGGCTGTTTTAATAAACTACAGAGTCAAATTTTAATGTTTATAACAGACCGAACAATATTGCACAGAGACAGACAGCAATATTTTGAAATTGTGTTGCTTTTCATTTTATATTTAATAAGGATGTTGAGGATGTTAAGTGGGTTACATTAGCGGCCATTGGCCAAGCAAGATGACGCATTACTGTCAACACGCAGCTCTCGTTTGTGCATCTGTCTCTGTCAGGGTTTTATGTGGCATTGTATTGCATTAGGCCTATTCACAAAGGGTTCGAAGGGTTATTCAAACTGAACCTAAACCAGAAAGATTCCTTCAGAAAAGTGTAAACAGCACAGGTACTAAACATAACCTAGTTGTGCTCTTTGGTCCGTTAGCTATAGCTGTGTATATATCCAGTCTATAGCTGTAGCGCACTTACACCGGGTCCGGCTGAGCGCGGTGGTGCGGTTATAGATGAAACCATCACGCGTTCTCGATATTTACGATCATATCAGAAACATCGAGTACCTGTCCGAGCGGCAGGACAATATTTTCCCGTACTCCGTTTCCATGGCGATGTCGGAGCCACGGAGCCATCAGCCGCTCACAACCACAGGTTTCAACAACCATTAAAATGCCACTGACTTGCGCAGTGCATCATGGGCGATGTAGTTCAACCCTCCTCCACGTAGCACATCACGTGGCCATCGTAAAATGCTGTTAACATGTTATTCAGTGGTTGTATCTTCACAACATACAGGATTGAATTGCACAGACTTTATGTATTTCTTTTGTGACATAAAAACATAATTATTAGAGACAAAATTTAAAACATTTACAATGAAAAGGTATAAACTAGATTGTCTTTTACAGTCTCTTGAGTCTGTCCTTTTTGCCATTTTCAACCTGTTATTTCTTGTGCAGGACAGTCATCCAATGCATTATTTAATGTGCAAATGTCCTTTGATTTTGCTGAAGGCATCCGTCCAACAAATCAGGTTCACATTTCGGTAAATATTCAGGAATTTCAGTCTTGTTCAAGCAGCAGATAAGGTTGTTTATCCAAACGCTATGATATGTTACCAAACGAAGCTGCAGAAAAGAAAAAGATCAGTATGAATTCATATTCCAAGGCGCACTATGTAACTTCTGATAGACAGTCCGCCGCTTGCTTTCCCCCCTGGAGATGTTATTGCTTTGCCTGCTTTGTTTGACAGTATGGCACTACCTAATGCCAAAGCAATAACATTTCCATGAAGACAAGCAGGTGACTGATCCCCTACCAGAAAAGTTACATAAAGCACCTTTAACATATTACAGTTATAATGATAGTCCCATACTTCTGCTGAGGAGTTGCAAGTTGCGTCCCTCCTCTTGGACCTGCAGCTGTAGGACCTGTTGCAGTAGCTCCTGTCTGAGTGTCTCCTGCACCAGCCCCATCCTTTGGAGCTTCTCCCCATTCAGACGTAGCAAAGCACGGCCTAAGGACACGACACAAGAGGGCCTAAAAACCTGGTGCTTCTGATAAAATAACAGCACCTGAACAGAACCACCAATAAAGTTGGCTATAGGGCTGGGTACTCTGAGGTTCAGTACAAAAATACCTGGTTTTCCTACAATGTTTTCTGGTACATGTTCCTGCAATTATTTCAATCTATAGATTGCCCAAACTTAAATTCTATTAAATACAAATAACTTTAAAGAATATCTGAAGTTAAGTTGTAGTGACACTGACAAATAACATCAAAATGTGTTATCAAGAGACATGCCATTTTTCATAGCTATCTTACCTTTTTCATCTGTTAAAATGTGTAAGTTTTGACAAGTAAAGAAAAGTTGTACTGTATGTTCTTGTTGTAAGTTGTATTTCTTTCAAAAATAGATATTTGGCTCTGAACTATGAGAAAATGCAAACGCTTTTTGTCAGTAAAGGTTTTCTTTTTATCTTATTTGTTTTTTTCTTCTTCTTTGGAACTGCCAAACTCTAACTCAAAGGCTTACTTGTTGTGTTATTAGTCAGCTGGTTTAAATCAGTCTGGAAAAGGGCATAACATAAATCCCTTCCGGAGAATTGCAGTTAGTTCAAGTGTTGGGGTTTAAACGGGCATCACAAAATTTACTAACAATTCTATTAATTTGACAAACATGAGTGCACATGTTTTATTTGTGAATACCTTATTTGTGAAATCTGAACATATTTATGACAGGGGTGGCACCAATATGACAGAAGGTGGAGCTACTGGGGTGCTAAGTTCTTCAATGTGTGTGCACTTAACATGTTCATTTAGAGCCTTTTATGGATTTGAGAGCAGTTCAGCACAGGTAAATATGTGGAGGGCTCGATCATTTGGTGAGGCACTGGGTTTGAATGTGGGAGACTGAGGTTTGAGACTCATCTTCCTGAATTGTGTATGTATTGACTTTAGCTGAAATCATCAGCTTTTCATGAGTTTTAGTTTTTGTGTTCTCTTTATGAGTTAAATGAAAAGTAAAATCTATGCATCACTGATCACAATACAGGCATAAGACACTGTATTTCGATTATACCTCAGTTGTAGTGTTAATTGTACTTTGTTGATGTTCTCCTAATCAGTTTATGTGGCAATGTACTGCACTATTGTGTAAATGGGTCAGATTTCACACGAATCACGATATACGCAAACTTTTTCTTAGACTATCTTATACATTTTCCTCAAAAACGGTTTGTTGAGACATTTCTATGTAATATAACATAGTTTGAGTGTTCAGAAAGAAGATGGTAGAGCGCAGGAGCATGGCAGGAGCTACAGTTTGTCTCTGCTGCTGCCAGAGACAAGGCAGAGCAGCCTATATAAATGCAGTGAGAGGAGAGATAGACTCAGGAGGAAAAGAAAAGAAATCACCAAATCATCATCAAAAAAGGAAATGTCTGATAGTGTAACTCCCCTAGCAGTCAGTACAATACAGTAAAATATAAAAAAGAAAGCTCTATTCTTATTTTCACAGAATAAAAATGCTGTAAATCATTGAACCAAATTAACTTAAAACACTTATAACACTTAAACTGCAACTTTACAGTAGTTGTATTGTAATGTATTGTATGTAATGTTTCATTATATCATCTCGTGTGTTTTATATTATACTCATTAGTAGTATCACGTCTTAAAATGTATAGAAAAACTGAATCAACATCGTGACCCTATATTAAGATATGTAACGAATCATGGGAAAACTGTATTGTTGCAATCCACAGTGTGTAGTGACCTGTTATGGCATGCTGGGAGAAAGCCTCCACGTAGGTAAGGTAGTTGTGTGGACAGTGTTTCTTCAACCATTTACAAACATCCTGCTGAGTCCAGAGCACCACGGGCCGCATCAGGCTGGGCTGTGTCGGACTTGTGTTGTAGATCCCATAATTATCACTGGTGTGGTACTGCAGACATAAGGAAACAAAACATAATGACCAAACTGTAGCCATAGTATTAAATAGATGTCCATACTCTTCATCTGGGTCTTGTTATTTTGTCTGAACAACCCATTCTGATTCTGCTAAAAGCTAACAAGACAGTCCCCTGTAGAGCTAAAAAGGTTTGAAAACTCATTAAAGTCCATGGTGACCTTATACTCTCACATCAAACGCAGCTGACTGTGGTAAACATCAAATTTTTCCGTAAGTTCAGAAAGTGTACAGCAGCTATGATGGAAGATATAGATGTGTCTTTAATCATGAACATACATAGGATATGTATCTGCATCTGATCAGCTAAGATTGTGTACACTTTACTCAGTTAATTAAAAACTAAAAGGTTTGTGCTTGTCTTTAAATAACATTATATTTCTGAGATGCATTATATTATTGTATTAGTTTGGCAGTTCATTCTTTTCACAAATAGTAATGCTCCTGAGTGTGTTTAAAATTAGCATTCTAAACAGAATCTTATTGCTTTATACATAAATTGCAATACAATGCAAAAGAAAAATACCAATATGATTTTTTTTTTCAAAACTCATGCAGTCCTGCACCATAAGATGTTTATTTGAAACATTGCTGTTTGCAGAGTCAAGCAATATAAAGCATGTGTGACAGTCACTATGAACATTTTCTGAACAAAAATTAGTCTAACCTGTGGAGAATGAGGCTGCACAGTAAAATTAAATATGTACAATATTAAAGACTTAAGAAAGAGTCATTTAATCATTCTGATGTGGTTCTCACTGACCAATATCAAAAATGTCCAGCTACTGCATAGTGCATACATCAAGAGGAAAGAAATAAACAAACAATCCTTTGTGTACGACTCTGTTATCACTCCAGACCAGTGGATGTTTGCAGCCTCAGCTCATGGCAGCCCTTTAAAGAGCCTTTCAGAGGCAAAAACAAAGGCACAGGCTCTAAATGAGGCCAGTCCGCTCACTCTTTCCACACCACAGCTACCCTTTAATGTAAATTAAAGCATAACGCTCACACTGAGAAATTTAGATGAAGACTACTAAATGTATTTGATACTTTTTCAGTAGAATGCATATCATTAGTCTCATTCTAATTTTTCAATATTTTTGCAAAGATACAAAAATAAACTGCTAATGTCAATAAGGTGACTGGGGCGAATTATGTTTATAGGTTGTAAAAATCATTTTGATTGGCCAATAACAGAGGCATGCACATGTACAGATGCAACAGGGTTTGGGGAGTAAAAGGAGACAGAATACTCAATTTGGCCAGGACTTCAACAGTTTGCATAAGGCCAGAGATTTGTTCTTTAGGGACTGGGATGCTATGCTTGTCCGTGCCTAATGGTGAAGGGACAGAGCCTCTGCTGGAAGACCCAAGCTATTTAAAGCCAAACTAAAAGGCTGTAAAAGTCCACAGCCGCTGGGGAGAAAGCAACTTCCATTCTGCACTAACAAAGACCCCTCTGCAACAAAGGACGCTTACCAGTTTCCACGGTGCTGGTCTTATAGGAGGCCTATCTGAGAAGATGAGCCAAAGATGTGCCAAGGTCAAGTCAGTAAGACACAAGGTAGCATTTAACTCTGAATCTTTCATTATTTTAATAATCAAACTAAGCAGCCAAAACAAATAGAAAGAAGGTTGAATCTGTTTTGTCAGTGTTCTACAGTAAAGTAACTTCAGTCTTAAATCGCTTGTCCAGTTCACAGAATTAAATTGTCTTTTATTGTGGACCCTAGCTGGATGAGATTACATTCAAACCCAATGTCAAAGCCTATTGTTCCAGTCTCTCTAAGTTTACTATCAGCTCTGTGGGTGTACCTGACGGGCCTCTGTGCCAGGCTGCTGCAGTAGCTTCACTGGCCTGTTTCCTGCTTTCCCCCGCCCATCATGCCAGGTGAGGTTTCCCCCTGTGCGCCGAGTCAACAGCAGTTTGAAGTCCTCTGGCAGGGCCCTGTACTCCACCGCGGGTCTACAGAAACTAAAACTGGAGGCAGCTAGACAGAAGAATGAGTAATAATGATTAAAAGGTAGAGATTTTTGTCTTGAAATAGCAGACAAAGATACACACACCTGGCCATGTCATTCACCAATGAGCTCATAGTTACAAGTACAAACCTGCTTCAGGAAAACACACTCATGTCTCAAGTCAGATGAGTCATGGACTGTATTGTAGCACTTAAACTTAAACATTTAACCTTGCTTTACAATTAACCAACAAACCAATGTCAAAGAAGGTTTATGAAAAATGTATTAAGAGATGGGTAATTACTATTGTAAATTATTACAACATTTTTAAATGATCTACAAAAGTTTGGTAATGGTTTAGGGCTTTAAACTCAACAGTTATGAACTATTACAATACATCAAAATATTTTAGCGCTCCATCTACAATTCATTAATTTACTTATGGATTTATATAATTCAATCTATCTATTGTACATCTATGCTAAGAAATGTCCAATGAAAAAAAAAAAAAATTGTCAAACTTAATGCATTAAATGGCCCTGTAAATCTGTAAATGAACTATGAATCCTACTTTCAGATGAAAGATTTGTGTCTTTTAGCAGCACCCACTGAGAGCAGAGCAGCAGCATCAAAGCAGACTCACAAAGCTATATCACGGATAGAACATGTGTTTTCCATCTTTGAGCTTCAGCCTTCAAACTTTATGTGAAAACTCTTTAATTCAACTTTTATTAGAACCAGGCTGCCAGCCATTTATAACACAATTCTAATTTTACTAAATATGGTTAATTTAAGATTTAATTTATACTGCACCAAACCCATAAATTATCAACATTTAGGGGCAACAAAACTGCAGAGAATAGACAAACTACAAAGCTACACTACACAACGGATCCATTGGCTAACCTCTCTTTGAAGGTATTTCAGATTAAGCAACTGCTTTTCTTTGTAAAGCTCTTATATTGTAAAAACGTGTTTGTCATTCTTTTAATGCTTGTACAAGTGCTCAAGAGATTAACAGTGAGCGTTGCAACGCCAGAGAAACCGGTCTCTCCGGTTTCATCCTTTAATAAGTCAGGCAGTCTCACACAGAATTCTTTCCTATTTGACAAATAGTTACATATTGGCTACTAACAAAAACTTACCATCTACAGCCATGACACTTCCTAGCCACAGTGCTCTTAGTTAAAATGTCCCATCTTCGCCAGCGTCTCTTCCTCCAAGTCCCACTCGTCAGTGCGCGGAGCTCTGCGCTGGTTGCTCAAAGTTTCCCAATGTTTCATAGAGAAGGTCGGCACCACAACATCTCTCAGAGTCTTTTCCTAAACGGCACAAGTCAACGCCTCCCTGACAGACGCAAGGCGCTCTGCACTCGTTCGTTTTCTATCTGCGCTCAAGTTTAAAACAGACAGGAGTCAGGAGGAATGTCCCCAAGCTGCTCTCTGAACTATGCGCGCACACAGCGGACACGAGCTCTATGCGCGTGTCCGCGCCTGTGGTTTATCCATAGACATAGGCCACAGTCTATGGGTTTATCTGTGTCGTGAGAATCAGATGCGCGGCGTTTTCTCAAGAGCGTACGAACGCGCAGCAAGCTCAAAGTGCAGCCCGGGGCCTGTAATTAGCAGAGCGAGTGGAGTCCTTGAAAAAAAAAATGTGGATGAAAAGGCTTCTCATCACTGCAGCATCCACACAAGGAATTCCCCGCTGCCCTCCTTAAAGAATGGGGGCTCTGTGCGGCCCGCGGCAGCAGTGATCTCCAGACTCTGTGTTGGAGCTGTCTGAAACATATCATGAGCGCTGTCCCTTCTGTCACTGCACAGGGGAGACAGAGACCTGGGCAAAAGTGTAACGTTTGTAAACAGATTTTTGCAAAAAAAAAAAAAAAAAAAAAAAAAAAAATAAATATATATATATATATATATATATATATATATATATATATATATATATATATATATATATATATATATATATATATATATATATATATATATATATAATATATATATATATTATATATATATAATATATAAAATAAATAAAATAATAATAATAATAATATAATAAATAAAGTATGGTTTGCAAAACACAGAATTACCCCATGGCCTTATATAGACATACAAATATTCATTCTAAAACGTTGCAACACTGGCTAACATTATTCAATGAAGTATAAAAATTGACTTCGTCCTGATTTGGGATACTTCTGGAAATTTCTGGGCTAAAATGCATTGTGCCATTTGTTGTGTCATGTCTGAATAATTTATACATCAGCCTGCTCTGAGAGGCTTTGGCTGAGGCAATAAAGCAGCACAGCTCCTAAACCTCATAAGCTGAAGAGAAAGGACACTACAGTGCACACTGGTCCATGTCCTCTGATGGTGATGGTTGGCTGGAGAAAAAAGGCAATCACAGCATCATGACAAGAGAGAAACACATCAAGGTAAATGACCCTCCATTGGTGAAGTCTGCACCTGTCATCACAACAAAACAAGAGAGTCTGGTGACAGCACTAAAGATCAAAATGACTTATATCAGTATCAAACTGGAATGTGGATGGTGTCAGTTTAGGCTGACAAAACAACCCAATTAGACCTAACAGAAAAGGCTTTGAAGCTAGTCATCTGGACTGCCATCTGGAAGTCATTTTCAATTGTTCCAATTACAGTAATAACAGCATTTTAAAACGTTTTGTACCTTGGACCAATGGTGGCCAAATGTCTTGCCCAAGAACACAACAACAACGCTATTCATTTCTGAGAGCTGGAATTGCACCAGAGGACAAGCACACTACCAACCAAGCTACTGCCATACCACTTTAGGAGCAGGATACATTGTTTATTATTCATTTTATGAACCCCCATCAGTTGTCACAAAATTGACAGCTATCACGATATTTGACAGAATTGTATATTTTTTAACTTCAATGCCATGGCGAAATCAAAGCAAAAAATAAGTTTATGGATTTTGTATAATCCCTGCATGCACAGCTTTTTGACTTTTAAGATGGCACAAGCCACTAATGTGGGCTGTAGACTGCAGCAGAAAATCTGGGTTATTGGAGCTCTATACTTAAAATTTAAGCATTGAGTTTTTGGCCTAAAAGATAAAAGGGATGGTCTGAATTATTAGTTACCACAGGAGAGAACTTCAAAGAGGGCTGAATATGCACAGTATACATTAAAGATTAGGTCAGAGTCAGGGGCCTTTGTCTGACTGCGTTAAAGGCTGCTCAGTCGCATACAGACGTAGGATTGATACATTTATGGCCATGACACATTTCAGTATGTGGTGATGCGTAGTTATTTCTTCTCTTAAGTCAAATTCAGTTGGAGCCACAAGAGGGCAGTCACACACAATAGCAGGGAAAACACCATTTCAAAAGTACTAAGTAATGCAACAGGAATTCATATACACAAGGCAAATTATAAAATGAGTCTGACATATGTAGTTCATGTTTGTCAATTGATAGTTTAAGTCTGTGATACAGCTAAACATGGATGTGGGCAAAAAGATACATGTTAATTAAAATGTTAAATTAAACAACAGATGTCAAACACTATGTATTCATATGTAAAAAAAAAAAAAAAAAAAGCAATGCAAAATGCAAAACATGCATCTTTTTCCAAGTTAAGTTGTATTTTATATTGTGGATTCAAAAATGATCTTGGGAAATAATTAAAAGTAAACTTGATTATCCACAACACCCCTCTGTTTTCTTGAAACAATCAGACAGAAGCCAGTCCAAATGTGTCATGGCCACTCCACCACACAACCAACAAGTACAACACTCTCTTAAGTGCTAAATGTGCCCAGACATCCCAACTTCCTAAACAACATTATTTTCACGCATGGACAGTTACATTTTAAATTAATATTCACACAAAGTCAAGAATGAGCAATCATTTTAGTTATTTCTAAACGGTGGGTAGTCTTGCAACCTGCACATGAGGCCAAAGCACGTCTGTGTTTGTGAAGTTTAAAGCCTGGTCTTGTGTTTGTCCTTGCACATGGCTGTTAATGTAAGAGAGCGGATATAAGCCACTCCTGAAAACACAAAGACCGGCAGATGTTCAAACACTTTTAGCTAAATTAAGTTAATGTGGCTTAACATTACAACAAGAATAAAATGGATAGGTATACTAACTATGTAATGTCACATGAAATGTTTTATTGCTGCAGAGTTGTGTCAAATTAAATCTGTTTTAGCATCTGTGGAGTAACGTCTACAAAGCGGCTTACAGAGGGATTCAGAATGTCGACCTTTGGTGTTAAACTAAACACATAATAAATAGATACACATTAGTTGGGCAGCCCATGTGTTAACCAGACCTCCAGGAGTGGGGCAAGACAAACGTAAGACATTATAGTTGGTATGCAGAAAAAGAGCTTGTTTTGAAAGTGACAAAGTCAAGTGGGGCATGAGTAGCATAAACCGTGACGTAAGTGTTATGACGGTCAGGTGAAGCTGGAACAGCTGTAGCTCAGAGATGCCATTGAGGCTTGGGACTGGGTGGAGCTGCTAATGTGAGACTGAATAAAGGTGCACTTGTTTCAGAGCACCAGAAAGTCTGAGAGTGGATGCTGTGTGCCGTCAAATGTGTTTCAGCAATACAATAAGAGCTTGTTGACAAATCGAGAGCAATATATAGCCCACTTACACGCACACTGCAGAGTGTGTGTAAGTAACAGGGTGTTTCTAGGTAAAAGAGGTGGGTTCTACAATAAACAGGAAATAGGAAATGGGCTCACTAAAAACAGCAAAGCAAAAGATCACTGAAAAATAATGCACACAATGCCAGTCTTATTTAAGGGAGAGAAAAACTAAGAAAAAAAGTTACTACTTTTAGCCTGTAATTGGAGGAAAGGTTGACATATTATACAGTAGGGTATGGTAGAAATATGGTGAGTCACTGTTCAAAGTTAAGGTACACTTTATTGCCCCCTAGAGACATTTGTCCCCTGCATTTGACCCATTCTTCAGTACTTCAGTAGAACAATCTACCAGGAGCAGGGGACCCATCTCCAGATCATGAACTAGGCTTGGTTTGTTTTATGAAACTAAGTTTTGTGTTCTGATTAAGTTTGTTTGCTGTGATCTAATTAAGTTTAAGTTTGGACTTTTGCTCAGAGTGAGGGTGTTCCCTTTTCCCCTCTTCTGGGTGGTTTTCTTTTTAAAACAAGGCTCTTTTGTTAAATGAATGCTTAAAATGTTAAAATGTCAAGTATAATATTAAACTATACGAACTAAAAAAGTATACACACAACTTGTCATTTATGAAATAAATGTTTGTTTCTGTAAATGTGTTCATATTGTATTGTATGTGTTTATTCTATATTTTTTACTCCCCCACTTTGTTAGATTCTGTGTACTGAATGAATTACAAACAACATAATAAAAAAAATTTCCTAGATGCATAAGAGATTCCACTGCGCCTCCTCTAGTGTCAGTTTGGTGTCGTTTTGTGAGTAGGTGGGAGGGGCTATGCAGATGATGCCAGGGGAGCTCTTTTAGTGACGGGTGCAGGGTCCCCACCTCACAGTGGACTGTTGTCACTCTGCCGGAGCTCACATTTGGACAATACAGCAGAACCAGCAAGGACACAGCAACCTGACTTTGTATGGCACTCATCCACAATTTTTTTTTACATTTTGGATTAATTTAATTTTTTTTTTCATTATTTCCAGATGTCTAAAGTATCTGGAGTGCATTTTTTCAAATTGTCTCTCTCTTTATAGAGGTGATATAAGAAGACATTTTTTTTAGATTACCACAACATGAATTCTGCAGGGGTATATAGTCCTGTAGTTCTCATTACTGTGTTTTTGGCACTGGCTGAGACCAAATTCTACAGACCACCTCAGTATTATCCCTATAAAGGTCCCAGTGCACACTATGAAGCAGAGAACCCCACCAGCCGACACAAGTAAGTTTGTTTTGTATTTAGATCTGTTTATTACTGTTGGAATTACTTAATTTAATACTTGCCTATTGGATTTCCTCTTTTCAAGGAACCACTGTGCATATGTTGTTGAAAAGATGATGTCATTCACTGTCCAGGACGGAGTAGCGCCTTATGTGAAAGCAGAGTACAATAAATGTTCCTGGGGACAAAAATGCCCAACTTTGCAGTAAGTCACAGTGTATATTGTATGTTTTAATTCCACACAGAACCTAAAACACATTGATTTGTTTTGTCTTTCAGATATCGTTTGATGTATAAACCCATTTTTAAAGTGGCACATAAAACTGTGACAGAGTTGGAGTGGCGTTGCTGCCCAGGGTACACTGGTTATGCCTGCATGGAGGGAGCTTATCATCACTCTATGCCACCATTTAAAGGTCCCCCAGTGATGAAGGGGCCCCCAATGAAGGGTCCGCCAATGATAAAAGGGCCCCCAATGAAGGGTCCACCAATGATGAAGGGGTCCCCATTGATGAAGGGTCCACCAATGATGAATGGACCACCAATGAAGGGTCCACCAATGATGAAGGGTCCGCCAGTGAGCAGGCCACCATTTAAAGGACCACAATGGGTTCAACCTAATGGACCTTCAACCACAAGATTTAACACCCCCGCAGTGCATAATTTTGACCCTCCAACATCCTCCTCCTACCAAGACACCTCCTTTGAGCCTCATCCAGCTGAGACAGAATCACTGCCTGAACACCAAGTCCCCCTCCAGCACCCAGACTCTCTCCACCAGGAGCATGGGCCAGTCCCTGTGCTCCACGGCCCAGAGGAACATCTGCCAGAGGAGGCTGCGGCACCTGAAAGTGAACATACTGAAGGTAAGCGTGTGCAAATGGTTACTGTTTGTAACTAAATGTAATTAACATCCTGATTTGTGACTCTTACTCTCTGCAGGTCAAGCTCTTTACAATGAGATGGAAGAAAGGCTACTACAAATGGAGGAAGAAGTTCAGCGTTTGAACCATGGTCTAGAGACGCTGCGAGGTACAGTGAACGCACTAGAGGGCAACCTGCGAGCCTCTCTCAGAGAGGACGCCAACAGAATGCTCTCCACCCTGCTCTCTGCTGCCCCGGCCCCTGTTCAGGCCTCAGCTGCTGCCTCTGGATCAATCTCTGTGGGCTTTGGAGAGATTCCAGGAGACACTCATGCAGATGGTATCGATGGAGGACAAACCATTCCAGAACTAACAGAACTAAAAGAAAAAGTAGATGGTCTGAAATCTGAGCTGCAGGTCAAGATAACAGAGCTCAATGAGCTGAAAGCAGCAGTGACTGGACATGACAATGCACTAAAGAAGCTATCAAACCAAGCCAGAACAGCCTCTGGCTCCCTTGTCATTTCTGAGGACAACAAAGCTCTAGAAACCATGATGGATGCCAAGCTCAGTGCAGCACGAACAGAGATCCTGGGAGGGTTTGAGAAACGTGTGGAAACAGCAGAAAGCCGCTGTGTGGAGAAGGCCGGAGACGTGCATCGTCAGTGCAAGAAAGAGCAAGGATTAACACAGGAGCACATAGAGGACGCTTTAGCAGAAAGTACTACAGATTTTAAAACAGAGATGATTCAGCTTCAGCTGCAAATAAATGACCTCAAAGCAACTAACAGCTGTTGTAGCCAAATGGCAGGTCTAGTTCAAAGAGTAGAGTTGCTGGAAGCATCAATGACAGGACTAAACCAGTCACAGGGGCATCTGCGAGTAGAGATGAGTGGGCATAAGGACCACATAGAAGGCATTTTAGAAGGGCGTCTGGCATACTTAGAGGAGAAACTCAATGTTACAGGACATACACAGAGTAATGACACTGAAAGGAGAAGCGATGTGTTTGAGATGGCTGAAATGCGACTTGCTTTAGAGGACAGAATGGAGGTTAAGCTGAGGGCTTTGGAGGGCCGTCTTCTAACTGCAGTGGAGGAGCTGAGTAATGCTACTGCCCCTGCTCTGCTAGAGGGCCATGCTATCCCCACATTGGAGACAGAGCTGGAGTCTCTGCAGAGTCGGTTGGAAGTGGATGTAGACAGAGTTCAGAAACAGATAAACAATCTGGAGATGCTCTGCTCCTCTTCCTGTTCTTCCCCCAAAACCCCCTCCCCCATCCAAGCAGACTCAGCCAGTGTGAATGAACCAAATTTTAGTGGGACAGTGGACGCTCACGTTGACCGTTTAAACAAACTCAATGTTACATTGCAGATCATACTCAAGAACCTCCTAGAGCAACAAGAACAAGAATCTCCGATTCATGGGGAGCTCACAGTTCTAAAGTTCAACATGTTTTCTGTTAACCACACGGTTAGGGGGCTCCAGGAATCCCTTGGGACAGTGGTGGAGCAGGTGGACCAGGCCAACAGCTCATGGCACGAGCGAGAGGCGCGACTGGCTCATCAGATGAAGGGCGTGGTGCAGCTAGTCAGCCGTCAGGCCTCTATGCTCGGCTCAGGAGAACGCAGACTCACCCGCCTCAAGGCAGAGCTGTTGGACATGAAGAGGAGACTGGCTGATGAGGTGAGGGGCTGCCGTAGCACGGCTCTCGGCGTCCAAAGAGAGGTGACAGAGGTGGGCGGGCGTGTGGCGAGCATGGAGAACCAGTGCAAAGGGTTAACTTTCGTGGCAGAAGACCTAGAGAGGATAAGGGAGGAGCTGGATAAACAGTCCACAGGACTCCTCCTCCAGGTGAACGGGACACTGTCCAGCCACACGCAGCAGCTGTCTGAGCTCAAAGACGAACTCAGAAACTGCACAATTAAAATAGAGCCAACACAACAAAGTCTAGAGTCAGAGGAGGCTCCACGAGGGGACACCTTCACATTAAATTAACTACAAACATTTCCACTAAAGCTCACTTGACTTGACTTAAAAAAAACACAAAGGTTTTGAACCTGCACTGAAGCAAACATGCTAAAAGTTTGTGTCTTGAAGATTTCTATCATTGACAGATAGAAACTACAAAGGCAGCTAATTCCACTGACATTTTGCATAGAATAGAATAGTTTCTTCATGCCCCAGTGACTGAGGAAATGACAAAACACATGATTTTACTGTTCAATGAGTTTTCTTTGAGATTGTTTACATGTTACTGTTTTATAATTCCCTGTCAAATCAAACTCAAAGTGTCTATTTCTTTACAGGAATATTGCGTAACATAATGGTTTTGTTATTTATATGGATATTATTTTTCAAAAATAAATTCACTGAAAACACTGCATTTGTTTTTATTCTCTTAAATGTGTTGCTGATACCTGGCCACCAGATGGCAGTAGAGCATTAAGAGACGACAATAATTATGTTTATAGCATCATATCCTCTTTGGAAAATGAAAGCTAATCATCATTGTGTTTCTGTTTCCATTAAAGATATTACATTTTGAGAGATGAGTATTTCGAACAAAACAAGTGATTTATTTTGTCTTGGCTTTTGTCTTGTTCACAATCGCAATGGCTGAAGCATTAATGCAGTGTTTGAAAAAGTGGCTCAGATGACAAAAACTATTTTAGGGGAAGTACAGTAAAAAAAATTATGCAATACAGGTCATTCAGGACTAAATAAACAACTGGATTACTGGAGGTAAAAGCACTACAGCGTTAGGCAATAGAGTTTACTTTAAATGGCATCCTTATATATTATATATTAAGTTATTTGCTCAATACTGGAACAAAAATTCTAAATATTTCCTCTGCCTAAGCAAGTGGTCTTCTGTTCGCACACAGCAAAAGGCATGGAATTTGATTAACTTATGTATGGACTGATGTGTCCCGATGAATTACTGTAAAATCCTCATTGTCAGAACTTCTAAAAATAACAAGGCTTTACGAAGTTAAATACATATCAGATAAATATACAGAGATTTAGAATTCATATTGCATAAGCATTCACAGACAGTAGACAAAGACGGGATATTTCGTTTTCTGCAGGGGTCAAAATGTTGTGGAAATGTCTGTTGCCTTTGTAATTTGCTGATTGCGACCATTCAAAATGTGATTTCACTCAAGATAGCTTCATTGTTCAGCATAAACTACTTTGATTGCTCATACTGTAATTGTTGCTTGTTTCCTTCTAGTGCCATATTCAATAATGCTTTGCTATTATGAGACCCAACAGAAACACTTTGGGCTAAACAGTAACATAGGGAGAGAACCCTGTAGTGCAGTACTTTTCTTCTTACGAGCTTAATTTAGTAGTATTTTCCCTCATAATTGTCTAACTCACAGTTATTTTTGCTTGATTTCTCTTGCCTGGGTACTTGTGGCCAGCAGCAGAGAATTTGTTCAGCAATTCTGAGCCGGAGGTTGTTTTAGATCAATTATCAATGTGGTTTACAACAAACAAAATACAATCTAATGATCTATGTATGTGAAAGCTTCTTTTGATGTACCAGAGGAAAAAGCATAATATGCCTTCTTTAAAGCAGCTTTCCCCCTCTGTCAGTGGAGGTGTAGTGTTGCTTAAAGCAAATTCCATGGGTTTATTATACTGTAAGGTGGCACAACGCTTCAGGTGCTTTCAGTCCATCACCAATGAGGCATAAATGCATAAATGTCAAATGCCATTTTGTGTTTAGTAATACTAAGTGACTTTATGAATGTAGATATTATGTAGACACTTATTATTCTGTATAACCAGTTCCTTTTTTGTGCATGACAATTAGAGAAAATTTACAACAACAACAGAACATTAAAACATGGACCAGCTCACAGAATCCAGACAACAAAGCTAATTCTAAGAAGGATACTGACAACTATTTAATAGGGATGCACTGATCCGGCTCTTTCTGTTCTGATACCAATTTCAATACTATGGCTTTAACGATCTGCTGTTACCCTATATCAACCGATATCAGCGTAGACACTGAAAACAGCATTTATTTGCTTAAGACAAAAATAAAAGAAGACATAACTGATTCAAATGTGTTATGTAGCTATTATTTATCTCTCAAAAAACTACAGAACATTATGAGACTTCCTAGGCCAATTACAACCACAAAATCATTCTCATTATAGTTATACAGATTAACATCCCAGTTTAAGAAGAAATTAAGGCAAAATTGTAAACCTTTACTATAACCTGCCACAAACCTGGAATGTTTACGCTTTTTGGTCATAAAATTAGTCAATCAAATAATAAATATATTATATATAATAAAAATGCAGACTCTTATTAACAGTCCTCTAATGTTGGTCTTAATCCAACAATAGAAACTTTATTATGATGACTCTCAATAGCTTTCATTATCCTAAAGTCACTTTCTCCAAAAGATAAGGATAATTTAAATTACAATTACAGAGGGAGTTTTGTATTGGACAGCAGAAGTAAAGAAATGAGGTGTGGTACTTTATATCATAAGTCAAAGCTGTTCGTATTAAACTCTGATCCGTCCTTTTATTTCTCCTCTCTCACTCTCTCCGTCCATCCTCTGAGCTGCATCTCTCTCGCTTCACTCTACAGGACTCAATGGGGCTCAGAGCATCTCCACAATGAAGATTAAGTAGTCTGACTGCCCACATGTCTGAAAGCGAGAATAAGAGTATCTTAAGTTTGAGATGAACTGTCCAATAAAAACGGATCGTCCCATCTACAGCTGCTCTCTGTCCACATGAGTTTAACTGAGGCCACAGCTTCCACCAGCAGAAGGTAAGCAGCAACACTAGGTCTCCTCTGTGTTTCTATAGGACAATCACCACCAAGAGTTTTATTGATAAGGCAGCATGTTTGGTCTTCATGTTAGGTTTGTCATTTTCAATACATTGTTATTTATTGTGTGACGTATAATTCATTTCAATTCATTCAATTTGTGAGGATTACCAATATTAAAATGGTGCTGACACTAAAAGGCACATTGAACATTAAGATTAGTGATGGGCTTAGAGACTCATCTTATATTTTCTTTTGTTCAGAGTCCCCCTGTGCTTTTAAAACTGCATCTGAAATACGGGCTTAGAGCTTTTCATGTGACACATTCAAGGACAAGTATTGTAAGCTGCGCTGACACATCTATCTGTGCCACTGTATGATAGCTGTTCTAATCCTCAAACATACAATATGTAATGACAGTGACTGATTTTCAGTTTGTACTTCTTATTATTGTAAAATACATATTAATTCCATATTAAATCCAAAAACAGCTTTCAGTATTAAATGTATAATTTCAGGCACATCAAATCCCCTATTTCTTCTTGTCCTTTCATCTTAGAGTGGTTATGTAATATGTTTCTGCAATGGGAAGCACAATAATGGCATGATTTACCAGGGTGGCAGAATTGTATTCTTCCTTTTATTTATATATTTTGCATTACTTGTAGTTGTTGCCCTTGCCAAAGGAAATTGCAGAAAACATAACACAAGAAGTATCTGAGAGAAAAGTAAGATTAGTAACATACAATCATTTATTATCTTTTGAATCAAAGCAAACAGCATCAATGCTAACATATTGATGAAAGGGAATTTTACAACCAAATTGCTGAGCTCACATTAAGATGACCTGATGCATATTTGGATTACATAAGAGATGTCAGTGTGTGACCTATTCACAAATAAAATGTTGCCTGGAGCCTTTTGTCACAGCTCACACTGTAAATAGCACAGCAGTCTCTGTCAGTCATATTCAGCAACCATTTCTAATGCAAATATGTGGTTTAGGGGAACTCAGGATGTCTCATGTAAATTAATATGATGTTCATGACAAACTTAATCTAGTTTGATATTCACGTGTTATTCCCATTTTAGAAAATACTTTGAGAATTTAGATCCTAAAGCAATAATTCTATTCAGGTACATCTTACTGTAACAATCTCTGCTGGTTACCTTAATGACTATAATGTTTGAAAAATGTATGAATTGGCATTGCATACAATTGACTCCGAGCTGCACAATACAAAAAATACTACTGAAATGTGTAGTAGTAATTCTAAGGTCTTCTATAGGATAAAGATAACATTTATGTCTTACAAAATCTGAAATAAGTAATTTAAAATATGTAAAGTCTTGTTTCAGTCATGTATATATTTGTAATCCCAATTTTGATCCTGATTGAAATATTAATTTCTTTGAACAGTGACAAAATTATTGCATAAAAAACATAAAATACAATAGTGTACATAGTTACTGTAGATCATAGTTTTAAAATATTGTGCAGCCCTTGAACACATCACATTTAGTCACAGTGCCCACAGCGCAGTGCCCATGTCTCAGGCTCAAAGACGCCCAATTAATCATCAAAACAGAAAGTTATTCCGCAGCCCAGACAAATGATAACTGTTATGCCAAAGCTGCAATGGGCCTAAAATACTCTCAGACTGAACAAATTCTCAATGAGATCAACTCTGGCTGCTCATTTACTGCACCCCTACGCAACCACAGAGCTAAAGGATTGTCTAGTTAGAGAGCCATCAAGAGGAACAGTGCTTTAAATATGGCGTTGTGTTTCTAATTGCAAACTGTGAATGCAAAGCTATACTAAGCTAAGAATGATGAAAAAAATCAATTATATGCTCATTGCTCACAGAAATGTCATATAATTCTTTTCTTGCCTAGATTATGATCTCAACCATAATTCATGTACTCTATTTATTATTATTAAATGTAACTAAAGCCATCTGTTGCTTTTGAAGGTTCACACAGGACTGGAATTGTTTGAATTCACCGGTCACTAACTCAGATTAAATTGGGTGGAGAAAAGTGCATTACTGCATTACACTGCATTAATGCACTGTATTACACAGGTTAGAAACAATAGATATAATAGTAGATAGCCCTAAGTTTTATATGCTTACCTTTTAAACATCTTCACTGAAACCAGCAGTGCAACTGGATCTGCTTACAAATATGCAGTGTGAATTCAAAGAGCACATAAAACTGGTCTCACACCCACTGGACATTTCGTCACTCTCTGGTGACTTGCATAGTAATGACACTCCATCCTGACTGGCCAAGTTGAGGACAGTATTGCCTCTGCATAAACTCTCTGGTGCCAAAGTTTTATAACAGTTGTTTTCCTTTGTCATTGAAATGCTTTATTGCTGACGTCATCTAACAGACTACATCAACCCTCTTCTTTTTTTTTTTTTTAGCTCTGTTTAGTCCACAATGCATTTGATGCATTGACATAGTGTTTTTTTTTTTTTTACTCTCTATCCCCCATTTTGCAACTCAGTCACAAATCCCAAACGTCATGCAGATTTTTATTCATTTGTACTTTCCATCCGTCATTGTAATCTTGAAAGGATTTGTTCAACCATTAATCATATTTTATTCAATCAATCTGTCTAGTCAGAAAGTTTCCCTCATAGACTTTGATTCTATTAATCATGGTGAAATCATAGTTGTGCCACAAAATTATCAAGTTAACCCGCTGTGCAAATAAACGTTGAAATGTCTTTTTAGGGTCATTTTTGTACATCCAATTTTGGTCCACTGAAGGTGCAGACTGTGACGCCAGATGACATCTTTTTTTCCAACGTCTTCTGGACATCCAGTATTGATGTTCCCAAGACCTGAGGGCTAATTCTAGTCCAAATGAGATTGCTGTTGATGTCTTTTCTACGTTAATAATAATAATAATAATCAGTTTTACAGAGCATTATTCATTCATTCCACACTCCGCACTCGGTGGTGGAAACTACTACTGTAGCCACAGCTGCCCTAGGGCAGACTGATGGAAGCAAGGCTGCCAATCTAAGCCAACGGCCCCTCCGACCACCACCATCACTCCATCATACTAAGCAATATCGGTAAAGTGCCTTGCCTAAGAAAACAACATCAGCTTTTGAGACTGGCGCCCCACTGTGGTACCTGATTTTACCAGATTCTCTCATCCAAGTTCTGACCAGACCCGGCCTTGCTTAGCTTCTGAGATCTGACGGGATCAGGGATCTGACGGTGGCTGAGTGGCTAGCACTCATACCTCACAGCAAGAAGGGTCAAGGTTCGATCCCCGGGTCGTCCGGGCCTTTCTGTGTGGAGTTTGCAAGTTTCTCCCTGCGTCTGAATAGGTTTCCTCCGGGCGCTCCGGTTTCACCCATCAACCCAAAACATGCTACATAGATCTCCAAGAACAGTTGATAGTTAAGGTCAGTTAAATACAATCAATCAATGAATCTGTCCAGGGACTAAAGCACCCTGCTACTGGTGCTGTAGCATCAGTATCTACTGATGCTACAGTTGTAGCATGAGTAGCACTGATGCCACAAACTGGTACAATGCATCTCTCCTGCTAAGGTTAATTTAAAAATTGTGTGCTGTCTCAAATAAATAAATAAAAAATAAATACATTTAAACTCATTTTAGACTGTTTTTTATAGGCGTACTGTTCCTAGGCTCTGTGCATAACTGTGATGCCATTTCAGATGGTGGCATAATGTTACAGATCATTTTGTCTTAGCAGCAGGGAAATGAAAATGTATACAAAAGTGTAAAGCATTTCCAGTTCAATCTGCTACTGAGCGATACGAAGTTACAGGAAAATGGCAGGGTACAGTTACAGTTAACACAGGGTAGACTTTGGGAATGGCTGTGTTACTGTATATAACCAATATACAGTAACACATTAATGCTTGTAGTGCTAATAGACTTAACTATAACCTCTTGGTAACATGCTGGTGGAGTAAACTTACACATTTCGTCTCATTCAGATGGGGAACACTTCTGACACCTCCACTCTATTTGTGTCCTCCATCTCCAAAGAGCATGACATCCTCATGGGAGCCGTCTACACTGTGTTCTGTAAGTCAAACAAAATCATACATGAACAAATATTTAAAGGAACTGTATGCAAGATTTGATTTAAAATTTAAAATTTTATAAATAACTTAACTCTATCCCAAGATACAAGGTAAAAATGTTCATACCAAAGCTTTTACTGGTAAGAATTGTAATTAATTACAAAAACATTAGACATGATGGACAAGGAGTTGATATAATTAGGTGTTTTGGTTCTCAATATACAGTAATTATTCAATCAGAAAGTAGAATGCTTTGATCTGAATGGTATTTATCTAAAACCCAGCATCTGCAGCCAATCATTAACCAGTCCATATACTGAGAATGAGAAAAAAATGGTATATGTCCTGTGTCCTTGTATGTAGGTTAAGTCTGTGATTGTGATATAGTTTTAAAAAAATATTAAATATTAATAAAGGTCTATAGCATTGTATTATTGAAGCTCTCCTCTTTCTTCTTTCAGGTGTCTTGTCTTTAACAGGAAATGGCATCCTGCTTCTTGTCGCGTATCAGAAACGATCAACCTTGAAGCCGGCAGAATACTTCATCATTAACCTCTCCATAAGCGACCTTGGAATGACACTGTCTTTATTCCCACTGGCCATTCCTTCCTCTTTTTCACATAGGTCTTTAATACAATTAATTCTATTCTGTTACCTGCCTCACTTTTTATGACTTGATACAATGTGTCTTTGCAGATGGCTGTTTGGAGAGATCATCTGTCAGCTTTACGCCGCCTGCGGAGTACTATTTGGCTTGTGCAGCTTAACCAACCTCACAGCACTCTCTTTAGTTTGCTGTATTAAAGTGTGCTATCCTAACTATGGTGGGTGAAAAGTCCCTTTCCGATAAGGTCAATTTAATTTGGCCTGGCATTTGTATCATGCTACAAAAGAGAAAACTTAATGTGATAATGACATAATTGATGATATAGGCTATCTAAGGCTACTTATTATACAACTAATACTACTTATGCTATATGTAACATTTTGGATTTTTCTCCTTCATAAGATAATATTTTGGTTTATATTGTTTGGTAAGGGATAGACTGTTCTGCTTTCACTCCTCACCTCTTATTCCTTTTCATATTAAGAGGTTTTAGCCTCTGTAGAGCCCACAAGTAGTGTCATTGTTTAAGTAGCTTTAGAGGTAGCAATTAGCCACAATCTCTGCCACCCCTCGCAACTGAGGTGGAAATCGGCTGCATATCTTATCTGCATGTTTACTCTCAATAATCCAAATTTCGTACCATCCCCATAAACTTTACAATATTCCACCTAAATTGTTGTATGGCCCAGTTTTGTTCTGTATTCTACTGAGGCTATAGCTAAAATGTATGGGAAATGCAGATTCTCTTTTTTATATATACAAACAGCAAAAGTGCCACTGACAGCTTAATCAATGTCAACTTACATCTCTAGGCAACAAATTCTCCTCGTCTCACGCCTGCCTCCTGGTGGCTGCAGTGTGGTGTTATGCCTTCATTTTCGCCTTGGGGCCTTTGGCACAGTGGGGGCACTACAGCCCTGAGCCTTATGGCACTGCCTGCTGCATAGACTGGCACGCACCCAACCATGAACCCTCCTCTCTGTCTTATATTCTCTGCCTTTTCATCTTTTGCTACGCTCTGCCCTGCTCCATCATCTTTGTCTCGTACACATTTATTCTGCTGACGGTGCGAGGCTCGCGTCAGGCCGTACTACAGCATGTATCACCACAGACCAAGACTGCCAACGCTCACGCCCTCATTATCAAGGTCAGAACAGACGGTTAAGAGGCAAGACTAGATATGTAACAATATTATATTTCTCTTAACAATGCAATATTATCTATATGGTACAATGTAGTGAGGCTCATGGTATAGCAGAAAATGCTACTCTGTAAGAGTGCTCCAGTAAGCCTTGTGTGTTATTGTTACCATTATATTTCAAATTATTAAGACAAATGGAATTGAAAAAAAAAATGGAATCGTACCCACAATCTTGCCTATTCTTTGTTACTGTGCTAATTTTGCAAAATTATACATTGTTACATTCTTAGACATGCAAAAAGATTAAATATCATCTGTGTGAAATACATTTATATCTTTTTTTTCAGCTGTCTGTAGCTGTCTGCATTGGTTTTCTTGTCGCATGGACCCCCTATGCTGCTGTGGCCATGTGGGCTGCTTTTGGAGATGCACTGTTGGTTCCTCCCATTGCCTTTGCCGTGGCTGCTCTATTCGCCAAGTCCTCCACCATCTACAACCCACTGGTGTACCTACTCTGCAAACCCAACTTTCGGCAGTGTTTATGCAAGGACTCTACCACGCTACGGCAGAGGATTTCAGGAGGGAGCCCACAATCTGATCTGAAAGGCTATTTGGGCTGCAACTTACCACGTAATATGGACACCAGTCTGCCCAAACACTTGTCAAATGGACAGCAAAAATACGGGGCATGCCTCTGTAGCTCCGATGGGGAAATGGTAGATCATGTGGCCCCACCCAAAAGAACTGCCTGCATCCTCACAGGACCCTCCTGTACAGAGGTGACATTGAACCAGGATTCTGCAGAAATATCCCAGGGTGACTCTCTATAACAACAAGATAAGAAGAATCGTTTACAATATTAGGAGTTGTGTTTAAGTCTGTGCAATCACTACAAAAGCAATGCTGCTAAAGACAGATGGCATGCAACCTTCTATTAACATATAATGTGTAATTTAGAGAGTTTTGATACTAGCTTTAGGAATTTGCCAAGATCTGATACAAAAGCAGAGGTTAAAAGTATATTTTTGTTTCCTTAAAACATAACTTTTTTTAAAGAGCAATATGCTGTGTGAATGTAATATATTATTCACGTAACTAACGAACAGCAGTGTAGACAACAAAAAATGTGTTTATGAGAGCTTCTGGACTATCAGTCATTACATAAACTAATTGGCCAAACCTTGTACTGATATCCTGATACCTGATAGGAAATACCAGAATTGGAATTGGAATATCCCTAGTTTAGCTGATATGAGGGCAGTCAGATAGTCAATAATCTTGTGTTCTAATGCTGATTTTGGGGTGTGTGGTTTAGTTTCAGCATTTGTGGATTTTCCTTTTATTTATTTATTTGAAATCTACTCGTATAAAACTGGGTCAGATGTATTACTAATGTCCTGTTATTTATAAATCGCCACCACAATGTGCATTAATAGTGTGGGGTAGGCTGGAGTGACACAGAGTTCAAAATTGAGCTAGAGGACATGGCTGATATATATGGTAGAATTTATGGTTTATAATAAATAACGCAATTAATTATTGGGCCTAGCCAAATAAAACAAAAACTGTCTTCAAGTTCAAAATCTTTTGCCTGCATAGATAGACAAAAGTGGAATTGTATAATCTATAACACAATGTTCTTGTCATTTCAGTAATCACTAACACTCTCATACATGCTTATCATCATGTTACAACCATACAACTATAACTACACTGTATGATGCAAAAAGTCTAATGATGTGCTGCATTGCACTTGTAATATACAACATCAGAACTGTGTGTATCAATTATACGTTTTTACACTTAATTTTCAAAAGTTATTGAAGAACGATGCTCAATGTTTCAGCAACAGAAAAGTTTAGGAGAGTAGCTGCAGTGGATAACAATATTGAAAGGACTGGATGGTGTTTAACCAAATTATCTCTCAATGCCTTGAAATTAAAATAATTCAAATTTAGAGTTAGATATGTGACTGTGACCTCCAGTTTTCACTGGACAATCAGCTTGGCAGAGAACGATTATGTATTAAATGATTTAATTAATTGTGAATAAATGAAGAAATTAAACTTAAAATGTGTTTACGTCATAACCGAGCAAAATGTCATATAACCAAACTAGATTTAGTAGAGTAGCCATTTTATTGTAGTTCCGTGAGAGTAGCCTATTGTGTCATGGATTTCATGGCTGTCTACAACTGATGATGTGGCGCCCTCTAGTGCATAATACTGTTAAAGAGTCATTTCAGTTTCGGCTTTACCTCATGCTTTACCTATATGCGGCCACGGATCTATTATTATGCAGCAGGCCTATCCAGTTTTAAAGCATAAATGAGTGATAAGGCATCACTTGTGCTGTTCATAAATACAGTCACCTTGGATCAGTCGCATCTGGGCATTGGCAGGACCAGGGCATGGCTTTATCCTTCGAGGTCACTGATCCTGTGGAGACAAAAACATGTGGCTTACTCATAGACTGTGTATATAAAGGGCTTACTTACTATAATGCAACCGCAACCAATTTACCTATCACGTGCTTCAGACGATTACATAATTTAGAAAATCCCTCTTCGAGTGTTAGTGGCATCATTTTGACCTAGTCTGGAAAGTCAGAAAAGGAAAGCGCCTTGACAGTGAAAAAGCAATAAAGTTTGGAGCCCAGAAAAAGGCGATTTTTAGCGCATTCATGAATTAGTTCAGTTTCTCCTGTCAAAATTCTTTCTCGGACTGGCAAGAAGTTTCCGCCATGGAAGTAATAAATTCACCTCAGTATTAAATTCAAGATTTTTGGTTTCCGCGCAGCAGACTCAGGGGTCAGGGGTCAAGCGCCAAAGGCGGGAGTTTCGAACTTATTTTTCACAACAGGTAAGAGAGCACAAAATTTATCTTTTTTAGGTCACATTTTCTCTTAAAATCAGTAAAGCTATTATCATTTCCCCACACCGTTATTACTACCAAGCTGTATTTTGTGAAAAACTAAGGGAAGTTTTAAAAGGTTTTTTTTTGCTAAGACGACAGCTCAAAACACGTTACACTTGAGAATTGTTTATGGCGCATTTAATTGCTAGATTACTGTGTTTGAAGATGTATTAATTTCCTTTGTTAGGAAAACAACATGATGTTCTACACTCAACTATTTACCTCTAAGAGAGGCCCACTTGCTAAAATCTGGTTAGCAGCTCACTGGGAAAGAAAACTCACCAAAACCCACGTCTTTGAGTGTAATTTGGAAAACACTGTCAAAGATATCATATCTCCTAAGGTAAGTTTATTGTGCATAACGAATTATGTTTTTAAAAGCATAATTATTTCAGAAGTTTCAATCACCTAAACTTATTTCTGTGCTGAATATTTGTACCCTTCTGATCCCAGGGACTTTGTGAATAATGTGCATTTTATCTGTGACTAGATGAAAATTGGTTTGAGGACATCGGGCCATCTTCTTCTTGGAGTTGTGAGGATATACTCCAGAAAAACAAAGTACCTGCTTGCAGATTGTAGCGAAGCTTTGGTTAGAATAAAAATGGCATTCAGGCCAGGTAGGTTTATTTAGACTTTTGTGTTGTCAAATCATAATAGATACAAAGGCAACATCAAACAGTTCATTAAAACTCTTATGTGACATCCATGTGCTGTTTGTTCTCTGCAGGTCAGACTGATCTCCCTGTGGACGGACTTGAGGCTACGGTTAAAGCCATCACCTTAATAGAAGATTTCACAGATTTTGATGCACAGCTGCCAGACCCAAGGTGATGGTAACGTAATTGTGTAGTTATTGTTTTAATTTTTGTTTGTGTTGACATCTAACACTATCTAGCATTGTTTAACACTGTTACTGTATTAACTTAATATGTGCAGTAATATTGACATGGAGGATAATTTTTCACTCAATCAATGTCGAACAGAGGAAATAACTTTAAAGGAGGATTTTGGCAACAGCTTTTTTAACTTTTCAGATTTTGGTGAGAATAACTAATGCAGTTTTCTGATTTGAAGTGCCAAAATCCATAAATCTGTAATGACTTCTGTTATCTTGTTTTTTCTGCAGACATTCAAAGCAACCATCCTGGCCTGCTGGATGTGAGCTTCCAGAGCTTTACTGAACACACAGACACATTTGGTGATGAAGGAAAAGGATATGATATACTTGGTAATGTACCATGTTGTAAAGCTGTTTTCCCAATATGCATAACATTTCACATTTTGATTACATTTGTGACTATTTTTTTAGACTTTCTCACTGACAATAATGAGCAAACGCCTGAAGCTCTTATCCCACAGCTGCCTGAAAAAGATGTTTCTTTCGTACTACATAACCATCAAGGCAATAGGATTTTTACTTTAATAACATGTTTATTAGTGTAAAACTAATAAGAATGTGGCTTTTTAGCAGATGTTGATGAAGATAGAGTAAAAGCAGAACCATCTACAGCAAACGTCACTCTGCTCCCAAATGAGGAGGAGGCCTTTGCTCTGGAGCCTGTACCAGTTACACGTATGTCATACAAACAACACATTTTAATCTCAACTGTAAAATAAAAGTGTATGATTGATATTATCCAGCAACATTTGATAAAAGAAGGGGGACAAGGAAGCGCAAGCTGGTGATCGATGAGGCGAAGCAGCTGACCAATGAGGCCATCAAAGAGCAGCTGTCGGACTATTCGGACCTGATCGCTCCTTTGGACATGGCCCCACCTACTCTACAGCTGATGAGATGGAAGGAAAGTGGCGCCACAGACAAACTGTTCACCCAGCCTTGTTCCAATGTAATCACCCCAGAAATCACTGAGGTACAAAGATGATTTTAGAATTACAATTGGCTTTTCAGGGTGAATATAAATGAAAATATTACATTTTTATAGGTTTTTACTCAAAATATTTTTTACAAGAAATATTACTGCATGCCAGACGATACAGAGACCTTTCGACAGGAGGGAGAGGAGGGTAAGTATCTCTAATGTTTAAGTAGGAATGTCTGTAAGTAGTTCACTAGTTCATTTGAATGCACATTCAATAAATGAATCAATGCAAAGATTTGCAAAGCTCCCGATGCATTTTTTTTTTTTTTTTCATAGTTCACAGAGACATGAGTTCCTTAAATGCAGAGAAATTCAGTGTCACATACTCAACAGTTGAACCTGAAGTCACACACCAATTGGAGCTGACTGACCCCACACTGATGAATGAACACCAACCAGAGAATTCCTCAGAGCATGGAGTAGTAGGACCACGTTTAAAGGATGTTAAATTGCCATTTGTCTCCTGTTGTTTTACACAACTCTGATTATTAGGAGGACAAGTCAGACCTGACCCACCCTGAGCTTCCTTCAGAAGATTCCCTGTTTGTCCAACAATCGCACCTAGAGCAGGAGTCCCTCTCCACATCGCTGTACACACAGGTGCAAATATCTAATAACCATTGTCTAATAAAGTATTGTGGTTCAATTTGTGTATGTCAGATGGCTACTGTTCTTTCCAAAGATGCAGAGGTTTAACTCTAAACATGTATTTTCATGTAGTCTTTGCTGGACAGCCAGGACTTTGGAGAGAGGAGAATAACCCGGCGAGCACAAAAGCTTCTTAGTGCTTTACAAGGCACTCAAATGGTAACCTTCAGTTAATGTTTCTCATACCATTACTACTTACACTTACTTAATGTAATAAAAGCATGCACACATATTATATTTTTCTCCATTCTGCAGAGCCAAAACAACAACCCCTTCTTCAGCTTGAAGGCACTTTGTCAAGGGAGCACTCGGTCCCAGGCGGCCACCAATTTCTTCTGTTTCCTGGTTCTGAAGAAACAACAGGCCCTTAGACTGCAGCAGATCGCCCCCTATGAGGACATCCTGGCCACGCCTGGACCCAAGTTCTATGACTGAAATGAAATTAATTGCCTTTGTTAGAATTGATTTAACTTCACACCACGCTACAGTTTCAGCTTGTTTCACATTTACAGCTTTGATTACTGTGTGACTCGGGTGTATGTAAATGTTGGAATAAACATTTACTGGTAATATCTAATATTTATAATTCAATTTTAACACTAATTTAAAAGCTGTTCTAACAGTTATGTTCTTAGCTATGTAAGTAACTACAAGTTGTTCTTTGGGGACTTAAATGTGTTTGTTACATTTTTGTTTGTGGAAAAGGTTTTGTATTAAATATCTGTTCCAGTGTAATTAAACCACCACCCCAGGAAAATACCCGTGTTATGTGTTCACTAGGAACAGATTGTGGTTCAACTTTGCTTGGCGTGATCTGTTTGGGTCTCGTGTTACTGTCACTTTAAGAAACTGCGGTACAGCTACAGCAGTTGCCTGATTTCATCTTCGGCTCCATGGCTGCGGGATGGACTCTCTGCTGCTGCACCACCGGGGACGCTCTCCTCCGTCAAGTCTGCTACAAACCGGGGCTCGTGCGCGAAGTTCCACATGGAGTAATGGTAGAATACAATGTAAGTTTCCTTTTATGCGCCTATAATAAACAGATATGATTTGTCATTTTAAAGAAGCTGCCGGGTATCCTTGTTGGTAAATAAATAGGACACATCTGGGGCAAGCGCCATCCATTCAATCGCCCGATTAATTATAGTAAATGAAATTTGTATGGGATGACATGCAGCGTCCCATAGAAGCCTTGTACAGACAGAACGCTGAAGGTTGCAATGTTGTACAAGTGTTCTCGGTTGATTTAATCAACATTTCTCACTCAAAATCGTTACGTTTGTCGCTTATCTAACACTGCTTTAGCTACTTGTCATAGCATCGTGATGACCAGTGCAAAGACATATTCTTGAAGAGACAATGCAAACAGTTTCATGTTAAACAAATGGCACTCTTTGTTCCGGAATACTTTTATCCGTTCAGATTGACTCCGTACCCGCCTCCGCCAACGGTGACTTACACTTACGTAACAGGATTGCGTATTTTTCGCCAGTAACGCACTTCACACCTGTTGCGCAGAGATGGGACTGAGGGAGGTTACATTTAATGTCTCACTGCCCTAGAAATTAAATTTAGGACGAACAGGGGGCAATGGTAGTTCAAACCTATTCTACAAACCCAGTCTTCAACTATATGCTCATATATAAATGAATATGAACATTTTGTACTCATATTTTCATAAGCAATTGCAAATTTATTGTCAGATCAATGACTATAAACTACAATTCTATAGACTATATTTAACAATTCAATACAATACAATTCAGTGTGTATTATTTCAATATTTTAATCAATCTTTATTTTCAATGTTACAGGTGATGCAAACTTGTTTTGAGGGTTGCTAGGATCCTCCTACAAATACGCCAAGAACTGTATAGGACCCTCAATGTCTCTCACTCCCAGTAGGAAGCAGTCCTCTTGTCAGAGCAGGTAGAGTAATGTTCTCTGACTCTTGCAATTCAATGCAGAAATTGATCAAACAGTCATGATATACTTTCTTTGAAGGCGTTCTGTGGGGACCAGTGGTAGCAGATATACACAAAGTGATGGCTCAAGTACAAACACTTACCCTGGTCGAGGGAGAGCAGTGGAGGGCAGCCCCACAGCCAGGACTCACCCAAGTACACCAAGGTCAGAAGTTACATTCACAACTTTTGGTTTTCACTTGAACACAAATAAACCATCTCTTGATGCAGGCGCCAGGCCAAGTATGGACCCTGCAATGAGAACCATGGGATCAGGGTTCCCACTCCAGAGCAGTACCTCACACCCTTACAGCAGAAGGAGGTGTGCATACGCCACCTACGGGCCAGGCTCAGGGAGAACACCGAAAGATTACAACACAGGTCAGCAAGAATATCTGACCTGGTTATGTAGGGTCTGTGCATCCTTGTAGATTTTCCTATTTTCCTACTATTCTACTACTACTTTTCCCTATATTTGTAGATGAACCTTTTTAACTGCAATTCTAATGAGCTGAGCTCAGAGATGTATAATGCTTTTTTATTGAATGTTTGTACAGAATTTTGGGTCACAGAAGTTAATGTGCTATAGAAATAAATTTGACATTGGCAATGGTCTGCTTCAACCTCTCTCTCAAGCATGTGTTGTTGTGTCCCTCCCTTGGCAATGTGCTTTGACAATAAATACAGTATGTGGCTGGTTGGCAGGAATGCCATCATCTGGAGTAAAAATTCAACGCAACTTTATTTTGGTTAGATTTTATAAATCATTTCTAATGTACTGCATGATGTATATTTTTACAGGGACTTTGAAATAGATGATTTAAGGACCCAGTTGTACAGAATGCAAGAGGAGTGGATAGAAGGGGAATGTCATCGTGTGGAGGCACAGCTGGCTCTGAAAGAAGCACGCAGGGAAATCCAACACCTTCAGGAAGTGGTTGAGACTGTGAGGTCCAACCTGGGGGTCCGGGCTGCAGATCCCCACGACAATAAGCCATATACCATACAGGCAGCCCGGCCCGGGGGCAGATCTCGCTCCTGTGGCTGCTCGCCTGCAAGTACTTTGAGCCGAAATACCACTCACAAACGCATGAGTACTGAAACTCTACATCCAGACCCCAATGGAGCAGCAAGACCATCAGGACAAACCCACCTGCTCTTGGAAGCTGCCCTATTATCAGAGCACCTCCCATCTCAAGGAGGACTCTTACAGACATCTCCAAATGTTCCTCACTCCTCCTCCTTTGACAGACTCTGCTGTGGTGGTGCGTTACTACCATTGTCTCACTCCTGCCACAGCCTCAGTACAGCCTGTAGATGCAATGGACACAGCTACCTACCCCATCACCACTTATTTCTGCATTTACCCCAAGAGGAGCCACCACTTACAGTAACAACTACCATGTCTGACCCTATCCCGACATCTACTGCCCCCTCTGACAGAAAAACAGAGGTACGCTCTCAGGCCTGCAGCCCAACTATGACTTGGCTCAAAGACAGCAGTGTAATTGAAGAGATCAGTGTAATTTCTTTATCAACAACAACCGATCTGCCACCGTCAGAACCACCAACGCTACAACTGTCCTTACCTCGTGCATCCCCCATTCAGAATTTAGACAGTGTAGACTCCTCAGCTCATCATATTACAAAAGACCAGGCCAAAAACACTGTTACTACTGTTAGTACGCCCCAAATGACTCAACCACACTCCACAATTCAAAGTCCAGACAAACATGAAAGCACAGAAGCAGACAATAAGGAAGAATCTGTACAAGAGGATACGGAAAGGGTACCTCCTCAGCGTTACCATTGGAGTCGCTACTTCCTGGTCGATCTTCTAGCTTTAGCGATGCCCGTGGTCCCGACTATGGCATGGCTGTGCAGGGGGGCCCCACGGGATGATATGCCTGTATATCACATAGGCTCCTTGCTCAGAGGTTGCTGTGCAGTGGCTCTTCATTCTCTTCGACGGCAGGGTGCAGGTAGGGGAGGAGGAGGTGCTTCTAACAGTCTAAACGGGACAACGTAGGAACTGGAATTGGGTAGTAATGAGGTACATGTACTCAGCTACATGTACATGAGTGACTTTTTTGAAGAAATTGTACTTTTTTGCACATCATAATACAATTTACCTCTAATTGAGTAATGTTATTTTTCAAGTAACAGTAATTGAAAAAATGAGTCAGTGCCAAAAGCTTCATGCTGGCAATAAGAGAGGATTACTACTCTTAGTAGTAATTCAAAGGGTCTATTCTTTGTTATTTAGAATGTTCTCATGGTTTTATGTTTTGGCTGTCTAATTAATTTGGACAAATTTGTTAGTTGTAACACATACATCTGATATATTTGTCTTTTTTCTCTTTCTATGCTTTGATTGCTTCTTGAGTTAATAATTGTCTGTGTAGTCATATTATCTATTCTTTTATATTAATGCAATATATGTATGTTTTTTTCCATAAATATTCAGACTGCTACTGCCTGCTGCTTGCATGTAACCCCAATATGATTGTTTATTTTGCCATGAAAAGCTGCTTGAATAGTACTAAGCTACAAAAGTAGGTTTAGAATCAAAGTAAATATGATCCTAGTAACACATTTAGTTTGTTTGACCCTGGATGCTTATTCATAATAGACAGTAATAGCATATTTAACTTTTGTATTTTGGCTTTTTAATAATTTCAAATGATGAAATTCACAGATTAAGGTCACTGAAAATTGGTACTAAGTTGTGTATTACTGATGAAAAAACTAACTGTAATAATAACAAGCTATTTTTATTTAAGGCCTGTCTTTTTGTGGAACCTAGTGGAATCTAAAAAGTGAAATCAGGCTAAAGGGTTGACATGGTAATAGACATGTTCTGTCTCTAAAAATGAATGTTAAAATAGCACATTTCTATTGTATGCATTTTGTTCTTGCACAGGGCTTATAATGCAGTAATGATGAGGGAGGACTTTGAAGTGGTAGGTTTAATAATTTTTAATGATGCAAAAAATGTTTTATTTATTTTATAAAACTGTGCAAGAAGCAGACAAATCACAAAAACAACTGTAAACCTTGTAACAACACAGCTTTAAATAAAATAAAGATTCTGTTCTAATTCCAAATTGTGCTTTAATGTTCTGTCCAAAAGTGATAAACCAGGTCAATCTATTATGCTTTTTAGAAAATTTTATAATTTAAGATTGTAGACCTTGAATGGAAATACATGACAGGATTGTTGTATGTAGTAGTTCCCTGCCTTCTCTGTATGCCGCTGTAATCAAACCATACATCAAGTTGCTTGTACTTTGATATTATTAAACAATATAAATTTAATGTTACATCCTTGGATATTACACCCACGAGATGGTAGACTCGACCTTGGGCTCAAGTGGGTAATGGCCCGCATTTTTTTCTCTGGTAGTCCTCTTGTCATCTGCTGAAGGATGATGAACATTTGGATGGACAACACATTTGGGTCGACTGTACTTTCCAGCAGCATCATTTGATTTGTTCATGTTTACTTTATCTATAGAAACAGTTGCATTGGGAGTCACAGTAGCACATAAAGTTTCTTCTGAAGTGCATTCCCTTTGGTCCAATGAGGAAGATAGCACCATTGAACTGGACAAATTAAAAGGAAATCATTCATTACATTTGTAGTTTAACTTTTTGTTTACCCCTTATGTTCCCTATGTCAGATGTCCTTCACAAAGACTTTATTTATTCCATAACAGCCAATAGTTTAAAGCAAAATATTTTCAAGAAGCATTTTATTATCTTTGAATGGTATACATAGGAAGATTTTTATTTCAAAGTGTTAATTTACTTCTATGAGCTCTTAAATTTGATTACATTATTAATAAAGCATTTTTTAACTAAAAAAGACTTACTCAACAGTGGTGATGTGCTCCTGCATCTTTGAGGACTGTCGCTCGTTGACTGGGTAGAAGAGGAACGCTAACATCCCCAAAATCAGTAGTGCAATAGGGGCAGGTGAAAACAAAACAATTAGGGCGGTCACCACTTCATCGCTGTGGTTACATGCTCCTGGTTTGTAGCCCACAAATCTGCAAGGACAGAGAAGAGGAACAAATCTATAGTAGTAGTAGTAATATCAGTTGTTTTTAGATGGAGCGTTTGTTTTTCTTTTCTCCATGGAGAAAAGAAAGTTTCAGATGCTCCACCTCCATGGCTGATTTGCCTGTAATTTTCTACAGTTGTAATTGAAGAAATGAAAGATAAGTTTATGCCATACTGTGGAACAATCAAGGAAAGCAATAAGATTTTCATAAGACAAGCATCTGACACTAACTAAATGCACCAGAAAACGTATACATAGTGCACTTTTACATTTTTTGTAAAGATTTGTGAAGTCATCTGGTACCGTGTATCTAAAGTGAGGCTATAGTCAAAACAAGTTATATTCGACTTGAAATCAGTGGAATAGAAAGTACACTTTCACTAAAACCTATTGTAAATAAGTAAAAGTAGCTTTTCAAAACTAAGTGAATATTTGGAAGATTTCATAAATATTATTACTTTCTTCCACTGAACTCACTGTAATGTCATGGTGGAGACTCCAGCAGCGAGGCCTCCTGCCAGTTTATTACAGAAGGCATAACAGGAGAAAAACAGAGGCTCCAGGTCTGTACATTTGGGGTTTCTCACTGTAAACTCATCCACCACATCAGGAAGCATGGACCTGCAGCAGAAACAGTAAAGTAAGCTTTATATTGTATGCATTTAGGATAGAAGTTTATGTCTTGATGACATAGATAAGGGATTCTTTTTTAGGGCTCACTGTTACTTCTTGTAATCCTCAAACTGCCAACTTAACTCACCAAACAACATAATAATTACAAACCTGTCATATGCACTAACTCTAACCCAATATTCAGTGTCACCTAACTATCGGCACCCCACTTGTCCTACAACTTGGTTTGCTCAAAAAAGTTTTATAACTAAAATATAGATAGTTTCTTTAATTCAGTTTAAATATTTAAAATGATTCATGATGACTAAACTAAACACATGTCAGACTGAACAGAACCTTCATATCAGGATTCAAATTATAAATCAGATGTTACGTCCAGACAGTTACTCTTACTTGAGTAGTAGTTTCCCCAAATACTTGTTTTAAGCAAGCAATTCCTTGTACCACTAGTTTAAACTTCTATTTAAGTAATATTATTTTTATTTTACTTAAGTATAATTTTTGACAACTATACCCACCTTTGTGGCTTAGTAACATGAGACAAAAAGTAATGACTCATATTAGAGAAATATATAATATTATTTGATGTTATGCTATGCTGTGATGACTCACTCCTGTAGATGCATCACAAAAGAAAAATGACTCACCAGGGAAGAAGGAAGACTGTAGCCACACTGAAGCCCATCACAACACACATGATGATGAAGACTGTCAGATTACTGGGAACACAGGCCACTAGGATCACAGCTGGAATGAAGAGCTGGAAGAGACACAACACAACCATATTGACAGCCAACAGAAAGCAACTTAAAACTATTATCTATAAGTACATATCTGTGTTTATGTCTTACTGTTAATCCAATAAAAACAGTTGGCTTTTTCCCAATTTTCAGGAGAACAACTTGCCAAATTGGAACAGCTATCGAGGCAGAACCCTGGGGATAAAGCTGTCATTTATGCAAAACTTGATAAATGTAATGGTTTAATACAGAATTAAGTAGTTTTAAACCACCATCCACTTTTCTCTGAGCTAAAGGCAAACAAAGCAGGTGATACAGTGCTGTATTTGTAGAGACAGAGACAGTAGTGTGACAGAAGATAGGTACTTGATCTGAATGCAGTAACTCCTAGAATTTTTCAGGTTCTTATGACATCATTAGAAAAATACCAAATTGCAAGTGAGGTACAAGTACAAGTTTAAAAAAATATACTCCAAAAAGTACAACTGGAAATCCACACAATTGCAGTAACATAGCAAGTATTTTTATTAGTAGTTACTATTTCTGCTCCTGTAAAAAGGGTTATACTGGGGAGAAAATTATTAAAGTGAATGCAGCTTTGTATAGATTTGTGAATGGTATATTGTATGTCGCTGGATCCATCTTACGAGTAAAACCAAAAGGAGGTGCTGAAAATTCCCTCCAAGCCCAGCAGCGTGACTGCAAAAAAGTGCAAAATTACCCAGGGAGATCTAAAGAGAGACAGATGGAGGACAAAACATTCAGTAGTTGACTTGATGCCAGTATTTAAGCATATATTTTGGGCACCATTAAGTAAAAGAAGAGCCTAGTTTAAAATGTACCTGATAAGCCAGTGTGCTGATTGTGAATCCAAGCACAAGTCGATGGTATGGGACAAAACGCACAAGTAATTTAAATGAGGTCAAAAAGGGAAGTCGGGTTTTTGCGTCACAGCTATCAGGAGCTGTCAAACAAAAGGTGTTATTCATTATCTACATAAAATATTGAGTCTTTTGTGGCTTACATCTCTGCTCCTTAACTCCCAGGAAAATGACAAGGCTACAGAGGAAAAATATGGCCGCAATCCCCAACGCTGAGGTCAGAAAGGCTCTTCTCTGTAGATACAGGGCACAGAGACATTATGTGTAGTACAGTACTTTTACCATGTTATATTCTTCTTCAGGAGTAATTACATGTTATGTTTTACTTAAATGTGTTCAGCCCCATTGTATTTAGTTGTCATAACCTTTGAACACTGCCACAACAATATGGAAATAAACTAAAAGAATTTAATACTTTTCGGGGATACATGTGGTGGTGATCTCTCAAGAGAGATAAATAAATTGAATCTCATACTGTGACGCATTCTGGGCAAAGCAATAACATTTCTATAGATATAAGCAGGTAGCAAATCCTTCACCCAAAATTTACATAGTCCATCTTTAAAGTATTTTTGTCATTAATATTACTGATGTAATTTACATACTGTGTGCGGTTCACACAGAGACTTTTTTGTATTGTGGATGTTGTTTACTAACGCAACAGAGTGGAACAATATATATTAATATTCCACTAACAATAACTTGTGAAGTAAAAGCGCACACAGTATGACAACAATGACTATACTTTTTGAAGAACAGAAGATTATAGTGTAACTTAATACCCCTGGGATAGTGAGGACAATAGATTTCTGACAGATACTTAAAGAAAGATGAATGATATTGTGTTCTTTATGGTACCGTTCCTTGTAGTAGTGTTGGAGAAGATGTGCTCTGTGCTGCTTCTTGAGCCTGATCCAGTTCTTCACAGTTTTTCTGTTTTTCATTGTTGTACACAGCCACAACTTGACCCTGAATTATTGAAGCTACTAGCATAGCCACCATCTCCACACTCATCCCTGCCATTATTCATAAAGAAAGAAACACAGAATTAGCTTCAGATTCAGATTGATGTTTTATTGTATTTTAAGGACACTTTTAATCTTGAAAGAAATAAATTTATTTTTATACAAAGTAATCATGACATCAAACTGAGAGTATCTTGTGTGGTGTCTTAACCAGACATTTAGATATTGTATGTAATACTAGTTTAGTCTACAGACTTTTTAGTAGTATTGTTCATTTATTTATTTTTATTAAACTTGTTAAGAATGTTGCAATTAAAGAATCAATAAGTCCAAAACTTTCTCTCCATTGGCAAATCAATTTTGCTGTAATAAAAATTATAATTACTGTAACACCACCATTAAGTTATCAAATCTTGACCTGCAAACTACTGTAACGAATATGAAATGTTCCAAAACAACATAGCTATTGTGAATTCATAATATATTAACATCATTATATATTTTTGCAGTGAAAGTCTGAGCTCACTCACTGTAGGCTGTGGCAGAGTCTCTCTCTCCCTTCGTCCCGCCCAGGAACATGTTCAGTGAGAGGTACGGTACATGGAAGCACTGGTAACAAAAATATGGGAAAATATGACTTCAGAACATTTGACTGGGACCATAGAGCATTGCTATTACTAACATAATAACTGTCTATGGGTCAGACAAAGAATGAATATAATAGATTACGAAGATGTCACAATAAAATTAAATTGAATACATAATACTGAAAGACTGAAATTTATACTTACTTCAAATTATATTTTTATAGTATATGATAATGTTATGTTCTTTCTATTTTACCAGATAATAGCTTAAATTAAAGCTGCACTATGAAACTTTTCTGGCGGAGGGCCTGTTACCTGCTTGTCTCCATAGAGTTGCATGGGATTTCTCTATCTTGCATTTATTCAGTTACAGAAGTTTTTATTGGTAAAAGAAAACACATTCAAAACATGTACCTTTAAGCATTATTGTTTCTATTAAACCGTATTATAGGCCTATAGAGTGCTGTGATGTAATCTTAAACCCATATATTAAAAATAAAATGAAAAGGATAATTTAAGTATACTACCCACACTCATCAAGGCCTCAAATAGACAGGTCACAGTGAGGAACCACACCACAATCTGAGGGGCAGACATGGAGGCATGAGGCACAAACCACAGCAGCACATAGGACATGATGGCAAATGGAGTGGACAGAACCAACCTGGTCACGAACATAAGAGACAAGTAAAGGAAAGGTTTAACACTAGCCTTAAAGCGACATTTGCTAACCCAATCAAAAACGTTTGAAGAAAGTTTTTTATAATGTTTTTTAATAGCAGGTATCTGAAATTGTAGATTGTGGCAGAAATATTGTAAAAGTTTTCTAAAGTGGAGTGCAGTCAACATAATATTAATTATATTTTAAAATAGCACTTTCTGTTTTTGCAAATTAAATCTTAAAATATCTTGAAATATAATAATAATCATGGCACAAAAGGTTTGTGAGGGCATTTTTGGAGAACACAATTTCTCAATAAAAAGCATACTGTGAGATTAAAACCGGAAGAATATTGTACAATGAGATGAAGATATTGACTCCTTACCATGGAGATAGTTTGCCAATGGGGGTCCAGTGGCTACGACTGACCAAATATCCAATCAGGGGGTCTGTCACTGCGTCCCAAGCCCGACTCACAAACAAAATTAAAGAGACATAGAAAGCTTCCATCTGTGACAATAAGAGCATCAGCACAACTTCAATTACTTCACTTTCTTAAATTATGGGCTCAAAACTCAATTCTCTGCCACAATAATACAGCAATATGACCTAGCTAGTTAGAGCTATTGATTGACAGTCATATCTCATAACATGGGCAATTTAATGCTGAAACAATCCACAAAAAAAAGGAATCAAATAAGTCTATAGAGAAATTATATCAAACTCTAGCTCTAAAATGGCATATGCAAATTAATATAAAATACATAATAAAATGTAAACATTGCGTGGTTTGCCATCTGTGTTTCTGAACCTTTGAGTTCCAGGGACTAATTTGTTTAAAGTTCACTCGATGTAAACCTATTTGTTTTTCCCTTCAAGATACCAGTATTCATTCCTTGTCATACCTGTACAACATCCAGAAGAAAAATTTGCAGCGACACACCAATGGCTATTGTGGTCATTTGATATGGGACCCCACCTAAAGCATAGCAGAGCTTCCTCTTCAGTGAAATGCCCTTAGATTTCTGAAAAATCACAGAAACACAGGGGACAATGACTAAAATACAAATACATTATAAGTATCTAAGCCTAAACCTCAACTGTAGGACATTAAAACCACTAAAATGCCAAAAACAGATCAAAATACATGAGTCATACTACCTGCTGCTGCTGGCCACAACAGAATGACTTTCGGACCACAGCCTGTTTGAACACTCTCTCCTTACATCTCAAGATAAAGTCAGTAAACAGTGTGAGAGCAGCCATTATTTATAAAAATGTAGAAAACAGTAAAACTAAAACAATAAGTGAGTTTCAGTCTTCCAGCAGCCAATGTGCACTAAACTCAAGCTCCGCAGTTTTGAGCAGGAATCCAGTTTGACAACTAGATTAGTCGAGTCTCTGATTCAAGTGTAGGGCTAAACACACTTTAAAGAACTATACTGCTTATAACTAGAATAACATACAATTCATGTTTTAAAATCATAATATTTTAGACACATTCAGGGGTAGTGAAGAGGCGACCCCATACACTATGAGAATGCATATTTTTCAAGGTTTTGAGCACTAAAACCTGTAATTTGTAATTGACTAAACATGAGATAGGTGGGTTTAATACCACTGCGGAATGTTCCAGGCAAAGCAATAATAGCTCTATGGAGACAAGTGGACCCCATATTAGACCCCATCAGAAAAGTTGCACAGTACATCTTTAACACTTGGAATGAGATTTAAAATCATTACCTTTTAACCAGACAAAAGACAATAAAATGTGAGTGATGTGTGGACATTTAAAGTACTAAAAAGTTTATGTCTTTATTAATAGCTTTAACAGCTTTGTTTGACACCTGACCCCTTGTGGAAAGGTTGTGAACTTCTACTTTAAAGCGCTTCAGCACTTATTTCACTTGTGATTTCTGACTAAAACGTTGGCATCAGAAGTTAGTACTGGGAGTTTGAAAAACTAAAATTCAATTATTTACTTACATCATGAATCTTTTATTGTGATACAACTGACATAGTACCAGACTTAACAGCCTCAACAATACAACAGCCCCATTATGGGACAAAACTACATTTTGAAACAACTTTTGAAATCTTGAACACAAACTGATCATGAACAAAAAAGAAAACATTTTGGTCTCTGTAATCTGGGAACATAATACATTTCTAACAAATTTTTTTGCTTTTCTTAATTTACCAATGCAGCCACTTGATAACTTGCGCCCCATTATGAGACAAATTCAAAGGCTTAAAATAATTCTTAATGAACAGAACTGTGACTCAATGGAAAAAAAATCTGAAGATGTAGATGAACACATTTTTTTGTCCCTGCCTTTTTGTACCAAATCAAGTAATCATAGTTAATTACACATTTTTACATTATTTCTTACAAATTGGTGCTTTTGTTTGCACTGTCCTTTGCCTGACGTAACCCATAAAGCCACTTAATAACTCGTGCATTTCTTTCAATGACAGAAACACCGTATGGGACTCGCGGTGCTGCATTTCCAGTGCTCTCTTCCTCTTCCTCTTCTTCCTCCTCCCGTCCTGACGCTCCGCATTCAGAACCAGGAGCACTTACACTGCGGAAACGGGCCAAAGACACAATGTCCGAGTTAGATGCAGTCAGGTCCCGTAAATCCGAAGGGTCCAATCCGCACAGGTTAAAAAAGCGTTCCAGCTCTGTGCCAGCTCTGGAGAAGCGGTCACTCAAATCTGATTTAGAGCGAGTGAGAGAAGGCCTCTTCCTGGCACTAGAGGAAGAGAGGCGGGTGAAAGCCGGGGATGGTGGGGCCAACAAAGGGGTATCAGGAGGAGCAAGAAGGGCAGGAGCAATGATAGGGGCAGGAGGGGATTTGAGTGGGGGTGTCAAGGGAGCGTTTTCAGGTTTTGGAGGTATAGCAATCACAGGTTTGAGAGGAGAGGGGGCGGGAGGCGTTCTAGGGTGAAAGAGGCGTGTTCCGTGGAGCTGGGAGTGTAGCAGGATGGGCTGAAGGGGCAGCCTAATGAACTGAGTTGGTCTAACAGGAGGGCGAGCTGAGCCAGTCTGGGGCACGACGTCCACTCTGCGCACTGTCCCAGCTGCTGGAGGGGTGGGGGCACTCTCCTCTCGAGGTGGTGGTGGAGATTTGAGCCTCACCTTGGCGGGACTGGACCAGTCAGGGCGTGGAGGCGGACATGGGCGCTCCTTCTTCTGTGGAGAAACAGTCTCTGAAGGCTTTGTGTCCTCTGCACTGAGCTGAGGTCCATCGCTCACATCACTGATCAGGCTACTCAGGTGCTCCAGGTTCAGCTGGATGCTCTCCTTTGTCTTTGCTGGGATGGGGGTCTTTCTCATCGGCTGCAGGGCAGAGCAGGGGCTCAACAGAGCTCTGGTCACATCTGTCGGACGCACTGGCTGCTGCTTACACAGAGCCACCTGGCTCTTCACATATTTAGCTTTGTCTGCCTCTAGTCTTTCTACTGCACTCTGCTTAGGCCTCCCAGTCGCAGCCAGGCCCTGCCGGTACAGCTCTGGAGCCATGGGGGCTTTGGGCCGGAGACGGGGGTGTGTGAATGTGACCACTGTCCGAACGGGACGCTTCACTGACTGTGGGAGAGTTTCCACAGGCATCATGTAAGCAGAGGAATACAGCTTCTACTTCAACTTTGTTGCAGTGTTCACAGGACAGAAACTCATTGCTTCATCATCATCATCATCATCTTCTGAGCTACTGTGGCATGGTCCGCTTAAATCTTCCTGGAAAAGAAAGACTATCAATATTAGTCAAACAAGAAGGAGGACAGTAACAGCACATATTTTTAAGAGCTTACAATCTTTGCCTTACTTCTCCAAAACTATGACATTTAACTTCACCAACACACTAAGAACTTCCTTCTTTTGTCAAGCAGCCAATCATGTGGACTTTCACATACTTCCTATGAGTTCATTGGCTGCTGGCACAATCACTTTTAAACAAGCACTCCGAGCCATCAATCTCCCAGTAGACGAATGGACAATTAAAGTGACACTTCCTTTTTAGAGGGAGCTGAGGGGCCTGTGAACAGAGGACAAGTGCGTGGGTGGGTGTGTGAGTGGGGATGGGGTGTATCTGGACAGTTGTCAACAGACCATTGTCTGCAGGCACCACTCCAACAGCTGCTGTGGGAACAATGACTCCTAAACTATATAAGTGAGTTGCCTAGGATAAGGTCTTTGAAATACAAGTCCTACTGGGTTAAGCAAAGTAATAAAAAGAAAGTGTTGACGTCTAACTGGTCAACTCATCCCTTACAGTGGATAGTTTTATATGGTGAGCTCAACAAATGTGTGCCCGATTTGCTGACAAGGCTAATGAAAGTGTCTGTAAATAATCATATGTTGAAATATCACTTTAAGAGTCTACATCTGCTAGTCACATTCTCCACATATTTGTCATTCCAGGTGGAGGTAGGCCAAACTCTAGCTGATAATGCTACAGAGTTTCTTCCAGAGTTCATTCTTATCTGCCAAGAGGTCTTAATAACTCAACAGTTAACAAATACGAAATCTATGTATAGAAGACACAGCTAAGGATATTATTAACCTACCATGCTGTTGGCTTACACACCATATTGGAATGTCAAGTGGTGGGTCAAACAAACAAAAACAGACATTATAGGCTGCAAGTCAAGTGCTAACACGTTTTATAACTGGAATAATGAACGTGAGCAATACAGAAGTGGAAAAGACAGAAAATTATAGAGGTCTAAACTTTTAATATAAGCCACAAACAATGTTGTAGACTAAATGTAAACACACAAGAGGCCTATAAGCTAGCGTGGTAAGGCCCGTAGTCTTGCCCTGACAAGCCTGCAGCAGCCCACTTCTTTCTTTCTTTCAAGGTGGTTCCCGGTACGTTTAAGTTCTCGATATGTTTGATTTAGAGCGTAAAAAACTCACCTAAACTTCTGAAGTAGATCTGGGAGCGACTCTTGTTTGTGGTGTAGACAGAGGTAAAAAGGTCGAGTGGCAGAAGCGCGGTGGAGGAGCGTGAAAGTAAATTGTAGCCAGTGGCCACTTAGCGACACAAGACAAGACAAACCTGTTTGACAACTCACGTGTGCGCTCCTAGGACGGCCCCTCGGCTCTCATTGGTCCACTACCTATCGCAAACACGGAAGCACTTACCTTTGAACACGTTTCTCTTTGTTGTTTCTCTTTCCATTTCTTGTAATAGTTTATATGGTTAGATGTAATTTGACACTGATTTTGTAACCGTACTCGAATCTGAATGACTGACTTGCATAATTTTATTGAAATATAAATGTAGGCCTATTATAATTTGTTAATTAAAAAAATAAATAAATGCACCACCTGTCCTTGATATTTTATTCTGTCCTGGTATATATTTGAAATAATAAAAAATAAATAATTAATAAAATAAATCTGTTAAATAATTTATTACTTTATTTTATTAACCTAATTAACCTAAATTACTGAGGTGATTTTTCATTCACAATACATTGCTTGCACATCAGAAATAAGACTATAAAAAACATATCCTCAAGGCAAATAACCCCACACCAAATATATAAAAATATGCTTCTGAGTTGGATAATTAACAATAAACTTCGTACAAATCTGTTACAAATGCAACACAAAAGTAATAGTTATTTACAGCACAAAGGCCACACCACATTGCACTAAAACCATACAGTAATTTAAAAGAAACTGTATTCTTTCACAACACTATAGCCAGTGTATATCATGTGCATAAAACCACCAAGTATCTCGTCAGTTTGCCGTTGGACTTTGCATATGTAAATATAGTTATGTTAAACAGCCCACTGTAACACACCTTTAGTTCAAACAAACTTAAGACAGACTTGGCTTGACTTACAAATACTTTGTCACAAATCATACATGAATACAAAGTTTTCTACAAAATTATTTAGTTACAGAGGTGTCCTGAGTATTTCTGGATTGGTGGCTGCATTTAAAGTAAAGGCAGTTATCAATATCAACAGGTAGTTGTATGTACTAAGATTTTTGATTATTTGATGACGTTTCAGCTTTCATCTAAGGGGTTTCAACTAAAACAGTAGTATGTAGTAGTTGGCAATACACTTCCCCTTTCAGAACCTTTTCTTATTCTACTTGGTTTTATGACTATGTCAGACCAGAGATCCCAAGAGTATTTGGTTAATCAGTAATCATGATTATTCAGGTCACAATATTATATGAGGGGAAAAAATAATTGTGACCAATTCAGAAGAAAAATTAAGTATTTCCATTCTATCTATTGTTCAAAAACTACGATTAGAGTGCATTATTTATCTAGCTGTTCATGTCACATTATCACTAAGAAAATTTGATTGAATAAAACTGGTCACATACTAGAGGAATGGCAATATTAGGCATGAGAAGTGACAGGAAGGATTTCACTGTTGTTTGGTCATGGTGTGAATAATTGTGAATAATCATTAAATTATAGTGTTTTTCTGTAATTGTAACGTAAACATTTTATATTGTGACATCCCATACCAGATGTGATCGCTCCATACATACTCTGCATCTACTCATTCATAAGAGGTTAGGAAATGGCACAGTTTTTATCTTTGTCTTTCGCCCCGAGGCTGTGAGCCCTTCTGCGCCTGAAACTCCCGCGAAATCCACTTTCTTTGGGTCCCTCTTTGCTCCCAGGTGGAGGTATCGGTGTGCTTTGCTGGTTCACTCTGAGCTGTGGGGGCAGGGGAATAGGTTTTCCCAAAAAGTATCCTTCCTCCTCTGAATCTGAGGATGAAGAGCATGTTGAGCAGGAGTCCTCATGTTTGCAGTGTCCCGTTTGAAGACTGATAGACAGAGAGTGGGATGAACCTCGGATTTCCCTTTCTCTCTCTCCTCTGTGCTCCAGTGAGTCCAGTCGGGGGCGTTCAGATCGGGAACGTCGGTGCCGTCTTTCCGACCCCATGAGGACAGAAGGGTCAGAAGGCACACGGGAGTGACCCCAGCCTCTACGACGGCTGCGGTGATGGTGCGGTGAACCATCTGATAAAGAGAATACATGTCTGATTTATATTGTTTAATCCTATACAGTTTTATAAAGCCTACAAAGCTTTGGGGGCACGAGTGCTACTTGGATATACAAAAATTATGCAGAATTGTCCTTTTGGTAGTCTTCAGTGTAGGGACCAGTCTCAAATACAAAGTAGGAAAAAACGGAGGCACTCAAAAAGTACAAAATAATTAAAAGCCTTTAATACCACATGGCAGATAAAGTTAAAATCACGCCAACGCGTTTTGGCCCTTGGGCCCTTTGGCCTTCATCAGGAAGATTTTAACTTTATCTGCCATGTGGTATTAAAGGCTTTTAATTATTTTGTACTTTTGGAGTGCCTCAGTTTTTTTTACTTAGTTTTATAAAACCTTTATAGAACATTTTCATTAGTCTTGAACCATATTAATGATTATTTCAATTATATTTTAATGCATAAAAATACACATTTAATTGGTTGTGCTCTGTCGTATGACATTTTGTGATTTTTTTTTACAGTCCTTGCATTATTGTCTTCTAGTATTAATTAGGGTTTGTATATAAAACAATGAAGAAAAAACAGTTACCCAGCAGATCCATTTGAGGTGGAATGCCCTTCTTTAGATGTAACCTGCTTCCAAATACTTCCTGTGTTTGATCATCCTCCTCCTTGTCATAAGGCTCTTCTTCCTCCTCCTCCTCCTCCTCTTCCTCCTCCACAGAATAGCTGCTGCTGATTGGCTCCCTGAAACTGACCCGGGTTGTTCCACCGCGGGACAGGAGCGTGGGGGAGTCGGAGGGTCGCTCAGTAGTCACATTCACAGTGGGAGACTCTCTGTAAACGAGCTCATGGGACTTGGTGGGCAGAGGAGGAGGCAGCTCAGAGTCAGATGGAGGTAAGTCAGGCGAGTCCTGATGGTTTTGGGATGGAAATGCTGAAAGTAGACCAGAGATTGTTAAGTTAGCATCGTTTGTGAGAACTTTTTCTATCATGTTTAAGTAATGTACCTTGATTTGTCTTTTCCACCCAAGCAATACAGTCTTTAGTGGTGGAAGTCTCTCTTGAATTGATACAGGTAAGTGGATGTCCAATGTCTCCATTCATTCTGTTCTCATTTTCGGAATAGTTAAAGTGAGGACTGTCACAGCGTCCTGGTGGTACACCATAATGTGTGATATCATGGGGCCAGGAGGGCCCCCTTCCGTTTGCCAGGTGTATGTGTGGGAGAGGGGTGTACGTGCCTCTGGAATGAGGGTGACGGGATAAAGGTGCTCCATTATGTTCTATAAAAGTGTAGTGTGGGCCTACAAATATCACAGAACATCTATTAGAAATATAGTTCTTCATTTGAGAAAAAAAAATGACAAAGAATAAGGTTCACCTCTGTTTTTCATTGTGGTATAAATGCAGTCTCTTGCTGGTATTACATGGGAGTGGATGCCCTCTAGTGGTTGAAGTGGTGAACAACAGTGTTGCTGCTGGCTTCTTCCTGTCACATGTCTTCTGTTTAATGGAGAGCGGCTCTGTAGAGCTGAGTCACAGGAGTCAGAGTTGTTGGGGTCCTCTCCCAAAGAGCAAGCTCTGGAGCAGAATATCAGCCCTGCTCGGGGCAGAAAGGGTCGCCCCAGCAGGGGCAGATGACAGCGAGCACAGCAGAAACATGCCTCCACTGCGTGCCAATGCTGGCCCTCAAACGTCATCTGGCCCTGGTCAATACCTGCAGGATATTATTGATCCAATCAGTGTTTGAACTACAGTTATTCATGTTGAATCAAATCATGATAACTACCTATGTTTTCCCCACAGGTGTCACAGTACTCTGCATACAAAGACTCGTAGCAGGAGCAGCAGTATGGCCGACTCTCTCTCATGATATAGCGCTGACCTCCGAGTGCAGCCTCACACTCAAAACAGCAGAAGTGTTTCATGTGCCAGTACCTGCCCTCTGCCTCTGTGCACTCATCTGCTAGAATGATCTACAACCAAAACGCCACAGGGAAAGGGAGCGCATTAATGATATCACTTAGCAAAGGTCAGATGCAGAGAGCAGACAAGCTATGTAAAAACAGTTTGAGATTTCATCAAGACAGTTCAAGCGTGTATTCTGTGAGAGCCTAAATGAAAATCTGAAGAAAAATTCTGATTTTGATTCTGTTAGTTGTACCAAATCCATTTCTGAACCATGTCAACTAATCTCCAGCCGCACAAAGGCCATTCATCCCAAAGCTCGCTATAACTATTTATCTCTCGTGATTTATTATCTATCTAGAAATAAACTTCTACAGACAGCTAATCAAGATGGCAGCATATTTTACAAAAAGAGTTGTAAAGAGACCACTTAGGTCTTCACCACTTACTATTCATTCAGTTGGGTGAAATTCTTAGCCGGGGGGGGGACTTTTTGGGGGGAAGTTGCTCGGGACGGTTATGGTGAAGGGTGGTGGACTTATAACGGACTGATTTTGTTGTTTTGTTTGTTGTTTTGTTGCACTGTGAATTGGGGATTTGGGTTTTGTGTTGGGGTTTTGGGGAACGGGTGCGCTCGAGCGCGGGGTGGTGGTTAAGGGCATTAGTTAATGTGGCCATTCTCGTATGTGTCTGGCAAAGCCAATAAAAGCCGGATAGGCCAAAAGCACTTTATTTTTTTGCATGTCTTTGTTTCACCCCACTGACATGAATGGATCCTCCCACGACCTAACCTTTGCGTTGTAGCTTTTCGTTTGTCGTGAACAGGTGAATTGTTACAGAGTTACCGGTACTTCCTCAGATACTGGTTCAATCAAACAGACAAATCACTTTGACAATACTAGTTTATTAAATTGTGCATGGTGCATTACTGTATAATCAGGTGTGACACATTAGCATTACCTCATCACAGGCCTGGCAGCGCGGTTTGAGCCTCTCCGCGTGGTGCCGGCCGCAGTAGATCTGTCCATCCTGGTAGAAGTATATGAGGTCGACCAGCAGCTCATTACAGGAGGCACACTGGAAACACTGAGGATGCCAACAGCAGCCAGTTCCAGCCCGACCGGCAAAAACAGCAATGTCCCCTCCACTGATCTGTCTACCACACTGAAAAACACAGGGTGTGGTGCAGATGGGAAAAAGTAAAAACAGTGCATTTTGTAACACGTGTCTGCAGCACCATAATCATTAAACTGATGCCCCAAAGCAGTGCCTGCACACACATGCACCATGCTCCTCTAGTTCCTCTGTAGACTTCATCATAAATACCCAAACGTGTATGTATGTGCATGCCTACATATAGTTTTCTGTCTATAATGTTATGCAATCCCCCCCAAACATAAATAACAGGTACCTGATGGCAGATGGCTCCTGTCATTGTCACAGGGAACGGTCGTACTGCCCCTCGGCCCAGATTGTCCCGTTTCCTCTGTTGACTGAAAGCACGCAGCTCCTTCTTCTCTGCCTCATCCAGAGAGTTACAGTACTGAGGCTGTAGCAAAAACACAACACATACTTTTGGAGTTTAGAAATGCTCTCAGGCTCTGATAAGGACACTGTTACAGTGATGAATGGTAGAGTTACCTCACTGTCATGAGCGGGCAGCTGGTGCAGCAGCTGTTTGATCCTGTACCTCTCTCCTGGACTATTCACGTAAGGCACTCTGTCCTCAGGCAGGCAGCTGAAGTACTGGTACACCTGAGTGAGAAGGCAAAAGTGGTCACACTTAAAGTTCTGTCAAATTGAGGTGATAAACCACTGTAAATCAGTGAGATCTGTAACTGCCATGCAGCATCTACCTGTTCTGGCTTGAGACCCGGTGGGACCCAGGAGTATTCCTCGGAGGCGCAGCCTGAGTCATCGTCGGAGATGGAATGTCTCTGGAAGTCGGACACCAGTTTGGTCATCATCATCTTCTCCAGCTGCCCCGGGACAGCCCGCACTGCATGCTCCTCTCGCACACACTTACAGTGAACACAGATTTTTCTGCAGAGACAGGAAACAGCTGTGGGTTCTCCCTGTGCTTCAGGTGATCAGGTGCAGAGCCAATTTACATCTGAGTCTGGGATGAAACTTAAATATTTGTGCTGCTATATATTATCAATGACACATTAAGTACTGTGCTCTTTTGAAATTTGATTAATTTTACAAAAGGTTCAAGGCCAGGTCATTGTATTGTACTGTATACAGTAATACTTTTAAGTAATTCCATGCAGCCAAAGATATTTTAATCAAATAAGGCATTAGCCAATAATGTAAACAAATCATTTGCAGAAGGGTTTGACAGTTATGTTATATAAACTAATATTTAAAGTATTCTGAAAAGCTCAACAATGATCAGTTTAGTCCAGTTTTGCATGAAGTTTGGCTTATGGGCATTTTACAACACAGGGAATGAGGTCAATGACATAATCTGGAAGTCAATCTCAGTGCAGTCCTGAGGAGATATGGATGGGTGCAATAATCCCTCTGTCCCAATCCAATCTGTACTGTGGCAGGTCTGTGAGGGTCCAGGGAGAGATATTGGCCCAGTGTCAGTGAGTTGGGAATGAGGGGGAAGTGTGCCAGGAGGATCCAGACCAACTCTACTAAACCTCACATCCTGCCTGTGTAAAATGCCTCTGTTGTCATTACATAAGGAGTGCCAGCTGGTACGTGTGGCTCAAGTTCATAGTGCACAAAGCTGCTTTATTTCAGCACACAGCCCCCACCATCAAAAACAAAAACTACCATTGCAATTTCTATAGTAAATCTTATAAACCTCATCAAATGTTTACACTGTATTTTTTGGTAGTATGTTTCGGTATGATTAAAATTAAAAAATAAAAAAAAAGAAGAAGAAGGGTGGTGTTAACTATTATTCTTTTTCTTTTTTTCAGTGCAGCCCACATGAATAACGTGCTGAAGTTGTTATTGCACATGTGCACTTAATTTTTTTTTAAGATACAAAATGAAATTATAAAAAAATAAATAATAATAATAATAGTTTTTGCACAATTTCACAATATGTGTGTACACACAATAAGTAAGAGATTGATTCCCATCTTATAAGAGTATATGGGTCAAAAACTGTGACAGATAAAAATCTACAAAAATTAATATTGTGGTTAAACCAACTGCAAGGCGGCTACTGTTACTGCTATTGTGATTTTAGGCAATATGACAATACATGGAAATTAAATTGATAAGATTACAATACATAACTAAATTGTTTCAATTGTTTCTTAGCGCCACTGGCATTACATTGGTTATATCATGTAGAGCAAGGGTGTCAAACTCATTTTGGTCCGGGGGCCGTATCCAACCTACTTTGATCCCAAAGGGGCCAGATCAGAAAACTCATGTCATATAAACCCCAAAAATAACAATAAGTTCAAATATTTGTGCAGAGAAACGCAAATCTATTACAGAAATCTTTTTAAATTAATGAACTCTTTCTTATTATAATATTATAATATTATGAACAACCTGAAACTTTAAGAAAAATTCAAATTCAACATTTAAAATATTTTAGTAGAAAATCACCCAAGGGCCACATTAAAGGTCTTGGAGGGCCGGATCTGGCCCCCGGGCCTTATGTTTGACACCTGTGATGTAGAGGAAGGACACAGACACATGCCCATGTAATAGAGTATGAAGCCTGGTATTGCTGCAGTCTAACCCTTCATTGGCAGAGTGATTAAAGCATTTCTTACACATGAAGTCACTAGTGGGAGTTTGCCAACCACCTGCAACCTACGGTCAAAGAGAAATGCCAAAACCAAAAAGCCAATTAGACAATATGGCTGTACTCCCAAGAATCCAGGAAGCTTTTAAAAGTCCCCAGTTTATAGAGCTTTGTATTAGTGAGGACTAAAGGTACGGTGAGAAGGAAATAAGGAACCAGTGGACAATCACAGGCTACACAGAGGATGTTTTTCAAATGCAATAAAGTAAAGAACAAACAAACAAACAAAAAAACATAGTAATACAATGATGTGTAATATTGTATATAGGGCAATCAGTTATCTACTTTTTTTTATATAGATCAAGATTCGGTCATTTGATTTCTAATTATCAATGACCATCTTGGGTCTTCAATCAAGAGGTCTACAGCCCATCCTCTGTCAGTGAAAACACGTGATTTGGAGCAGAGTTGAAACTTTGGAGGAAGAACTATGACTATTATGAAGGTTAAATGATAATGATTAAAAGTTTCAAAATAAAAAATAAAAAAACACCCAGAAAGTAAGTAATAAGCTTTTGTAAACATTTGGCTCACTGTCAAACACTGAAGTCAACTCCATAGGTCACTCAAATAAACCAAATAGAAAGTATCTAGGCCACAGGTGTCAAACATAAGGCCCGGGGGCCGGATGCGGCCCTCCAAGACCTTTAATCTGGCCCTCGGCTTATTTCTACTAAAATATTTTAATTATATTTTTTATTTAAATATCGGTAATTTTCTGCGGCACTTAGCATTAGCAGCGTCTCCAGCGTCTCTGTTCGTGGCCCCTCCCACCAGAGCAGCACAAATGAAGACTTGTCTCTTTCCAAACGCTCTTAAAGGACGATCGTTTTGACTGTTGACCGTGACACCCTCATCAGCAAAATGTCAAAAATGAGAAAAGTGGAGCCGACCGCAGGATTTTCCAAGAAATTTTACTTATTCCTATTTATATACAAGTTAATGTTAAACATTGTGTTGAAATTGCATTTTTCTTAGTTTCAGGTTGTGCATAATATAATATTTTGTAAAAGAAAGAGTTCATCAATTAAAAAAGATTTCTGTAATAGATTTGTTTCTCTGCACAAATATTTGAACTTATTGTTATTTTTGGGATAAATATGCCATGAGTTTTCTGATCCGGCCCCTTTGGGATCAAAGTCGGTTGGATACGGCCCCCGAACCAAAATGAGTTTGACACCCCTGATCTAGGCTATAAAAATATAACCTTAACCTAACCTATCCAAGCCCCCAAACAGCACCCAAACAGCGGAACACAATTATAGCTGCAGGTGAGCATTTTCAGACAGGGATTTAATGGATTTCAACTAAGTCATGCTGCAAAAACACTCATTTCATTATTGAGCTACTGTGACTAAGTAATTTATAATATGAGCATTAGAATTTCTATAGATGTCAATTAAACAAAATCGCAAGACTTAGCGGTGAGATTAGTTTCAACAAGAAGTAACAAAGGAGACATGTACCGGGTTCCTAAACATGAAGAGGCATGTACACAATAACTCTAAGTAAGGATAACAACCATTTTGTTTAGTGATGTAATACTCAACAACAGCTCGACAACAGCAAAGGCGGCAGTGTAAATAGAAGTGTGGTCTTGCTTTGACATGCGACGAAAACCCAAGGCAAAAACACATTACCCAAAGCTAATTGCTATTTACATTTAAATTCAGCTGATGTTATGATCATAAAGCAATTTACAAATTATTGTGGTTATTCATGTATTATTCATGTATTTGCTTACAGTTATATGCAAAATTTTTAGGAACTTTTTCCAATGAAAATTATATGATATTTTGTTATATATATATATATATATATATATATATATATATATATATATATATATATATATATATATATATAAACTTTTTTTTTCATCATGTTGAAACCCACGGGGAGATGCAACAATACGCCTAATCATAAGTAAGCAATACAATAAAATAATCATCCTAATTATTCAATAGTCTGGTCACATACTATACAGTAGGTATGGGGATGCATTTCACACAAATGAAAGCTAATCAAATTATTACATATTATTTTCTTTCAACCATGACAATCATAAAATCACTATATTATGTCAGGTATTAGTTTTAAGAGCTGTGCAATCACATTTTAAGTAATTACTAATCACCAATAATATAATTTGAGAGCTCCAAAGCCAATCCTCTGTTAGCAAAAACATATGGTTTGGAGCAGAAATTTGGCTATTTGGTAATGATTAAGCAGCTGTATTGTTCCTGTTTGAAAGTCCTTATTTGTTACATAAAAAAAAAAAAATTCAAATACAAAATTGTGATTTGCATAACAAAAAAACTGTAACATCCCACTTACATATACAATTAAACAATTACCCTATAACTGTTTCAATAAATCATTCTATCTCAATTCAATCAGTGAAAAGTAAATACCTGTGGTGATTATGTCAGATTGCGTATGTTCCTCAAAGTCCTTTTACTGTCGAACCCTGTATACGGTACCAATCCCTGTTGTGTTCACGCTCTCGCCTCTTATAGCTCCCACCTCCTCCACTTCATTAGGGGGCTCTCACAGACGGAGGCTCCAACGCACTCTGCACTGTCACGAATTACTACACTACAGCTGTCACAGAGTCAAAATCAATGTGACAATTATGCTGAGATAAAAATAATTACGATTACACTAATAGCAAGTGATATATTTTTTTAATCTGATCCATCAGTCACAATGTCCATTCAGGGTCACAGGGTTGAAAGACGACAGAAAATACAAGAATCCCATGTACTTCAGAACATGGTGTTAGGGATTTAACAGGCTGGATTTATATAGTGCACAATATATTAGTAAATGCAGCCTTTATACTTTCTAATTGTCATAACTCAAATTGCTATTTAATTTCATCACATAATAAATAATCTTGCTGCCCTAGAATAGAACTACTATATATAGTTGCATTTAGGGCAAGGAGCTGAAATGACAAAAAAAAAAAAGAAATTAAAAAAATTAATAAAGATTTTCTTCTCATATTGATCACTCACAATTTTTGATTTGATTTTGCCTTATTAAAAGCTAAAAATGGCTTTGAAGAAAATTTTTTTATGAACAATACAAATTTTTAATCACACCACTGAACAAATTTCTTCCTCTAAAATGTGAATTTTGCTCCAAACCACATGTTTTTAGTGACAAAGGACTAGCTACAGACCTGTCCATAACAGATGCATTTTCTGTTTTAATCTGGAACAAAGTATATTTCATTTTGGTCAGTGTTTACTCTACACTGTCCCTGTATAAATAACAAATATACCATAGCATAAAGACGCAAACATGTCATAAGCAATTAGAAAAGATGAATCTTGATTAAAATTTGATAAACTGCACAGCCCTGGTTGCATCTAAATATTAAAGCTATTCACATAAAATGATAAAAATAAAGAATTAGTTTTTAGATGAATTTCAAACTATAGTCAAACACCTGGTATAGTACAACCTCAAGATAGATTTACTCACAGCAATAATAAGCCCCATGCAGTACTGTGCTGAATGTGAGCAGATCTTCTCCCTTTTCAGCTGTAACTGGTCCGGAGCAGATGGGATGATGGTTGCTTTGATACAGACATTAATCATAGAAACAAGTGCTGCTGATTTGGAGCCTATGAGCCAAAGTATTGGTCATGTTATGTTATGTGATCATCATCGGGAGCATGCGTGACTGACTACTAATATGTTACATATTTATCACAAATAAAAGAAAAGTAGTGGAAATACTTTTTGGTCTGTGTGTTTGAATGAGACTTTCAGCAAACTCTCTGCAGTGTTGTTGCCTATTATACATTTATTTCTGAGACAAATTTAAGTATATATTTCTTTTAATTATTGAGAACCTATTAAGAGTCAGCTAGATAGCAAACTTGTAAAAAGCACCAATGTGAGAGGCCAACTGTAATGCAAAGCTGGTATAAAAAATATGTTATCAACAAATGCAAAAACTACAGGTCCTAATTAAGAAGAAGATATAAATAAGATTTACTAGGTTTCAGATGACATCACATTGGCATGTTAGTTGTTAGTCTCTGGTGACTAATTACGACATTGAATAACACTGAATAGAATGAATAGCTTTGGCTCACTGAAAACTGTTTAAAATGAGATAGTTCTGTTTTTAAATTTTTTGAGAGAGGGACTTCACTACCTAGAATCTAGAAAAAAATAGCTATCCTCTTACTAAATACTGTATACTACTAAGGGTGTGTTCTCACGTGTACACACATAACATCTAAAGTGAAGTTAAACAGGGACTCAGCTCCAAATCTGGACTAGAACAAGACCAAACCAGGACAAGAGTGAACACACCCTAAATGAACTTGTATTCTTGATGAGGACACTTGCCTATAACATATGGTCATTGTATAGGTCAGTACATAAAGACCGAGATTAACCAACTGCTGCTATAATAATAAATAACTCCAGAGGGGTATGGTGTTAGATCTCTCCCCAAAAGCAGATGGGCGCAGTCCCCTATCACTAATGACTCACTGAGTAATAGATGCTAACGCTACTTCAGCTCTAGCAGTACCAGCCCGGAACGCGGGGGTCAAAACTAACTCAATTCAGTTCTTGCTGGCAGCGGAAGCCCCATCTGCCCCTTACCTCACCATAGGATTTGTCTGAAGAAGATTGAAATAAAGATGGATGACTTCCTCTTTTAGTCAATGGACCATGTAGAAGGTGTGGGGGTAAATTAATTTTTGAAGAAGATATCATTTTAACACAAGACTCCGGGGCTTTCAAAATGGCAGCTCATAACTCACCATCATTTGCCAGAATTAAATGCAATATATTATTATGTTTCCAGACTGTTTATAATTGTAACCATAAATACTGGCAACAGAGGCTCTATGTTAGATATTAATTACAAAAATATAATGATAAAATACATTCAAATTGTACTATTATCACTATAACTAGTAAAAAATTCACTCACAACTAGTAGAAACCATGTGACTAGCTTTCTTAAATGACCTACTAATTTTATTTAGGGTGTGTGATTAAAAGTTATGACAAGCAACAAAGTACAAAAAGAGCATCATGAGAATAAAGTTGCTCATGCCAAAAGTGACAAACTACACTGACTACATGACAAATGGATCTACATGGATCTACTTTCCTTCTACATATTATTTTATTATATATGCACAATTTTCAGTTATTCTGACTTTGTAATCTGCGGTCATGGAAATGCCCTTGTAATTTCTTTAAACCATAACGTTGTGTAAATATGAGACAGATTAACCTACACTGTAAACAAACGAGAGACTAAACCTGTACCATAGTGTGGCCCTCAAGCACGGCACATATGTTTTAAATTACACCTAACTTCCAGCTATTGTCTTGACCTGAATAGAGGGAGCACAATGAATAAGCTCAAAGATACTATTACACTTGTCTGGTTTGCATTGTGGCCTGTTTTATACTCTATCTTGAACGAAGCTTCCAAGGTCCCATCTGGAAATTAGTTTTCTATATGCTATTAAAAGCCTCAAATATTTTCAAGTCTTTAGAAATACACTGTATACTTTATGAGCTAAATATATTAGGGGATTTTCAATATGTCTGGAAAAATGATGAAAATAACACAGTGGAAACAGAGGGAGTGGTTCATACTATCACAGCAGTAAAGCTTAACCTTATTAGTGTGATTGACAGGATTAGACCCTCCAAAGGACCCCGCCAGCTGGGTATAAAATTAAACAGTTAGATATGACTAACAAAAGAAGATTTTTCCTCATAAAAACAATATGAAATCTAAATATAGTGTAGCAGTCACTAATCGAGAAGGCCTAGCTCCTTACTGTTTGGAATTAGCCATGTTATAATGTAAAATATTTCTATAAAGCTAAAATCATACTGTTAAAGGTGCACTATAACTTTTCTGGTGGAGGGTCTGTCACCTGCTTGTCTCTATGAGATGTTATTGCTTTGCAGGGAATATTTCACATTATGGTATAAAGCTTACAGTCTACACAGAGACAAGCTGATGATTCCAATGAGCCAAGCTACAGGTCAGATACATATATAATCTGTTCATAGAAATGTTATTAAAGTTATTAAAGAACCATCTAATAAAAAAATAAATAAATATATATATATATATATATATATATATATATACTGTATATATATACACACACACACACACACTTATATATATATATATATTATCAGTTTATATTATTATATCAGTTTAATGCCATACTGTGGAACATTCCCCACAAAGCAATAGCATTTCCGTGAGTGAAGCAAGTGACAGAATAGTTACACAGTAAACCTTTAATGCTCCTCTGGTCCAGACTGCCGTTGTGGTGGTCTGACAGTCTAATGGCCTCTAAAGCCGTGGACATAAGCGGAGCTGTCAGGGTCATGTTTGTTGTTCTTAATGTAAATCTGCACTTATCAAACTAAAATCATCATCACAGTATAAGCTGATTCCCAGAGCAAGTCAAAGAATGATCACCCACGTTAATGAATTTCACTGTAATTTCTTAGAAGATACATTGATGTAAACACACAAGTTCATTTCAAAACATTTGTTCAGCTCTCCCTCTCAACTAATGATTATTTTAGAGTAAGGCGGTAGGTCAACTAGTAAAAATATTTTGATATTGATCCTTTGAGATTGCAGCAAATAGTAAGTCTGGTGTTGTGTCAATATTTGAGGTATATCTCCCATATCTGGGAGCCAAAAACATGTAAAGATGTTGCCAAGTCGTAGTAACAAATATACCAGCAAATCAACAAAAATGCTATCTGTATCAGCAGCACACTTTCCAAACTTACAGCAGCATTCACATGTAGCAGCCCAAAGTCAATAAACAATATGAGATCAACATTTCCTGTGAGAGCTTTTTCCTTTTTTGTGTTTTTAACTTGTTAATCGCTATGGTAACTGTCCTAAATTATCATCCTCCTGAAATCCATGGATAGGTGTCAGTGCTAACTAGCAGAGCAGTCCTTACCTCCATCCATGCACACTGAACCCGGGGCACTGGTCTCCACAGCGCATACAGGGCTGCCCTTTGTCTGGGTCCTCCTCCTCCTGCACGAAACAAAACAAAAACTCTCCATCAAATACTCATTTAAATCATGGTACACCTTTAACACAAGTTAACATACAATATTTGACAGACAAGTACAGAGTGACATTGTACTGAGAAGATAGAAGACCCAGAATGCTAAACAATCCTTTTAGCTTTCAGTTCAGCTACATCTGAGTCTATAGATTTACGCTGGATTAGTATGACACTTAGAAATATGAAAATCCCTGCATTCTCATAACTCCACATAATCATTACAGTAATGCCATGATGGTGTCACTGTTGTGAATTACTCTTAACAGAGGTGAGGGTGATTATTCAAAAACAATACATATTTGTAAGATTAAATCTCAAATGTAGCAAATAGCAAATATTTCATCATTTTTGAATGTTCCACAGACTGACATTACACTTCAGACCATAACCAGTGTTTCTGCTAAATGTTTCTGCTAAAAAACATTGGAAAAATATCCTTTTTTTTTATTGTGAGCAGGCTTCCAAGCAAGATAATAGCATCTTCATGGAGACTTATTATAACCAGCTAACACTGTAGACATCCAGCACATGTTCTGAAATGCATCTGGTTCATATATTCGTTCATCTTTGTTCTCTAAAATGTTGAAGCTTTTTGGGGAGTTGAAAATATGCACTGTGAACTGAATATTGAAGTAAACAAAACATGATTGCAATATTTGTCAACATAAAATAACCAATTCAAAAGCATTCTGGCAAACATCACATAATAAAAAGAAAAAAGTTGGAAGTCTCATTCAACTTTCTCCTCAAGGTAAAATGTAAATATAATTAAGCCATAAAACCTGCCATTTGTAAAAGTGCTGAGTGGTGCATTGGACTTGGCCAGTACCAATTGCACAGCTGAGCACAAAGGCCTCGACATCAGAGCTGTGTACGTGTGGGCAAGTATTTGTCACATTGTGGGGTCTAATATCTGGACAGGGATTTGGCTGCAGACCTCCACCCAGAGGACCCAAACCGCAGATATCCACCAGTATGACCCTCATGTGACTGTCCTCTATCCACAGATCCCTAAAAGTAAACAAACAGCAGCCATGCCAAAAGGCAATTAAAGTTAAAGTTCCTGGCCTCTGTTTTCAATGTAATGTTACTAAATTTCATATTGTTTTATACTAAGACAAGCCCTAACCTTAACCATTACAGATTTATGCCTAATTTTAACCAGACATAGGACTTATAGCCACACATTCACAGACAAATTTATGCTATTGTAAGCTACATGTTCACAATTAAATGTTTTATGTTTGTATGTTTTTTAAATGGCGTATTTCCCTATGGAAGAAGAGTAGAGCAAAGACAACACAAAAGTACTATTGGGAATTAAATGTCTTTGAAGTGATAAAAGTTAAGTGTGAAAATTGAAATAATCTTTTAACAATATTTAATAATAACATGTGGCATGTGGCAGACATGTGGGTGGAGGTGCATCCTAGTCGAAACCTCTCGGTGATCTTGAAAGTCTGTATACACACTTAAACACTTAAACATCACGTAAATCCTATTATTAGATCTACAACATGATTATAGTTCAGATATGGATTAAAACTATCTGAGTTTAGGTTAAGGTCATGCAAATAGACTATGATTCAAATTATGATCAGTTTCCAATGATTGTAAGTCCATGTAATGTCCCGAAAAAGCATGAAAACCCAAAATGAGTGTGTGTTCCTATGTGTATGACTGTGGTCCACTTTTAGAGATGAGAGGAAGGAAGCAGACACAGGATGGGAGCTGCACCCCTTCCCTCTCCATGCAGAGCTTTCACTCTCTCCACTAACCTCTGCCCAAACTGTTTCTAGCATTTGGGGGAAAAGCCATTGAACAAACTCCACCAATATATTATTGGGAATGAAAGAGCCAATCCACAAATTATTGACAAATTGGTGGTCGAAGTTAAAGACTAAATGTAACTTTTCAAGTGAAGAGGTCTGTCACCTGCTGTCTCCCTTTTCAGGTGTTTTATTGCTCAAAAATACCTTGAATACCTATTTTTATTGTAAGCGGGGTTAGCTCTCCACAGAGCTGACTTGGATTGTTGGACTCATGTGCTGGTCTCCATGGAGTTAGTAAGTTTAATGCCATACTGTAGATCAAAGGGCAAGGAGACGAGCAGGTAGAAGACCCTTCACTAGAAAAGTTGCATATTGCATCTATAATTTCAACTTGTGCAAAATGGGGCACTGATTTAAAGAACACATACAGTGATTGAGCCTGCTATACAGTCATAATCTACACATTTTAAATCACAATATTTATCTAAAACGACTTAATAAAAGAAACAAGCTTGCTGACTTCCGCATTAGAAAACTGTGGTGCCCAATGAGAACTGATGTCGCCGTAAATGTCATCATATCTGCAACTCCTACTGATTTTTTTTCATTTGTACTAAAATGACTAACACAATGCTGACGAATCCTACGTGCACCGCCTAAGATAATAAAATTGGAAAACGAAGTAAGTACAGAGCAATAGGCATATACTGGTGGCGGTGAAAGCAAAGATTGATAGACAGACTTTGAGAGGGTAAAAAAGAAGAGGAAACAACAATAACATGGTTAAAAGCTCTGAAAAGTCAAGTTTGCATGATCTTGCTTTAAGGTTCAATTGACAAAAAAAGGTTTAAGGTTTTCTAATGACTATGACCTCTGGAGGTGTTCCTTAAACTATAAAAAGACATATTACATTTTAATAGTGCTTATACTTTTATACCTAGTCATCTTATGGAATGTGGTCCGTCAATCATTGCAACGTGTTGATGTTTTTATCACCTGTTGTTGTTCAGCTCTAACTTTACAGTAAGGTAAAGCTTCAATCTGAAGGAAAATGATATAATATTCTAATTAAAGGTATTATTTCCATTGTCTTTGGTGTTTTTTATTCAAATTTGGTATGGACCTTAAATAATGTTTGCATGCATGCATGCAACCAAGTAAGCAAGCTATTGAACTATATGTATTTGCATTATTTGAAATTTAGTTTGTGGGTTAGATGAGTATTTGACCTAACAGACAGATTGTTTAGAATTTTTTGGAGTTCCCAATATCCAGCATTCAAGCTATCAGCAATATACAAAATAATTTTTTACTTTTGCATAATCAAATGGCATTCACAATATTATCTTTTTATCAATAATCTGCCCACAGCTATTACAAGATCCAAACCACAATAAATAAGAATACTTTTACTCTTTGATCGCTCTGTGCTGTTATACCATCCCTTTCAAAACAGCATCAGCATTTCCAATGAATGCATACGCCAAAAAACACATAAAGTTTAATGAGCAAAGCAATAAAACTGAGATATGTGAATCAGGAGATGTGACCTGTGTGTACCTGCTCAGCTCTAATCTCAAATTTTCTTTTCCCTGATCACACCTTAAACGCACAGTACAGTATCATAACATACAAACAATATAAAAAAAAAATCTATATTAGTTATTAGGCTTTGAAAACTCCATATTTTAAATCCTTCAGGTTTTTTTTTTGCTTGAGCAAATTAGGCCTAAACCAGAAGTTACCCAAAACGAAACTACATCTAAACAGTATCTAAACCAGGATAAACCAGAATTAATCCAGGACTAAACCAGGAGTAATCCTCCAGGATAATGCAGGACTAAACCAGGACTAATGCAGGACTAATCCAGGACTAAACCAGATGTAAAACATCTATTAGAAGGTGTTTAAGACAATTTTCCCACACGACCTCTATTAAACATTTGCTGAGTTTGCTTTACTTATCTCCACCATATCAACAGATAGAGTAATGACTTCAAATGGCCTCTTTAGGCAGATTTATGACCTTGATATTGTGTCGTTTTTCTGGGTTTTTGGATGTATTCTGCTTTTTAGTCGTTGATTGGGTGGTTTCAGGGCGGAGACGGTATCCAGTTTTATAGGAACATGAACTTGTTCGTCGAGAATATTCACACATAACATAGAGCGGTAATTTACGTCTTGACTCTTTAAATGCCTCCTGATCTGACACAACAGAACACAGGCATGTTCTTGGCGCCAGAAGCTATCACAGTGTTTAGATACAACTTTAATTTATTCCAGGCTCACAGTGTCGACTTCACTCACCAGATGATTTACAATATAGTTATAATTTAGACCTGCGGTGATGATGAAAAACAATACCAGACTAGAAGAATCCAGTCGGGGTGCAGATCTCCAGATACGTAAAATTATGTGGTATTTTTATTTAAAAGGAGAGGTGGAACATAGCATTTCTGAGAGTGTTTAAAAGGTGATGTAGTATGCGCCGTGGTGTGTCTTGGCCTTGTTTATTGTTCTTATAGTCTATTAAAGGGCGCATATTAAGCTGTTCTCCGATCTATGTTATGTTTCCTCATCACAAACATACATAGAGCTATGTTTTGTTTCATTCACATATATTTAACACACAAACCCTGCATATTTTAGGCTATATAGGCATTCTTCTCTCAAACATAAAACACTCTGTTCCATCATGTAATGTCATGTGGCAATACAAGAACTGCTCCACTGTGTTTTTAAACCTCATACACCTTCACTAGAATCATTTGGGTAATTTCAACCTTGAAATTACCTCCCCCCAGAGGAGCTGGAGGACGTGTCTGGGGTGAAGGAAGTCTGGGAGTCCCTGCTTAGACTGCTGCCCCCGTGACCTGGCCCTGGATAAGCGGAAGAAAATGGATGGATGAATGGAAATTATCGATCTTTACTAAACAAAACGTCTGAGCTGTTAACTTGAAAGCTACCTCTTTATAAAACCACATGGTGGAACAGAGCATTTTGAGCTGTGGAGGTGCAGGCAGACTAAATATAAAGTATTACTCAAACAAGTGTGAATGAAACAAAACAGAACTACAGGTATGTTTTTAATGAGGTAACAGCATTTTTGGGAGTGGTGGGAGGAAGTTGCTTTTCATTTGATTTACTGACAAAATAGTGGAAAAAAACCCACCAGGTTTATGTAGAGCAGGTTA